CAACATTAATTTTGAACAAAAAAGGCTTTGGGAGAAAAAATTTATTATGTATACATTTTTATTTTTCATATTATCTATATTCTACATGTTTCTTTAAAACTAAGAATGCCTTATTTTTGTTATAATTCATGTTACATAATAAATTTTAGAAATTTATTCTAATTAATATTAAAATAGGATAATATATTACAAAGTGCTATACAAATGAGTTTTTTTCTATCTTCATCTAGGTTGTGCCGTTAAATACTGGTAATCAATCTCTGAGAACCGTCGCGCCGAAAGCAACGTTGACAAGTGGCAGCCAAAAATTGCTCATACCTGCGGCGGCGGCTGCTGCGGCAGCTGTTGGCAATCAGTCGAAGAGTGCGGTAGCAATTCCCGCATCAGCATTGAGTCAGTTAGCGTCGGGACAGGCAGTTCTGTCGGCTAATCCAAGCGTCGGGAACATCGTCGTTCTTCCCGCTCAATATATTCAGCAACAGGTTCAATATCTATTTATGTTCTTTATTATCTAATTTCTCTTTTGTGAAGCGACAATGTCGGAAAAGAATTATCGCGAACACTACTTAATACAGTCATTTTTGTATATGAGATGTTGCATTAATTAAAACTTCTGCAATATTACATTTATACAAAATTTGTTCAAATAATTCTATACAATCACATTCAAGTATTAGAATATTTAAAAATTGATATAGTACTATAAATTTAAAAATAGCAGGTATAAGAGAGAAATCTTAAAATAGAGAGAAATCTTTAATTCAATTGTTTTATCTTTATATAAAATATGACTCACAAATATTTTGTGCAAGAAAATCTTAAAAATTTTAAACATAGATAATTCCATATTGTAAATATTATTTTAAATTAATTTTAAATTGGTTTTAAATATATAGAATGTTTTTCAGTTAATATCATAGGAAAATATTTAGAAATGTTTAGTCAATAGTAGGAACTAATGTTTAGTTCATAATAGTAAAATATGCTTAGCAATTACATAAAATTGTATTATTAATTGCCTATAAATCTATATTATCTCATGTGCACACATCTTTCTGATTTATAAAATTTTGTAAAAATTCGTATCTATGTATGTACAAAATATATTTCTATCTTCTGTCAAAGCAGTCAACAGATGATGGAAAATTGAAGTCCCAAGCGACACCTGGTCTTCTAGGAAGTTCACAAAGTTCTACAGCAACTTTGTGTGTGATCGATGGAAAGAATTCTCAAAGAGGGACTTATAATACTGTTGAGCCGAATGGTATCAGGCCAAGAAAACCATGCAATTGCACAAAGTCACAGTGTCTTAAGCTGTAAGCATTTTTTTAGAGCATAAAAATTTCAACAAAATGTTTAAAAATTGTATGTAAACCAAAATTTTATAATTTTTTTAACCGTTTGAAAAACTATTTTTTATTAAACTGGTTTTTCTTTGCTTGACTATATATATATATCCATTAATATCTTTTGTATATAGTAGGCTTTGGATTTTATCACGTTCCTTTGTTATCAGCATTATATATGACAGTTTGAAACATCTTTAAATTCGTTAAATATATATTATATTCTTTATGGAAAGATTATTAATAAGAACTATTAATTGAAGTAAATATGTTACAAAATTACTGAAAAATAATATATCTATCAAAAGATTAATAGAATTAATTCTAGTAGAATTAATTGCAATCCCTTAGGTTTTAATCTATAAATATAATTTATAGTATTTGAGTAAAATCGGCGCGAATAATCTTTCTGTTGCAGTTATTGCGATTGTTTTGCGAATGGCGAGTTCTGTCACATGTGCAACTGCAATAATTGTTCGAACAATCTTGGGAACGAGGAAGAGAGACAGCGCGCGATTAAATCCTGCCTAGAACGCAATCCTAATGCCTTCCGCCCTAAAATTGGAAAAGGCCGGGAGACTGGTGACGATATAAGAAGACACAACAAAGGCTGCAATTGCAAACGTAGCGGCTGTCTTAAGAATTATTGCGAATGTTACGAGGTATTTTCAACATATCATCTATGTCGTCCAATAATTATGTTTGCATGCGTTTTTTTTTCTAGTCTGTCAATGCAGATAGTTTGACAAAATACATAATTGATCTCTCATAATAATCTCTTATTTTTTCACTGCATTTTTACATTTTATTTTAGATTAATGTATAACCCTAGTCCAATAATTGTTTATTTAATAAAAGTCTTAAAAATATTTGATAATTTTGAATAATTTATGTATCTTTTTTTATATATATAAGAAAATCTAATTGTATTTTTTCCTTGTTTTTTAGGCCAAAATTCCGTGCTCTGGTAATTGTAAGTGTATAGGCTGTCGCAATATTGAAGATCCAATACTGGAAAAAAAATCCTTGAAGGATTTGACGGAAACGACTGAAGTCAGAACGACTCAACTTAGTTTAAACAAAGCTCAGTTACAATTGTCAGAGATGGCTTTTAGACCCCCGGCAGTATCTAATACCGGTACAAGGTTCGTGTTATGACCGTGAAATTTTTTTTATAAATTTTATAATTTTTAAGAAATTCGATTTAAAATATGCCGAAAATTCCCTTTTTAGTTGTTATTTATTTATGAATAAATTATAATTGCATATAATTCTTATTGCAACAAAAATAGATCTTATAATGTTTAATTAATATTTATTATTATTATATTTATTCTCTTTAGCCAATTGAAAACGATATTGCCATTCTAAAAGAATCGAATTGCGACATATAAAAGAAGTTAATTCAATATATAATATGAAGAAGAAATAATTTGATTTGTTGCTTCTGATACTATAATATTATGGTTGTAATATTAGCGGTCAGAAACTTTAAAATAAATAATTAAATTATTCAAATAGTAAAATAAAATTTATAAAATAGAAATTATTGAAACATTATGTGTGTGTACACTTGTTCAACAGTTCTTCGAATTCTATGCGTTATATGTGTATTCATTTCTTGCTTGTTACAGGCAACCATTCAACTTTTTGACAGACAAGGTGGTAGAAATAACATGCCAATGTTTAATGGCGCAAGCAGATGAGGCGGAGCGTAATATGCTCGACGATGAGACGTCACAGCGTCTCATTATTGAAGAGTTTGGTCGATGCTTAAAAGAAATAATCGAATCAGCGCATAAAGCTGAAGCCACCTAGCAGGTGTATTTGCGTGATTTGTATTGCAATTTTCATTCGTCGCTATTGTTTATGGGAATTGGATAGAAATAAAGAGATAGTACAATACGAGTGTTGCTACCAAAGACGTTATCATACAAGATACGAGCACTGGTTTGTCCAAGCAAAGCTTTGGAAATCGTTCCGAATTTCAAATCATCCATTAAATACTTTTTACGGAAAATTCACGACAAGTAATTCTGTGTGTGAACTTTTAAATGATAAATCATTTTGAAGGTAATGTAAGCTATATAGTAAGTAAAGGCGAGTCGCTTTCTTAATTTTTCTATCTGAAAGAAAAATGACATTGTACACTTATATTATAAAGATGATTTTGTTGTGTTTTAAAGTTTCTACTAAGCTGTGTGCTGCTCGTGTGAAATTTACAAATAACATGGAAGAAAAATTCGCAATTTGATTTTTCGAATACTTTTCAATATTGCATTTCTTTACAATTTTAAACGAGAAAAAAGAAGCAATTGCGATTAGCGATAATCAAGAGTTCTTTTCTTAAGAACATATTTTTCAAATGTAATAAGACATATATTGTAAAAAAGCGCGATAGCACCACATATTCACCTAGTAGTACAATTGCGTATCAGCATTAGCGCTTAATAAGTTCACACAGTGTCGTAGCAAAAATATATATCGAGAAGTGGTAAAACATTTTGTGAATTTATCTTATGAATTTATCGATTACATGTCGTATATTTTTAGAAATAATTCGTTATATTTACAAAATAATATATATAGAAGACAAAATTAAAATAATTGTAGAAATTTTATTCATCTGCATCTTCTTTTTCACAACTTACTTAATCACAGAGAAAGCAAGGGTTTATAAGAGCTTAAGTTGCAACCGTTGCATTGTATCTCGATTAATAATAGTACAAATATATAAATGTTTCAAGGAGAATATACAAATAAATATATTAATCAAGATATGTGCAATAAACACTGCGACTTAGTTTCTTATAGGTTTCTTCTGTTTTTGTGATTGTATATTAAAGAGCCTTTATATATACGCTACATACATCTACAATATGCAGCTTGTTTAATTATAAATATTAGATACCTTAGTGACATTAATTATAAGTATCGAATAATTTCATTTAGTATATAAACAGTACTTGATATTATATATATATGAAGAATATAAAAAATTTTATTATTCACTTTGATATTTTCTTAAAGTTTCATATTCATCTTTAGTTTTTAATAGCTTGTAACACGTTAGACTATCGATGACATCGATCTAAGTAAACTATTCATTTGCATTCTAAAAAACTATGCAAGACTATGTATTATATGTACATGTATGTATTTCTTCAATTAAAATGTTATGATTAAAACGCTCATAAAGAATAATTGTGTGAATGTTAAATATATAAATCATTTTAGGGATGAGATATGGTATAAGTGGACGAACCGCTTTTTTCAAATTTGCAGCATTTATACAGATCGATTTATACTACTGATTATTAATCGATAGTCCTATGCAAAGCTACACATTTTATCCTGTTCCTTGAATATTATTTAAGCGATTTCAACCCTACAATCGTATTTCAAGAGAAACAAATACTTAAAAATATATTGATATATATTTTCTGTTTCATTATTATGTCATTTATTATAAATGTTTCAAATATTCCTAAAAAATATATTCTATTATAACGTTTTATATTATAATGAAGAGTGTAACATTATACATATATTATATACAGGGTGTCCCAGATCTATATATATATATAAAATTACATGTGTAGCAATATATATGATAATTTGTTATATTATAAAAAAAATATACACACACATTACATATTTACATATTACACTACATTTTATTTACAAGTATTGTTTTCAATATAAAGAATTTCAGACTTTAGTGCACATGAAATAATGTGATAATAAGATTGAAGACTTATTGAAGATCAAAATTAATTAAAAATCTAATATATTTTTATTGATAATAAAAGATAAGAAAATTATAAGTTTGTGTGTATATATTATATGTTATAAAGATATCATACAATATATACCTAAAATTTGATAATCTTATTTTTTGGCAATTTATTACCCTCGGTATTCTTTTTTACATTTTCTTGCAAAGATTCTATAGCGGAATCGCTTATCTTCTCTACCGTAATGGTACTCTCTTCTTTGCCCTTTATCAAGTCAGGACAATCTTTCTTTAAGTGTGTCACGGCTCCACAAATTTTGCAGCCACCACCATGGGGATAAATACCTTTTGGATTATCAGGGCATTCCACAGCAATGTGTCCCTGCTCGCGACAGATGAAACATTTAGCGTATCTATAGGTAGAATCCTTGTTGACTTTGCATTCGAAATGAGTATGTTCTGTCGAGCCACATTTGAAGCAGATGCCAGTACAAGCCTCATCGCGGCCAAGCTCAGGACAATCCGACAGATTGTGCCCAGACTTGCGACAGTTGAAGCAAACTTGTTTCTTAACGCGCGCCAAAGCTTTCTCGGCCCTGCGTCTCTCCAGCTTCATCGCCATATCCACTTCAGATTTTGGTATGCCTAAGAGTAATAAGATATTATTCTATTTTATACTTATTATATACATTATTGTTTAATAATAGAAATAATAGCATATTGTAGAAAGCTTATTTATTAAATTCAAATTCTTTGAGATTTATTTAGATCCTTAAATTAGTTTTCTTTGTGTTTTCTCGCATAAAAAGTCTGATAAAAATTACTAAAGAAAAATTGAAGTAATTGATCCATGTGACATCTTTGTATTATATGGTTTAAAACCAATGATAATAGCATATAAAGATAATAACATATAAAGATGTCTGTCATTTCTCATCAATTTTTTTTTTAACAATTTTTTTGAATTTTATATAAATTCTTAAATATGTATACTTTAATGCACTTTTTTATTAGTTCTTAGCATCAAAACTTAAATTCATAATATTTAATGCAATGTGTGTATACTTACCCTTTAGTATCAATGTTTGTTTAAGTTCTATCAATCGTTCTGCATCTTCCTTCTTTACAGGAAATCCATCATACATGACAATTTCAACTTCCACACCATTAATTATCATTTTTGTAATGCCAGCATTTGGTTTTCTTCTTTTGTATTCTCCTCTTTCTTTAATTTTCTTTTCTTCTACTTTACCACTTTTATCTGATGTATCTTTTTTAAAGTTTTTAGACTTATCATTAGATGTTTCCAATTTTCTCTTTCGATTTCGTTTCTGTCGTTTACTTAATATAAAAGAATTTGAATTCTTATCATCTTTTTCTAAAATTCTTGATTCTTTTTCACTAGATGATAAATATGAATTATTAATGTCTGGTTTCATTTCGTTAGAACATTTATCTGATCTACTATTTATTGTTTCAATTGTGTCTTCTGTTTTTGTATTATTACTGTTGGATGGAATATCATTTTTAGAGTTTTCTGTGAAATTCATGCAATTTTTCTTTGATTTTGACTTCTTTTGTTCTTTTACATCAGATTTAGATTCATTATCATCAAATTCTGCCCAATTGTGATTAATGTTTTTATTAGTATTATTGTCAAGTGTATCATTTTGATCCTTTAATAATTCTTTTGCCGATTTCTTTTTCTCCAACTGTTTTTTATTTACGTTTTCTTCTACTTGCTGTTTCATTATATGCCATGGTGTGGCCTCATTCGGCAACTTTTCATTTGATGCTTTAGATCCTCTTGCTCTTGCATATCTGGTCATTTTCTCAAACACTACAAAAAAAATAAATTTATTAAGAACTTTATATTTATATAAACTTACTGAAAAAAATATTTGTTAATTTTTTTAATTTCTTCTTTGATTTTTAAGCTTATATATTGATTCTTTGCAGTCGTACATACGTCTTTAGTTTTAATATTTTTTTGTTAACTTCTGATTATTTCGACACTTTTAAATTCTTACATTATTAAACTGAAAAATTTTTAATTTTCCTAGATGCGCTGGATTTGAGCTTTGAAAAATTTCTTAAATATTAATTATATTTTCGACTCTCACCGAAATATTCATCAACGCCCACGAAGGATACTTTCACGTGTATAGATCTGTAGATTGAAATTAGAGGTTAAAAAAAGCAAAGTGGCTATAACCATAGATATATCAAGAATAGAGCGGTTTCCTTAGACAAAAAAAAAGATATACGACAGATTCGTCGGACGTACCGATTGGCTAGTGGAGGGCATTTCTAGTGTTTCGAAAGTTTCTAGCAATAGCAGCCAATCAAGATATGACATTGTATCATATATATATTTCTTGCTGAAAATCTATCAGTGGCTAATCTCATGTAGTCTTATGCTTCATGCCCTCATATCTTATGATGCTATAAATGCATCACATGTTCGATTTGTGAATTTCATACTTGAAATTTGTATTTCCTCTTGATAAAAGTTTTCTTCTGATAAAAATAAACTCGTTAATACGAAGAAAATAGAAATTCGAGAAAAATGGCAGAATTTGTAGAAAAACGATGTCAGGATATGATACCTGAATTGGAGCAAATGGAAAGGATCAAACTTTTTGACAAGAATGAAATTCGGTGAGTCTTTTTTGTGGGGTTTTAGCATTTAGCCTCTGTTTTCAGTTGAAATAGATAAAGTTATATGAGTGTGTATTTTTTCTACGAATATCACAATCATCAAGTTAACGATTGTATTTCAGAAATATTGCTAAGAAACTCAAAGAATATGAACATAAGATTCAACGACACACAAGGTGTAAGGAGGATTATCTTCGTTACATACAATATGAAATGGATCTTCTAAAATTGATTAAACAACGTAGAGATGTAAGTAGTTGAGTTTTATTGTATTTAAGCATGTTTTCACCAAGAAACTCATCTAAAATCAATCTTGGGAAATCAATCATGTGCTTTAATAATTTGACATTAATGATATCATATTTAAAATAAGGATTGAACAGAAGAACTTAGATAAAGTTTGTCTTAAGACACAGCCTGACTTCTGTTTCTTCAAGTTTAATAATCGATTTTGAAAAAAGATTGTGTATATGTATAATTTTTAAATTTCTTATTAATTGAATGTTGAGCTAGAAAAAATTATATATTACTCAAATCTGATATTCAGAGATGTAACTCAAGAGAAGAGATTATTTAAATATTTATGAATATTTTATATAGATTTTGTAATATAACACGTCAATATGTTAAAACATTTATGCTGTATTTTTAAACACTTTCGAATAAACCGTTTTTTAGATTTATAATTAGAATAATATCTAATTCAATGTTTCTGAATATTATGTAATATATTCTAGAAGCAGAATATTTTATTTGGATAATGATTATAAATAATTGACTATTTAGAACTTTGTAGATTTTGTTATATGTTATATAAATCGTATTGTATAATTTATATATATTACAATTAACATGCATAAATTTTATAAATATTGGTACATCTGTTTTAGAAATACGGTATTACCCAAAAAAAGTCAGACATTGATTTTGCTATAACTAATAAAATGAATAATTTGTACAAAGATACAATATCTAAATTCCCAAGCGATATTAGATTTTGGGTTGCTTATATGAAATTTTGTAAGCATGTGGTAAGTAACAAAATAAATAGATTTTTCCTGTTTTGCTATATTTATATAACTTAACATAAACATTGCTTAGCATTCTTACAGTAATATCAATCAGATATTAAGTAGGATGATGCAAATGCACAGAGATAAACCAAAATGCTGGCTCATAGCAGCACGTTGGGAATTGGAAGAAAACAAAAATAAACAAAATGCTCGGCAGTATCTTCTTAGGGGCTTACAAATTCATTCTGATTCTCAATTGCTGTACATTGAAGCTTTTAAGTAAGTATCTTAAAAATGTATACGTCAGGAATTTCTTTTGTGATTTATTAATTACAAAATGTGCTTGTATTTTAGACTGGAACTGGAAAATCACTTAGCTATAGCCTCTAATAACATTGAAAACACCGAGAATCAAGAAGATAATTTGGCACTGACAATGGAGAATGATAATGAGATACCATCCTCACTGAAAATTGCATACTTTGTATATCAACAGGCTTTCGAGCGCATGAAGAATATTAAATTTATAATAGAGTTGCTTAACATTGCAAAGGAATACAATGGCACAGAGAAATTGCAAAAGAAAATTATTTGGTATGTGTACACATGTTAATATTATAAACTTTTATCAAATAGAATGAGATAAACATATGTCCCAATTTGCATGATGATCAAAATGCTAAACATAATTAATCTATAATTGTAGCGATATGATTCGGGAATATGCCCATGAACCTTTAATGTGGGATACAATGGCACATCGTGAACTACAAGGTCTAATCCAGCCAGATCTTAATGACACACCAATGGAAATTGAAAATTCCGAACAAACTTCCCTGAGAGATCGCATCACGTCTTGCAACAAGGTTTACCAAACTGCTGTAAAGAAAATCAGAACCGAAGAGATGTGGTCATTATACATAGAATGTTTATTGGAAATCAATGATGATGTGCAATCATTGCGAAATTTCAAGAGAAAACTCTTGAAAACTGCTCTGATGCAAGCTCATAAGGCGAAAAAGTTAAGGGAAAAATATTATTTACATTGGGTATGTGTTCAAAGATACTTCGGCGTTTATATTTTTTATAGTGTCTGATATAATTATATATAATTTATCGTTAATAATTTTTATATAACTTGGCTAAACTCAACTACAACTTTATTATTTCTAAATTAATTTGTTACTTCCTTTAAAATAATATTCATTCTCGTCTGTGTGATTCATCTATTTTCAATGATATCTGTGATGTTAGAAGCTCTTTTACAACTCTTCAAATCAAAATACTTTTATCAAGATAAAAGTAATTATGTCGTTTTGTAGATCAAGATGTTGAGTGCCGATAAGGAGCGTGACGAGAGCGCGCGGAAAAAGTTTTATGAAGTGCTGCGCGGAGCGACTGATACTATACCAAGCAGCGTTGGTCTTTGGCACGCGCGAATCAGTCATTTGTTGCAATCTGGCCAAGAGAAAGAAGTGGACTCTATATTTCCCAAGGTAATTAAATATTGTGAATGATTAAACAATCTTGCCGATACTTAAAAGATGTTTTATCGCTTGTCATGATAAAATTATTAGATGACGGAAATTTTAAACGAGAAAGCATTACCTTTGTGGAGAATGCGGATTTTACACAGTCAAATAAGAAGCTCAAAAGAGGCTGAAGAGAGTTTTCGAGCGGCTTTGAAGGTGCATCCGTTAATCGCCAGAGACATCAGGCCCATATGGCTCGAGTGGCTTGTCCTAACGAAAGGTATTATTAAATCAAATTAATACCATTATAATCTTACATGATATAATTATATATAATTTATCGTTAATAATTTTTATATAACTTGGCTAAACTCAACTACAACTTTATTATTTCTAAATTAATTTGTTACTTCCTTTAAAATAATATTCATTCTCGTCTGTGTGATTCATCTATTTTCAATGATATCTGTGATGTTAGAAGCTCTTTTACAACTCTTCAAATCAAAATACTTTTATCAAGATAAAAGTAATTATGTCGTTTTGTAGATCAAGATGTTGAGTGCCGATAAGGAGCGTGACGAGAGCGCGCGGAAAAAGTTTTATGAAGTGCTGCGCGGAGCGACTGATACTATACCAAGCAGCGTTGGTCTTTGGCACGCGCGAATCAGTCATTTGTTGCAATCTGGCCAAGAGAAAGAAGTGGACTCTATATTTCCCAAGGTAATTAAATATTGTGAATGATTAAACAATCTTGCCGATACTTAAAAGATGTTTTATCGCTTGTCATGATAAAATTATTAGATGACGGAAATTTTAAACGAGAAAGCATTACCTTTGTGGAGAATGCGGATTTTACACAGTCAAATAAGAAGCTCAAAAGAGGCTGAAGAGAGTTTTCGAGCGGCTTTGAAGGTGCATCCGTTAATCGCCAGAGACATCAGGCCCATATGGCTCGAGTGGCTTGTCCTAACGAAAGGTATTATTAAATCAAATTAATACCATTATAATCTTACATTTTTTTTTGTTTTACTTTGCCTTTGTTATCGAAGAATTTTCAAAAATATTACAAAAGATTCTAATGTATTAATATATTTATTATAACATAAGTTTCTTTTGTGATATTTATATTTTTGCTCGATATTTTTATTCCAGGCATCCGTGCAGCTCGCGAGGAATACGAAAAGCTTCTCCTGCAACCTCCCAATTCATTGGAATTCCATAAGAAAATGGCGACACTGGAATACATACAGCCGAAAGTTTCGCTAAAGCACGCACGGCGTCCTTACGAAGTGACGACGCAACATTTCGGAACGAACAATACGTCTGTCTGGATGGATTATATTAACTTCGAGATGAAGCACGGGGATCCGAAAAAAGTCGGGGACATATACGAGAGAGCAGTTAAGATGTTGGATCGCAATTTAACGTATTCCTTTATTGCAGATTATAGTTTGATTATTGCTAAACCCGATTCCATAAAATGATAAGATGTTAGCGTGTACTATAGATATATCACATACATATATACCATGTACTTGTAATATGTAGCATATTACCAAAATTATATCTGCACTGGCTTGCATTATTTCTAATTAACGATTTGATATCAAGTTCGTGTCATAATATCATTTAGGCCTAGGCAAATGTTTAATATACCGGTCTCACATCATATCTTAATGAAAGTATATTTATTTGATATACATTTTATACACTACTTTTATCCTTCTGGTTCCTTTGTCCCTATTGGAACAGAATATATAAACGAAACATAATAATATAATTTATTGGGATTTATTTTGTAGATTACGAAAAGATGTTTTTTTCTACAAATAATAAAGATATGTTGCCAGAAATGTAATAATTAGTTAATCTTAAGAATGATCTTACATTTGTTCTATGATGAATATTGATTGGCAGTAAAAAAAAATATGTAGAATTTTGGTAGGGACTCTGGATATTCTCCAAAATGGTAAACCATATATTTTTTTATGTGCTCATATTTTTATTTATCAATTGTTTAAAAAATCTTTTATTGCTAAATAATTTAATTCCTGAAAATAAAATTGTACTTTTATTGATGAATATTACTTACCAACAACATTATGATTAATATTATTACAAAGAACGAGATGAATGTCGTTAAATAAAAAGAGATTGTGTTATGAATAATTATTTTCTTATGTTTTGTTTAAAAAATTATATTATATTAATTATAGAAAATATGAATAAAAAAATATCAAAAATATTTTATATAGAAAGAATATTGTATATATAGACAAATCGAATTTTTTATTATAAAAAATGATTAATTGAAATTCAGTCTCTTCTAAACAAGGGGGAAAAATATGAACGGTTTCAGCAATTTTTATTGATTGGTTACAAATATACATCAATTGTTGTTTTATTGTATATTTATCATCTCGTATCTCTTCTCTAGCTTCATTTTAATGACTTTTACTTAAGGAGGATAAACATGCTAGAGATGCCTGTTGTTTCAATGTTGTCTCGAAAGTTCCTAATTAATTTAGAAATATATAAATAAATTTAATAAAATAACTTTATATATTTATATATACATATATCGTACATATCATATAATCTTGATAGAGAATAGATATTTAAGATATAAGAATTGGTCATGTGATCATTTTGAACTGTATTGATTGTTTTGAAGTTTGGTATCAAATAATCTAGAGTACAGATTAAAGATACTTGAAAAGAAAAAAAAGTTCGAAGTATTTCTTAATCCAATTATAATGTCTATCTTTTATCAATCGCGAAAGCACTTAAAGAAGAATATAAAAGAGTTATATGCAACTACATTTCATCTTTTTTATCTTACAATGAAAAAAGAAAATTGAGATAAATTTAAGAAGTTATTTATTGAAGCAACTAGAAATTAATAGTGAATTAATTGTTCAACATCATCTCATTCATATTTATCCCGTGTCAAAAATTTGAAAATAACCGAATGTTGTTCCGCACGGTTATATATTCGTCCAGCACCAAATACCATATTTCGAATAATGGCAAATTGAATTGTTACATCAACAACTAATTACAAAGACCATCGGCGATGATATATTCTCTTCGATTCTTAGATTAATTTTATATAAAACGTGGCCTTAAATTTTACAAAACATTGGGCGCGCAGTTCTGCGCGCGCTAATTAGAAACATCGTTACTTTATTACAGTAAGATATTTATCTGAAATTTGGATCTTTGAATACAAAATTTCGTAATGACAAGGATTAGAAGTTCTAAGAACTTTTGAATGATTGAAATATACATTTTTATTCGTATATTCTTACGTTTCCTTATTTAGATTCGAATCAAAATATCTATAGCTTCTAAATTACTTTTCTCTTGGGCTTTCAACTTTAATATTTTAAAACAATAGTTTATAATGTCTGCAAGAAAGATTCGTTAGATTTTTAAATTTTACATTTTTAATCCGTTATTGGATTTTATGATTTTTAGATATTTGTGTATTCGAATTTAATGATCGTAAAATCCTTCGATTTCTGAATTTTTGAAGATTCTTATACTTTTAGACCCTTACATACTCATAAGATAAATATCTTATAGTTTCTTACACGTATAAAGTTTAACAGCCTGTTAACTTTTAGCAATGCGATTAAAAATTACAATAACTTTGGTATGTGGCTATATTATATAAAGAGTCTCAGTCCTTCCTAACGCACATTGTGATTAATTTCTTAATTAATAAAAGTATTTGAATATATCTTTCCATTATACTGTATGTTATCTTTATATACTTTATCTTTGACATCTTTGTTATTTTCAAATCCATTTGCACATCTGATTACAAAAATAATAAATAATAAAAAAAAGATTTTAGATTCAATCTTTCTATAGTTTCCAATCATGATTATTTCATTTAAATCATTTGCATGTATTACGCAATAAAATAATAAATAATTACACTTTTTTTTTTAATTTTCCATAATCTGGATAATTTTTACTAAAGATTTTAAGTTTCTTGAAATTTCGATTATGTTTTAGACTCGCTGTCTTAAATTGTAAATCCTTTTAAATCACATGATTCGGATAAAAAAATTTTTGAAAACCTATGATTTAGACTTTACATTTACATCTCGGCTATGTGAAATCAAAGACATTTGAATCCTTTAAAATCGAAAGTCTTTAAATTATAAAAGTAAATTTTTATATATTGAATTTCTTAGATCCTGGCTCTTTTTTAAATCCTAGATACATTAAAATTTAGATTTATTAAATTCTTGAATTCTAGGTTCCTTATATTATGTACCAGTAAATGATCGTGATATATCTATGAGAAACAATTATCTTTTTCAGCCTACTTTAGACTACTTTAGACGATTTATAATTCGTGACGAAATTCACGGGACGGATCTCTATTTATATAATTCTATGTATCATATAACATAAAAAATATTTGAAGAAGTGAAATATATACACATGTACGAAATCCATATCAGAATACATACACATATTAGGATATGCAGCACATAAAATCATAAATAGATTTCTATCTTGTATCTTATCATGAATTACAGATCGTCTAAAATGAACTTCAGAATATAAATCTAAAAAAAATATACATAATAACTATTTTTAAAAAATGTATGTATCCACAGATTACAATATAATCTCGTTAATTTTGACCCTCTAGGGCGGTAGACGTGGAAAATTTTTGAAAAACGAAAATTAACGAATGTTTTCTCCATAGCTGGCCAATCGCTGTGCATTTACGTGAATTCAGTTGCGTATACAAATTAATAAACTAGGGTTCATAAAAGTACATGCGAAGAGATGCCAAAATTAACGAAGCCAAATTTAAGAAAGTTCTACTGTATTTAGGAATTAATAAAACTACAATTCCTTTTAGCGAACACGAGACCCATTACCTATCTAACGGATACAATGCTCTCCATGTAAAGATGGATAACACAGAGAATTGCAGATATCGAGAGAAAAAGAAGTGTTAAAAAAATGGAAAAAGTAAGAAGATACAAACTCAGCATGTCGAACAAAACTCATGCGAAACGTCAATCAAAAAGGCGCGACGATCGCTGTCGCTTCGCCTCTGCTTGACGGTAAAGAGGCGCACTCGTGCCATTTGTTCGTGTGAGGATCGTAGCACTCGACGGTCGAGATCGTGATCTGCGTGCGATAGAAGTTGATCTCCTGCGATTGATCGCCACCTATGACGTAGAGTCGGCTGTCGGCCGCCGCGACAGCCGGATAAGATCTGCCCATACTCATGGGGGCGACGGCGCTCCATTTGTTCTAAAACATCGTAGTATTAAAACGAGTGTAAAAATTGACGAAAAACCAAAGAGATTTAAAGAGAGGAAGTTTACCTTTTCAAATGAGTATCTTTCGACCGATGTTAAAACTTCCTGATTCTTACTCGTACCACCGACAACGTACATATATCCGTCGAGGATCGTGATCCCCATTTGTGAACGTGGTGTGAGCATCGGCGCCAAGTAATTCCATTCTCTGGTCACGGGATTGTAACTCATCACGTCCTGACGATGTCGGCTATTATGAGTACAGCCACCAACGATATAGATTAATCCTACAAAAAATTTGTAAATTAGAATGTGATATATCTTTTTTTCAGAATTTAAAGAAAAAAGGTGTGACTGTATTCTGTCTTTTAAGACATTACTCGACACTTTCACAATACAATGAAGAAATACTTTACTAAATAAACAATCATCTTATTAAATAAACAATTTGTTCATTTGATATTATTGGACTAAAATGCAACATAAGTTGAAAAACAGATATATTTACAAATTTAATTGTCAGGCGATATATAATCGAGATATAAGGACAGGATGCTATTGGATTTTAGAAACGGAAGTATTACCTTCGTACGCGACGACGCCCATACTGAATCGTGGCTCCGGGAGATAACCATCGAGAGTCCACATATTGGTAATCGGATCGTATATCTCGATGGCGCCGCCAATGTCTTCGCCTACCCATCCGCCGAAAGCGTACAAGCAATTGTCCAAGGCACAAAGACCGAAGTCGCATCTAGGCTCCTCCATACAAGCGATCGGAGTCCACACGTTGTCGCGAGGATCATAACACTCGCAATTAGCTATTATGCAAGATTCCAACTCACCGCCGACAACGTACACTTTGCCGTCCAGCAGAGCCACTCCAGGAAGAATGCGTCCTATGCTAATCGGAGCCACTTCGCTCCATTCTCTAAAGAAATTTTAATGAGAGAGTGAGATTGTGTGTGTGTATGTGTATGTGTGTACGCGCGCGCGCCTCACATACTTGGATTCTATTCTTATTTAATAAAAGGAGAAATTTTTACATCCATTTATCAATAAGAAAGAAATAAAATCTTTTATACAAAACATTAAGATATGTGCAAGTAAAGGATAGAATGGAATAAAAGAAACATGTAGCAAAAATTTATTTGCTAAAGAAAAAATTAAAGTACTGAATTTTGTTTTTTCACTACTACTATTTTCACTTTACTATTAAAAACTGCGAGAGGAGAGAAGAAATAAAATGTCATCATATACCCAGTGAATATGTCGTATTTCTCGATAGTTTCGTAAGTACTCTCAGCGGTTCTACCCCAGCTGTCCGCGGAGTGTTCCCGCTTGGATCCGCCAATCACCAGGATGTTTTTCCTAGCGCAGACCCGAGGCTGGGCATGAAGAGGCACCAGGCAACCTTTATTCGAGACTAAATCCTTCTGTATAGATCGTAGCGCGACGATAAGACTCGCATCCTTGCACTCTAAGATAATACGCTCTAGTCTTGCTAATGAACACAATCGCAAGCGTATGTGGCCGAGGATCTCGAATACGTAGCACCTCCGCGCGGGGATGTCGTGAACGATCCAATTGTATGCGGCTTGGAAGACCTAATGTAAAGAGATAAATGTATTACACACACGCACACACACACGCGCGAGAGAGAGAGAGAAAACTAATTTATCTCGACATATCTCGCAAAGAAAGAGATTCACCTTTCTCGCTTCTGACGTCATAAATCAATATGACAAGAGTTAGAAACAGAAGCTTTAATGCCAGGATTATTTAACGTTCTCTCTAACAAAAAAAGCTTTTAAATACATACAATAGACATGCAAAGAAAATGAAAAACAATTTCTTTCGAAATAATTCGCTTTTATATCGCTAGTCTTTCTAGATATCTCTGGATATCTTGTTTAATTCTTTGAATTCGCAAAATTATATAGTTATACAGAATGCATTCAAATTAACTTAAAAACCATGGAATAACAAACCTGACATTCAGTATCAATGTGGATGTAATCACTACTAAGAAACTGAACAAGATGTTCCTTGGGCAGATCCAGAAATTCTTCCTCCTGACAGACTTGAGGAAAATTGACTTCTATAAAGCGTAGGGCAGTCTCCAAAAGATCCAGTCTGTTATGCGCTTCTGCAAATCTGTGATCAACAACATTGATAAATATTATTATGCAATCTTTATATCTTCGAAAGAGTATTTCATTATTTTTGCATAAATACCATTGATTTCAAAAATATCAAAAGATGTCTAATAATTTAGAAAATTCAAAAAGGAAACAAATATTTTTTTCTCTCGTTTTTTTAGTTAGATTTGTGTTACATAAATTGTTGAATGTGCCATTGTAATTTAAATTAATTACTTATAATTAATTTATCAATTTATTCATGAACTATATTTTTACTTTGAGTAATTTAAACAATAGCTAACATTTAATTTATACATCTCATGCTCTGAATAAAAATCGAAACATATTTCTAAACAAAACAAATTTTTTTTTTAATTTCCTCTATAAAGATTTTTATTGCATTATTATCTATAATTGACTCGAATCTTCTTTTTCTCTGTCTTTTGAATTTGTTGATCTTATTTATAACCTCACCTGTAAATCCCAAGAGCATTAGAATAATGTAGTTGCTGTTTGAGATAGTTGATACAACCAGTTACTACATCATCTAATTCTAACATATCAGCGGCAGCAAATAGCTCCTGTACATTATCCTGAGTAATATCCACATTTCCACTATAAATAAAGTCTACCAGCTGGGAGAGAATATGAGGGGAGATGGAGTGAATCTCCACGAGTTCCTGCTGCTCCTCGACCAGGCCAACGGTAAACATGGCATTGAAGTAGGCGCTACCGGCAGCCAGGACTGATCTATGTGCTCTGATGATTCTATCACCTGCCACCAGTCCCACATCGCTGAATTTGTTCTTCAGCCTCTGTGCATTGAGATTGCGTAAGAGCTTTGGAGGATAATGACCCACTGCGTAAACAACAGTGGATACTTCGGATGATTGCTTCACTGACTGCTGGCTAGTAAAACCTATATTGGAGTTGTGGCCGTTTTTCAAAGTCGGCGCCATGCCATCCGCCATGAAACCATCAAGTTGTCCTTTATCCACAGATCCTATAAGAGGTGTGATGATAAAAATGATATTAATTTGTAGTGATAACATTATTTTAAAAAAATGTTTCAATAAGCTTACTTTGATATAATGTTACAACACAAGAATCTAAAGATTTATCATTAATACATAGAATAATGACAATCATAAGAATTAAAGATTTGGATACAAATTTAGAAATCTGTATTAATGCTGGAATTAATAAAGAAATATAATAATTTATTTTTTTGGTTCATAAATTTTATGCTCTATTTCCTTCCAATGGAAGGGATGATTTTTATCTTAATGAAATAAGAAAGAGTAAATGTATGCTGAATATATTATAATTTATAAGAAAGTACATTGAACATATATTTCTGAATAAAGATGCAAACAATAAATTAGAAAAACGTAAATCTAATGGCAAGGACTTATTAAAAATGCAACTGTTGTAATTGCAATTTTTGAATATATCAAATTCTTGTTAAAAGAATCAAGGACTCCAAAAACTTTGAATTTTTTAAGACTTTCAAACTTGCACTGAATAAAAAAAATAACAGAGAGAGATATTTTATAATTTTGCTGGCATTGATAAATTTTTTCCAATAAATAATTCGACTCGATGATTTAATTATTGAAGGCTTACGAAATACTCACGACATAAACGAGAAAATACTCTGTAGACGCTGTTAAAGGACTTTGTGTTATTTTTCCCTTTTAGTCGCATCACTACCACCACATTTTTAACAAATTTAACGATCGATATTTTTAATTCGTACGCGAACAGATCCTTCCTCGGAAACGGCGTCCGTTTAATCGAGACAAGTATTTTTCACAAGAGAAATTTGACACACGTCAAATAACCTATAAGTACGTAAAATCAGCTGCAAGCTAAGACAGTAATGGCATCGATGAAGCGAGGAAATCCCTGTCGAATTCGTAGAAAAATTTTTCAAAATGTCTCTATGTTAATTATAGTCTATGTTTATAACTATATAAATGTTTAGATATCCGTACATTTTTATTAAAAAGAAATCAATTCGAAATTTGTCGATTCGAACAAGGAATATTATAAATAAAGAATAAAGAAAAAAAAAAAGAAAAAAATAAATAAATAAAAGGAACATAACTACATTAGTAATGCATTGTGGAATTTCATGAGGTGGGTGTAGTGGTAAATTTGAATAAGAATTTCTATTTTTCCACACGCAAAAGCATTTGAAATCTGAAAATCCATATTGAGAAAAACATCCTGTATTAAACTATTAATCAATATAAGAGAAAAAGAACACACAATGTAATACAGATTTATGTATTGTATATTCCATACTCTCTATTGACACATGAGCGTGTATATACAAGGAGCTTTTCTGTGAAAGACTTTTTTCGTTACTTTTTTTTTTAAATATAAAAATGAATCCTTACTAATTTGCAGCATATGTTTTATACATTGATTTGCAGTCATTAACATACGCGAATCCCTCATTTGTCTGACATGCTGAGATTTAATATTTAATTACAGGTGTTTCTGTCAGAATGTGGTTTTGCTTGATAAATATTATATCTAAATGTGACTGCAACTGATGCCTGACACTCATAATTTATACGTTCAGTAACAATTACACACATTAGATTGATCAGAAAAGTTGTTTTACTTTTTTTTTATTATAATGTAATGTAAAAAAAAATAAATTTTTTGATCAATCTAATATAATGTTTAAACATTATATTTTCTCTTTTTGAAAAAGAAAAGAAAAACGCAATTGTTAGTAGTGTAGCTCCATCAATTTTTCTTATTAAAAAAGATAATAACAATGTAATTCCTTTCTTTTTCAATACTTTTTTCTTAACTAATATACATATCTTAATTGAGAAATATTGATTAAGTTTGGTTTGCACATTGTTTGTTATAAATACATGTGTAATAGAAAATAGGTACTAGTTATATAATTGTAGATGTAAAGTCAAAAATTTAAAAATGCTACGAAGCAAGAATCCACAGAAAGGAATTTAAACAAAATTTAACAACCGTAAAAGTTTCTAACATAATTTCTTTGGAATTTATGTTAAGTTGGCAAAATTGACACCTCTAAACGCAATTGTGACTTAATTTGTCTTATAGATATATAAAGTTAGCATGTCAATTTTTAGTTTTATGCTTTTGGATTCTCACGTTTATTTTTAAATTTTTACCTGTTTTAATTCTGGATATTTACTCGAAAAAAAATTTCCAATCAAAAAAATTTTTAAATCCTTGAATTCTTAAACTCAATAACACATATATATTAATATATGTTTAAATATTCACACACAAATCTTTAAATTACACTGCATTCAGTCATTATTCATGAAATTATTGTATGTTCCACACACACACACATCACACATACACAATTATTAATGTTTCAAAATTCTAAAATCATTATTATCCTATTGCAATATTCGAATATATTTCTTTTAATAATATCTAAATTCTTGGATTTGCATTCTATAAGTTTTGTTTGCACTCACATCATTTCTAAGTCCTTTAATTTTTATATCTGTGAATTTTCATACATAATTTTCTAGATCCTTGAACATCTTATGATTTTGACTCATTAAAATTATTCTATGTTTTCTCCAAATACTCTACATACTAATCGTAAGAGAAATTTCTAAAGAGCTCTGACAATCAAAGGATCTAAGTTCACAAAACTCCAATTCTTCTTCTCTGTATATATCTGCTGTATAATGGATCATATTTTTAATTGGAGTATTATTTATAATATATTTACGCTTTAATTTACGGTTGTTTTTTGTTCTTAAATATATCAGTAGCTACGTTTTTAGATCTTTGAATTCTCAAATTTATAGATTCACAAATTGTGTACTTCCTTTCTTAGACCTACTGCTCCTTTTTTTAACTTTTTGATTCCTATAACTTTATTTTTGTAAATGCTCAAGTCTAAGATAAATCTCATACACTCCTCGTAATACAAGAATTTAGATATAAGTAGATATATATCTCGACTTACAAGGATTTAAAAATACAAAAGTTAAAAAATTCTTTTTCGAGAATATAAATTTCCAGAATATTTTCTTTCTCATTCAGTTCGATATATGACAAACTTAATTTTATTGCAAACAGAAAATAATGTTTACAGTCAATATTATTTACAGTATGTTTATTTTGCAAATGGATTTTCATCAAATAAATCTGTAGATTCTTAAATCCTTTTAGGTCACTAGTTGGCTGGATTTTCTTGATCGAGTCTTGGATTTTTACATTTTTGAATTTCTAATATTCCAAGGATATTTAAGTTTTCTTTCAGTTTTATGAACTTTTTTAGATACTGAAATCTTTAATTATTCTTAACAATTTTGGATTCTTTAAACTTTTAATTACACGTGTTTACATTTTAATATTTCTCCTAAGTTCTCAGTTTCAAAAGAGTCAAACTCTTGTTTAACAATTTAACAATACCGAGAATTAATTTGACTCGATTTTCTTTTGCTACCATGTTTTTGTAATACATTACAAATTAAAAACCTGAAAATTCAAAAAGTGAATCCAAGAATACAGAAATTTAAGAATCCATGAATTTAAGAATTCAAAACTAAAAGAATTGTAAGATCTGATCTATAGATAAACTGTAGATAACTGATGTTATTTAAAATTCATCTATAGATACCAATTCCAAAATGCAGTTCCAAAAAAGAATTTGACAACCACCCAAGGATTTAAGTCTTCAGAAGCGTACAGGATCGCGTGATCCTTTCCTCATAACGAGAAGAGGATGATGTTTCTCTTTTAATGAATATTATTTACACAGCATACACATTTACACGATATGTTATAATCTCTTTTTCGGCAACGAGCCAAAGGCCGATATAATGGTTGGTTTGGTGCCGGACGACGCGAGGGTCGTCAAAGTAGGTTGTGCAAGGAGCACTGTGGGCTTGGCTGTCGCGGCGGCAGCGGCAGCAGCTGCGACAGCAGCGGCGGCAGCAACACCGCCGGACGCCACTTGGTCCCACTTACTTTTTCGTTTCTTAGCGTCGTCGGTTCTTAGCGATTCCTCGGCGCCACTGCCGGTGGAGCTGTTTGGCCGTTTTGCAGTGCCGGATACGATCTCAATCTTCGTTTTCTCTTTGCGCGCTTTCTCGAGTTTGTCCATCTCTGTTTTCTGCACCTTGGCGAGTTCCTCGTAGTACGAATCCTTGCTCCATTTGAACGGATCAAACCTATCCGGCGGATAGTTGGTGCCCAACTCGTTGATGCTACAAAACTGAATAAGTTTCTCGTAAATGGATGGATTCCGGAACTCCTTGCGCTGCTGGATCAATGTGTTCATGTCTAGCCCATCACTCTCCATTTTCCGATATAGTTTCGCAATCTTGTCCTGCAGTTCGGCGGGACATTGACCCGAGGGTTCCGGTGGTATCGTCACACCGTAAGGGTCCTTGGTCTCCCCGTTATTATCTGAAAGCAATTCTCCGGAACGCGAGGAAGGCGACCGACGCTCAGCGCCGCCGCCGCCGCCGCCGATGGCGGTGACGGCAGTGGCGGCGACAGTAGTACCAGTGGCGGTTGCAACCGGGAGACCGTTCTCCTCGGGGCGACCTTCCGCGACCGTCGCAGCGATTGTCGCGCTCGCCGTCATTAAGGACGGTGCCGGTACCGGCGGCGACGGCGACGGCGGCGGCAACGCAGCAACAGCCGCCCCCTCATCGTCCTCGGAGACTACCGTGTCGTCAAAATAAGAGACCAATCGTTGCACCTTCGTAGCCGCGCCCGGCAAGTCGCTACTACCGGCAGACTTGCCGACGACGGGACTGTGCGAGGCTGAACGGCCTCCAGATATGGGACTGGTGCCAGATCGGGCCTGGGGCTGACGACCGACTTGGGCATTATGCGGGGCGGCCCCCTGGGGAGTGTTCGAATTCTCCTCCTGCAGGCGCTCGTCTTCCACCCCGTCCTCGCCCTCCGAGTCGGTATAGGTGGCGTAGAGAGATGCCAGAGCAACACTTTGTACAGACATGGTTAGTTGGTTTTGAGTGCCCGCCGTGCTACCAAGCAATATTTTGTGTGGGAACTCACCGGTCTAGCGTTGCACAGCCTGGCCCAGCGCCCAACTGTGCCACGTGAGGGCTTTAGAGGCGCGGGGACAGGAAGGCTTTTATGGGCCCGATGGGCGCGTTGAGCTTTGGTCGCTTTTAGTACGAACCTGAAATTAAATTACACATACATACATATTTATCATTATAATATATTATATTATATTACATTCACAAGATTAATGTCTTTATATATTAAATGATATAAATGTACTGGCAAAATTAAATTATCTATTTTGTTTATTTATATTTTTGTTGCGTATATACTGAAAAATTATATGAAACGCGTATTCAACAATATCTTATAATATTACATTTTCGAAGATAGATAGAAAATCTATTTAAACTCAGATTATTATTATATTGCTTTTAATGGGCAAATTTGTATCCATTATACCTTCTTTTCTTTTCCACAATTCTCTGGCATGAATATGAACTGAATCTCTATACAAATATTTACTCATTAAAATTTTGTCCAAAATTTCTCATGTCGGTTGCAATACAATCAATAGTTATAAAAACCAATAAATAAATAGTAACAACATTAACAGAGAAGCAAAATTAGGTAGAGATCATCTGATCTGTCTATTTGAGGTCAAACTGACAAACAAAATGTAGGTTAGAATCTAACCAGATCACGATAATTGTATTGCTAGCGACGAGAAATTTTTTCCACTGACCTTAAACTTTCAACGTCCAGGAATACCGCGTACAATTTAAATCAGTTTGTTTGCACATTACACAATCAATTCTTAATATAATTGTAAATAAATATTCAATAAAGAGTGCAAAATTTTATTCCATCATCGGCAACCATCGGCGCGTTCCTCTCAAAGTTCCCAAGATACTTTGCGTTCGTTATGTCCATAAATATAATAATACATATAGAGCAATTTCTTTATTTCATTTGTCGCAAGCTCTGACAGACGTACTGATTGGCCACTACTGCAAGAAGCTTTTGAAACCCTAGATATTTCCTATTCGATAGCCAATCGGCATGCTGATAAACTGGCTACTATTGGCTATCGAATAGAGAATAATCATCGAGATTCTATTCTATCAATAGGTTCGACAAACTTTATCATACCAGCCTGACGGATCAACGCGCAGATTTTTAGTTACATAATGCAAGTATCATGAGTGTGTGTTGATAGAAAGTTACTCGCGAAGATGGTCGGGATAACGCCGTATACTTGCAGAAATGCACTTCGTCAAGTGAGTGTTCTTCGAAGAACAAGAAAATCATTATTGATGATTTAAGACATTATGTAATTTTTCACTTCATTTTTCGTATAATTCTTTTTTCATCTAGTGTAGTGCAAACTACAAACACTTGTCAGCCTTGAAATAAAGAGCATGTAATTAGAATGTCATAATGTATATGTTGTTTTTCTTACTAAAAAACTTTAAATATTTATCTGTGAACTAGAATTTAATACTAAAATAAACCAGTTTAATAATTAATAAAAAGCTATTCTTTGCAATAATATGTGAACTCTGACATTTCAAGGTATATGTGTTTTGTATGCTACATATTTCTAAGTCTAATTTAGTATCAATTTTCTCAATTTTACAGATCAGAAGTTTGCACACTGCAGTGATTCAAAATGCTGAAGCCAGATTAAAGACCTTTTCAATTTATCGTTGGAATCCGGACAAGCCTGATGAAAAACCATATATGCAGAAATATAAGATTGATCTGAATACGTAAGTATCTCATTGTTGATCAAATTAAATATTTTTCTGTAATTTTATTAAATTATATAGTTTTCATTTTTTGCATTTTATACATTTTTTGTTTAGTTGCGGACCGATGGTGCTGGATGCACTGATTAAAATTAAGAATGAGGTTGATCCAACTTTGACATTCCGTCGTTCTTGCCGTGAAGGTATTTGTGGATCTTGTGCTATGAATATTGGAGGAACAAACACACTGGCATGTATTAGGTATTGCGTGCATTAGTATATACATATGTAATGTTTATGTTATTTAATTATTGAAGATGTAATTTATAACCCTGATTGGGACTTCTATTTCATACGTAAATTAAATCTTACATATAAAAAAATCTGCACTACTATAAAAATTAATTAAACACAAAAAATAGAGTAAAATTATGTGTTTTAGCAAAATTGATAAAAACACAAGCTCATCATGTGACGTTTATCCCTTACCACATATGTATATTGTCAAGGATTTAGTGCCAGATTTAAATAATTTTTACGAACAGTATCGTAGTATACAGCCTTGGCTACAGCATAAAGATGCAAAAAAAGTTGGTAACCAACAGTATTTGCAGAGTGTAGAAGATCGCAAAAAATTGGTAAGTAAGCTTCTTTGTCAGCAATATTTATTTGATTTTTCATTTTGATTATAGTCACTTTTCTTACTTAAAACTAAATACATAATTTAAGCTTCTTTTTGAGACAGGATGGTCTCTACGAATGTATCCTCTGTGCTTGCTGCAGTACTTCTTGCCCATCTTATTGGTGGAATGGTGATAAGTATTTAGGCCCTGCAGTACTTATGCAAGTAAGCATATATTTTAATATTATACATATAACTTTAGATATTGTATCATGTAATAGAATAAATAAATAAAAGGAACATAACTACATTAGTAATGCATTGTGGAATTTCATGAGATGGGTGTAGTGGTAAATTTGAATAAGAATTTCTATTTTTCCACACGCAAAAGCATTTGAAATCTGAAAATCCATATTGAGAAAAACATCCTGTATTAAACTATTAATCAATATAAGAGAAAAAGAACACACAATGTAATACAGATTTATGTATTGTATATTCCATACTCTCTATTGACACATGAGCGTGTATATACAAGGAGCTTTTCTGTGAAAGACTTTTTTCGTTACTTTTTTTTTTAAATATAAAAATGAATCCTTACTAATTTGCAGCATATGTTTTATACATTGATTTGCAGTCATTAACATACGCGAATCCCTCATTTGTCTGACATGCTGAGATTTAATATTTAATTACAGGTGTTTCTGTCAGAATGTGGTTTTGCTTGATAAATATTATATCTAAATGTGACTGCAACTGATGCCTGACACTCATAATTTATACGTTCAGTAACAATTACACACATTAGATTGATCAGAAAAGTTGTTTTACTTTTTTTTTATTATAATGTAATGTAAAAAAAAATAAATTTTTTGATCAATCTAATATAATGTTTAAACATTATATTTTCTCTTTTTGAAAAAGAAAAGAAAAACGCAATTGTTAGTAGTGTAGCTCCATCAATTTTTCTTATTAAAAAAAATAATAACAATGTAATTCCTTTCTTTTTCAATACTTTTTTCTTAACTAATATACATATCTTAATTGAGAAATATTGATTAAGTTTGGTTTGCACATTGTTTGTTATAAATACATGTGTAATAGAAAATAGGTACTAGTTATATAATTGTAGATGTAAAGTCAAAAATTTAAAAATGCTACGAAGCAAGAATCCACAGAAAGGAATTTAAACAAAATTTAACAACCGTAAAAGTTTCTAACATAATTTCTTTGGAATTTATGTTAAGTTGGCAAAATTGACACCTCTAAACGCAATTGTGACTTAATTTGTCTTATAGATATATAAAGTTAGCATGTCAATTTTTAGTTTTATGCTTTTGGATTCTCACGTTTATTTTTAAATTTTTACCTGTTTTAATTCTGGATATTTACTCGAAAAAAAATTTCCAATCAAAAAAATTTTTAAATCCTTGAATTCTTAAACTCAATAACACATATATATTAATATATGTTTAAATATTCACACACAAATCTTTAAATTACACTGCATTCAGTCATTATTCATGAAATTATTGTATGTTCCACACACACACACATACACAATTATTAATGTTTCAAAATTCTAAAATCATTATTATCCTATTGCAATATTCGAATATATTTCTTTTAATAATATCTAAATTCTTGGATTTGCATTCTATAAGTTTTGTTTGCACTCACATCATTTCTAAGTCCTTTAATTTTTATATCTGTGAATTTTCATACATAATTTTCTAGATCCTTGAACATCTTATGATTTTGACTCATTAAAATTATTCTATGTTTTCTCCAAATACTCTACATACTAATCGTAAGAGAAATTTCTAAAGAGCTCTGACAATCAAAGGATCTAAGTTCACAAAACTCCAATTCTTCTTCTCTGTATATATCTGCTGTATAATGGATCATATTTTTAATTGGAGTATTATTTATAATATATTTACGCTTTAATTTACGGTTGTTTTTTGTTCTTAAATATATCAGTAGCTACGTTTTTAGATCTTTGAATTCTCAAATTTATAGATTCACAAATTGTGTACTTCCTTTCTTAGACCTACTGCTCCTTTTTTTAACTTTTTGATTCCTATAACTTTATTTTTGTAAATGCTCAAGTCTAAGATAAATCTCATACACTCCTCGTAATACAAGAATTTAGATATAAGTAGATATATATCTCGACTTACAAGGATTTAAAAATACAAAAGTTAAAAAATTCTTTTTCGAGAATATAAATTTCCAGAATATTTTCTTTCTCATTCAGTTCGATATATGACAAACTTAATTTTATTGCAAACAGAAAATAATGTTTACAGTCAATATTATTTACAGTATGTTTATTTTGCAAATGGATTTTCATCAAATAAATCTGTAGATTCTTAAATCCTTTTAGGTCACTAGTTGGCTGGATTTTCTTGATCGAGTCTTGGATTTTTACATTTTTGAATTTCTAATATTCCAAGGATATTTAAGTTTTCTTTCAGTTTTATGAACTTTTTTAGATACTGAAATCTTTAATTATTCTTAACAATTTTGGATTCTTTAAACTTTTAATTACACGTGTTTACATTTTAATATTTCTCCTAAGTTCTCAGTTTCAAAAGAGTCAAACTCTTGTTTAACAATTTAACAATACCGAGAATTAATTTGACTCGATTTTCTTTTGCTACCATGTTTTTGTAATACATTACAAATTAAAAACCTGAAAATTCAAAAAGTGAATCCAAGAATACAGAAATTTAAGAATCCATGAATTTAAGAATTCAAAACTAAAAGAATTGTAAGATCTGATCTATAGATAAACTGTAGATAACTGATGTTATTTAAAATTCATCTATAGATACCAATTCCAAAATGCAGTTCCAAAAAAGAATTTGACAACCACCCAAGGATTTAAGTCTTCAGAAGCGTACAGGATCGCGTGATCCTTTCCTCATAACGAGAAGAGGATGATGTTTCTCTTTTAATGAATATTATTTACACAGCATACACATTTACACGATATGTTATAATCTCTTTTTCGGCAACGAGCCAAAGGCCGATATAATGGTTGGTTTGGTGCCGGACGACGCGAGGGTCGTCAAAGTAGGTTGTGCAAGGAGCACTGTGGGCTTGGCTGTCGCGGCGGCAGCGGCAGCAGCTGCGACAGCAGCGGCGGCAGCAACACCGCCGGACGCCACTTGGTCCCACTTACTTTTTCGTTTCTTAGCGTCGTCGGTTCTTAGCGATTCCTCGGCGCCACTGCCGGTGGAGCTGTTTGGCCGTTTTGCAGTGCCGGATACGATCTCAATCTTCGTTTTCTCTTTGCGCGCTTTCTCGAGTTTGTCCATCTCTGTTTTCTGCACCTTGGCGAGTTCCTCGTAGTACGAATCCTTGCTCCATTTGAACGGATCAAACCTATCCGGCGGATAGTTGGTGCCCAGCTCGTTGATGCTACAAAACTGAATAAGTTTCTCGTAAATGGATGGATTCCGGAACTCCTTGCGCTGCTGGATCAATGTGTTCATGTCTAGCCCATCACTCTCCATTTTCCGATATAGTTTCGCAATCTTGTCCTGCAGTTCGGCGGGACATTGACCCGAGGGTTCCGGTGGTATCGTCACACCGTAAGGGTCCTTGGTCTCCCCGTTATTATCTGAAAGCAATTCTCCGGAACGCGAGGAAGGCGACCGACGCTCAGCGCCGCCGCCGCCGCCGCCGATGGCGGTGACGGCAGTGGCGGCGACAGTAGTACCAGTGGCGGTTGCAACCGGGAGACCGTTCTCCTCGGGGCGACCTTCCGCGACCGTCGCAGCGATTGTCGCGCTCGCCGTCATTAAGGACGGTGCCGGTACCGGCGGCGACGGCGACGGCGGCGGCAACGCAGCAACAGCCGCCCCCTCATCGTCCTCGGAGACTACCGTGTCGTCAAAATAAGAGACCAATCGTTGCACCTTCGTAGCCGCGCCCGGCAAGTCGCTACTACCGGCAGACTTGCCGACGACGGGACTGTGCGAGGCTGAACGGCCTCCAGATATGGGACTGGTGCCAGATCGGGCCTGGGGCTGACGACCGACTTGGGCATTATGCGGGGCGGCCCCCTGGGGAGTGTTCGAATTCTCCTCCTGCAGGCGCTCGTCTTCCACCCCGTCCTCGCCCTCCGAGTCGGTATAGGTGGCGTAGAGAGATGCCAGAGCAACACTTTGTACAGACATGGTTAGTTGGTTTTGAGTGCCCGCCGTGCTACCAAGCAATATTTTGTGTGGGAACTCACCGGTCTAGCGTTGCACAGCCTGGCCCAGCGCCCAACTGTGCCACGTGAGGGCTTTAGAGGCGCGGGGACAGGAAGGCTTTTATGGGCCCGATGGGCGCGTTGAGCTTTGGTCGCTTTTAGTACGAACCTGAAATTAAATTACACATACATACATATTTATCATTATAATATATTATATTATATTACATTCACAAGATTAATGTCTTTATATATTAAATGATATAAATGTACTGGCAAAATTAAATTATCTATTTTGTTTATTTATATTTTTGTTGCGTATATACTGAAAAATTATATGAAACGCGTATTCAACAATATCTTATAATATTACATTTTCGAAGATAGATAGAAAATCTATTTAAACTCAGATTATTATTATATTGCTTTTAATGGGCAAATTTGTATCCATTATACCTTCTTTTCTTTTCCACAATTCTCTGGCATGAATATGAACTGAATCTCTATACAAATATTTACTCATTAAAATTTTTTCCAAAATTTCTCATGTCGGTTGCAATACAATCAATAGTTATAAAAACCAATAAATAAATAGTAACAACATTAACAGAGAAGCAAAATTAGGTAGAGATCATCTGATCTGTCTATTTGAGGTCAAACTGACAAACAAAATGTAGGTTAGAATCTAACCAGATCACGATAATTGTATTGCTAGCGACGAGAAATTTTTTCCACTGACCTTAAACTTTCAACGTCCAGGAATACCGCGTACAATTTAAATCAGTTTGTTTGCACATTACACAATCAATTCTTAATATAATTGTAAATAAATATTCAATAAAGAGTGCAAAATTTTATTCCATCATCGGCAACCATCGGCGCGTTCCTCTCAAAGTTCCCAAGATACTTTGCGTTCGTTATGTCCATAAATATAATAATACATATAGAGCAATTTCTTTATTTCATTTGTCGCAAGCTCTGACAGACGTACTGATTGGCCACTACTGCAAGAAGCTTTTGAAACCCTAGATATTTCCTATTCGATAGCCAATCGGCATGCTGATAAACTGGCTACTATTGGCTATCGAATAGAGAATAATCATCGAGATTCTATTCTATCAATAGGTTCGACAAACTTTATCATACCAGCCTGACGGATCAACGCGCAGATTTTTAGTTACATAATGCAAGTATCATGAGTGTGTGTTGATAGAAAGTTACTCGCGAAGATGGTCGGGATAACGCCGTATACTTGCAGAAATGCACTTCGTCAAGTGAGTGTTCTTCGAAGAACAAGAAAATCATTATTGATGATTTAAGACATTATGTAATTTTTCACTTCATTTTTCGTATAATTCTTTTTTCATCTAGTGTAGTGCAAACTACAAACACTTGTCAGCCTTGAAATAAAGAGCATGTAATTAGAATGTCATAATGTATATGTTGTTTTTCTTACTAAAAAACTTTAAATATTTATCTGTGAACTAGAATTTAATACTAAAATAAACCAGTTTAATAATTAATAAAAAGCTATTCTTTGCAATAATATGTGAACTCTGACATTTCAAGGTATATGTGTTTTGTATGCTACATATTTCTAAGTCTAATTTAGTATCAATTTTCTCAATTTTACAGATCAGAAGTTTGCACACTGCAGTGATTCAAAATGCTGAAGCCAGATTAAAGACCTTTTCAATTTATCGTTGGAATCCGGACAAGCCTGATGAAAAACCATATATGCAGAAATATAAGATTGATCTGAATACGTAAGTATCTCATTGTTGATCAAATTAAATATTTTTCTGTAATTTTATTAAATTATATAGTTTTCATTTTTTGCATTTTATACATTTTTTGTTTAGTTGCGGACCGATGGTGCTGGATGCACTGATTAAAATTAAGAATGAGGTTGATCCAACTTTGACATTCCGTCGTTCTTGCCGTGAAGGTATTTGTGGATCTTGTGCTATGAATATTGGAGGAACAAACACACTGGCATGTATTAGGTATTGCGTGCATTAGTATATACATATGTAATGTTTATGTTATTTAATTATTGAAGATGTAATTTATAACCCTGATTGGGACTTCTATTTCATACGTAAATTAAATCTTACATATAAAAAAATCTGCACTACTATAAAAATTAATTAAACACAAAAAATAGAGTAAAATTATGTGTTTTAGCAAAATTGATAAAAACACAAGCTCATCATGTGACGTTTATCCCTTACCACATATGTATATTGTCAAGGATTTAGTGCCAGATTTAAATAATTTTTACGAACAGTATCGTAGTATACAGCCTTGGCTACAGCATAAAGATGCAAAGAAAGTTGGTAACCAACAGTATTTGCAGAGTGTAGAAGATCGCAAAAAATTGGTAAGTAAGCTTCTTTGTCAGCAATATTTATTTGATTTTTCATTTTGATTATAGTCACTTTTCTTACTTAAAACTAAATACATAATTTAAGCTTCTTTTTGAGACAGGATGGTCTCTACGAATGTATCCTCTGTGCTTGCTGCAGTACTTCTTGCCCATCTTATTGGTGGAATGGTGATAAGTATTTAGGCCCTGCAGTACTTATGCAAGTAAGCATATATTTTAATATTATACATATAACTTTAGATATTGTATCATGTAATAGAATAATCCATCCAATATTAGGAATTTAGAAGAAAATGATACAAGTAAGAAATTCTTTAAGAATGAAATAAACACATATATGAACGGAAATTAAATCACAAGCATATAATTATTATCTTTTGAACAAATAATGTTGCACATTTATATCTCTAAAGATAAATTCAATTAAAATATATATAACTTTGCTTAATGCATCCTTGTTTTCATTTGTAGTTTTGCCCTCATAAAATCTATTTATATAGTTTTTTTTTTCTAATCTTTTAACTATTATTATTTTCATTAGGCGTATAGATGGATTATTGACTCGCGAGATACTCAAACAAATGAGCGTTTGGAGAAATTGAAGGATCCATTTTCAGTTTACCGCTGTCACACAATCATGAATTGTACACGTACTTGTCCAAAGGTGAGTTTAATTTACTATTTCAACTTATTATTTGAAAATTTGCAAAAATGCGTTATATTAAAACGTGTTATATTAAAACACAAACTTTTTTTTTTTATAGGGTTTGAATCCTGGAAAGGCGATAGCGGAAATAAAGAAATTGTTAGCTAATATTAGTCAAAAACCACAACCAGAACTTACAGCGACTCCATAACTAAGGGAAGTCAGGTAGAAGCAATAAGTTCAATATATATATATCCGTCTTACATTATACTACGTGCACAGCGAATATATATATAATCAGTGTAATATACTTCGTACAATCGAAGATGTGCAGATCTAGTGGATAAAATATTTTAGCAATCAAAAATTCGCTGTTACACTCTATCTTTAAATAAAACAGATTTCCTACCATGTGGAACTATGCAGTGCAGTAATTATTAATTATTAATGCAATAGCACAAACCCTCAAGTAAAAGCTACTTGGACCATGCTTTGTTAGCCTGATACCTTCACGGTTCGGCAGCCATTCGAATCCTAGCAGTCTCACGTGATCGATTATGTACCTCAGCAGTGCGCAATGTTATACCGAATATGTCTTCGTGATAGCGATTTTCATCCTGAAAGAGAGAGAATTATTCCACACAAGTGGAACAATTTATATCTATGTAACATAACTGTTATTTGCTATTATATACTGTGTGTATAAATATCAGATACAGTCAGAAAAGAATAATGGGTGAAAAATTTACCCTGACTGATAACATGTATGCTTCGACTTCCTTGTCCGTCATTTGGCCATGCGTTTGTATAATTTGTTTCAATGTTTGATAGACGTCTTCTGCCATTGTGCAATCTCCACAAACATAGAAATGTCCGCGCTCATGTACTACCATTGTGTAGATCTGAGATGCTTCCGCTTGAATCAAGTCTTGCACATAAGTCTAGATAAAATTCGTATAAAATGCAACTTAAGTTCATGTTATACCATTATAAATCATTTCTGTTATTTTATAAATTTGCCTATTTATCGTATTTATTAATTATTTTTCATTATTGATAAAATGTGATGAACTAAAGGGAACAATTACATTGCAATCAAATAAACCTAGAGTTTAAGGAACATGGATAGAGATAAAGTTCAATATATATTCACGGATCTGTTTTGATTCCATTGATCGAGATTTTGTTTCGCGAGATTCAAGTGTTTATAAAAATCTGTTAAGTTATTTGTTGTGCTTGCAAAATGCTTGGTCTAAACAAACTATTCTTGAATTTTAAATGAGTATAGCTTTCAAAGATTTTATTTGAAAGAAAAAATTCAAATGTTTCAATATATGAAAGACTCAAACTTCTTAGAAGTAGTATTCTATCTCCACAAACTTTTTCTTCCTAGTTATTTTCTTAGATATAAAGAACATACATGTACATGTATTTTACCTTCTTGATACCAGGCTCTCGTGATAATGCTAAAAACACTTTATCCAAGACACCAGCGTTCAACATTTCTCGCTTCTCTTGTCTGTATAAATCCAAATTTCTTTGACGACAGCCAAAGAACAGCCAAATCTTTCCAAATGCTTGATCTGCAAATGTTTTTAAAAAATAACTTCCGAAAAGAATTGTTTTCAAGATTTAACAGTCGATCTCAAACAATGATCATATAAACTATTTATGAATGAGACATATGTGTTGGATAGCCGCTATTTATACCATAGACAATTATTTAGTGCTTTTATAGAAATGCATATGGTATATGTATATAAAACTAATAGATGTATATAAGAAAAATATATGTACCCGGCTGACGTTTCATCTGAGCAAATCGGTGGTGCCAGAAACCTCGGAAAGGAGCGATTCCCGTACCTGGGCCCACCAATATTATTGGTGCTTTAGTTTCCGTCGGCATATAAAAGTTCGGCGCGCTTGAATATTAATCAATAATTATATATTTGAAAAACCTTCATATAACGTTTAATTAGCGAAATTTTGAAATAGTTTACCTCCGCACAAACACATATAGCATTTCTCCCTCGGATATCTCTCGCAGATAATTGGAGCAAACGCCAAAATGTACTGGTCCAGAACCGTCTAGAATCAATAATTAAATTATAATTGGAGATTGCAGATATATATGAATCATAACGTGAATGAAGAAAATGAAAACAAGAAAAGAGAAGAATAAGATACTTTGCGTTCGGTATTGCACCACTGCGACTGTTAGATGTATTTGCCCTTGGTGCACGGAAGGAGATGACGAAATACTGTAGAATCTCGGCTGCAAAGGTGTTAGATGAAACAGGAGTAACGGAGCGAATGGAATCACGGATGGGAATTCATCCAGAACTTCGGCCAAGTTAGGATACTTCCAATGTCTCCAATCCTCATAAGCCGTCGGATCCTATTTCGAAGAGAATTCTTTTTTCAAATTTTATACCATGTTTTCTTGCAGAATATTTTTAATTAAATTAGAGTAAAGTAATATATTTTTAGAGTTAAAATGCGTGTATGATAATGTTAAATTTTACGTATTAATGATATTTGAATAATATATTTTTTATTTTTCAAATATTTTTAACGTCAAATCCTAACTTTTTTAACTCTTTCAAAATTTTGCTTCGACCAACAAAGCTACATTTATATACATTTACGTATTTACATATTTACAGAGGTTAAAAGATTCAGTTGCTCCTGTTCTTTCGGGTTCGTAGCAATCGAAGCGAAATATCTTAATAGATTCGGCGTAGGCGGCGTCGTGATATCCAAAAATCGAGTTAACAGCATCTTTAAGGAATTCGGTAAATATCTGTCATGAGATATCCATGTTTTTACAATGCCTGGAAAAATTATTATTATTAGTTATATGATAATAGAGGAGAGAGAAAGAAAGAAATAAAGAAAAATGCATTTGATCGACACCGTTAGGAGTATGCGCTTGCTTCTGCATTTGGAGCTCGATCGATGTATTAACGTCAAAGGTAGACTGTACACGTCGCAAGATTCTCTCCACAAGTTCTGGTCGATTGCACGCAAATACACCTAAATGATCCCCAGGCTTGTAAGAGATATCCATGCCCATTATGTCATCCAATTCCAGAAGCAATGTCGTTCCACTGGACTCGTCGCCGCTCAAGTTGGTCCTTCGCAACAAATTGCACATCGTCACGTTTCTATTGTGGCATTTGCTCAATGCTTTATCGATAGGTTGTGGATCGGTCTCCACGAAACGGACTGTAGCCGCGGACAATGCCTCGGAACCTAGGGATTGGGCTACCTCCGCCAACGTATCGTCATCATCCAAGCAGAATGTTTCGCATGCGACCGTGAAAGTGTCGGCCGCCCACTTCCGGAAGGTTTGTTCCTGCCCACACATCTCATCACCCTGAGCCAAGCGAGCCAATCGTTCTCCGCCCAATTCGCCCAACAGGTTGTCGACGTAACGACCGAATGCGCAAAAATTTGGATATGCGGATGAGCCCAGCGCGAACACGGCGAACCGGACATTGCTGAGAGGTCCAAAGGTATCCTCGGTCTGCGAATCTGTCGTAGAGCCGCGCAGAGAATCCAGTCTATCTAATTTCTTCGACCCACTCACTTCCGTCTGGCTATTGGCCTTGATAAATGACTTCGAGGTCGCCAGATTCACTTTGTCGCTGTTAATGATGTAAGCATCGTTCATCTTCATCGCGTACAAATTCTGCGCGAAGACCTCTCCATTTTCCGGCGGATCGCCGTTCCCGAAAGTGGAAGTTACCACTAGCAATAGAGCCTCATGTTCTATATTACTGATATCGTAATCTGCCATCGAAAGTACCTGAGAGTGAAAAGCGTGGCCTAGCAATTCGTTCAATTTTTCCGCATACATCTGGGAAGTACCCGTTTCCGTACCGAACAATACAGTCGCTTTTATTCGACGTGACAACGCTCGTCCGAACAACTTGGATGTAAACTTCACGGCTCTCGCGATTTGCTTAAAATGAAACTTCCGCCTTGGTTTCTTCGTCGTCGTTTTTTTGTCGCGCCCCTTTTTCCATACGTGAATCTTCCACGCTGGATCCTGGTTATCGTAGGAAGGTTTCAAATGATAGAGCGACATTTCCTGGTGAAATACCGGCGTCGCGGATCCAGATATCGGTGGTACAATCCACAGCCAATCTGAGGGACATCCGTTTCGGAGACGCATCTCGTTATCGAGATGTTTCATGAAAGATTCCGAAGCCGTATGATGATCCACAATCGTCACATTTTTTATCTGAAAACTATGCAATACTGCGATGTTAGCTTCCACCATTGCTTTGTCCTTCCATAACGATGTGGCTGTCCTAGTGTCCAGGCCCATGTTTGTCGCTATTGTCTCGAGCATGTTATATCTATGAGCATCACATAAATCTCTGCAGCCAATCTCAGTGCCCATGTACCAGCCGTTGAAAGGCGCCGCGGTGAACACTAAACCTCCACAATCGAAAACCATTCCAGACACAGCCGGGATAGCGAACCATTTGAGATCCAATTTCTCAAACCAGTCATACCTGTTATCCAAATACAATGCAAATATTATCTCTTTATAGAGTTATGATATAATTGATGCATAACTCTTGAATTTAACAAGACATATCTCCGAGTGACATTTTATTTCAGAAAACAGAAAATTATTTATCTATATCATAGATAGATTTGTCTATTTTAAGTTGAATTTTTTTCCTTTTTATCCTCTAATCCTCTTATTTTCAAGAGTCTAAATAACATGCTTATATATCATAATGCATAAAATTAAAGTTCTTGATTTTCCAATGTATTTATATTGAATTACGATGCCAGAAATGAGAAATCATATAGTTTGAGACATCATAATTTAATATATAATTAAAAAGTGTTTTTGCAAAAGACGTGAATAAACCTAATATAATAAATAAGGTTAACGTAGTAATTCAATTTATGTAATAAATGAATATTAATTAAAAATATGAAGTTAAAGTTTTCTCTGGAAACTTTTAACAACTACTTACGTAGGATGACTTAAGTGTACTTCGAGTATCAGATCTTTAGGAATGTCGAAATAATCCGGATCGTGTCCATTGGCGGATAAAACAAGCGGTAACAAGTCAAATTTAGCCCGCTTTCCTTTCCATCCTAATTTCATGCAAAGCTGTTGAAGCAAAATGTTATTTTTATTACATTACTTTCGAGATGCATTCCTTATAGAGGGGATTTGTGTTTTAAGAAGTTAGAATATTTTTCGATTTTAGATCGTTGACAAGTTTAAGGTCTAATACAATCATATGTTATGATGTCTTTAACAATTCTAAAACTCAATACTGAATATCTTGCAAATTCTTCTATTTATCAATGAAACTCTTACATTATATTTGAAATAATAATTAAAAATGGGATTTTTAATTACGTTTTAATTTTATATATTTATGTATATACTTGTTAAATTTATTATTTATGGCATCATTGCAAAGAATATCGAGCGTTATATATCGGAGTTATCACGAATAGAAATAAATTACTATTCTGAAATATTACAACGAATTAAGATTAAAATTGGGCGTAAATAAATGTAACATAATTTAAATATATATATATATATATATATATATATATATATATATATATATATATATATATATATATATATATATATATATATATATATATATATATATATATATATATATATATATATATATATATATATATATATATATATATATATATATATATATATATATATATATATTTAAATTATGTTACATTTATTTACGCCCAATTTTAATCTTAATTCGTTGTAATATTTCAGAATAGTAATTTATTTCTATTCGTGATAACTCCGATATATAACGCTCGATATTCTTTGCAATGATGCCTAACATTGGAGCCATCAATATTAATCTTATCAACATAATATAAAAGCACGAAACAATAGCTGTTGATCGACACGTTGAAACAACGAGTTTGTCTTTTATAGCCGAGACCGCCGAGACAATGTAAACGCAATGATTTTCATTATCAATATTTTTCAGATGGGATATTTATACGAGCGAGAATATATTATATTCCTTTCTCGTATCGAAGAATTAAAAACTTCCCGCTATAAATGAAATATTCTAAGATGCTTATCGGGCAAATTATAAAGCTAAATGTCCTTTTGCAGAGGAGATGTCATAAAAGCCATTATTTACGGTAACTTGTAACATGCGCGTTAAAATAATCTCATTTTGTTCCACAATCCTAATTCAATTTCGTTTAGCCTTTTCAATATTTATATCGGAAAAATTAAACTTGGCATAAAATACGTGATATTCAATATCAAATCTAATAGGACACATTCGGTACAAAATAAACAAATGCAGAATTTTATAAATATGAATATAAATATAAATATATAAATGCATTCTGACCTCCGTAAATTCTACGGTAGCAGGATCTCCAATAATAGTGCCATCTGGATTTTTGTATCCCGCATAATTAATTAACTGCTGATTCCATACCCTGTAATCGTGTTTTCCATCAGTGCGTTGCGGAAATACTGTTATTGCAGATCTGAAAAAATATTTAAATATCCTATAGCAAAAATTGCGCAGATAATTAATATTAAATTTATTAAAATTTATAATATATGTGTATTAAATTAAATGAAATTTATTTTTAAAAGTTAATTTAATATTAAATCTCAATTTTTTTATTTTTTTCAATGTAAAAATGCGATTTAAGAAATAATCGAATTATTATTGTCTTCTAATTAATTAGTTCATTATTAATTAATTATTAATTAATTAGTTATTTCTTACCTAATATTTCCTTTATTTGTAGCATATTTGATATGATTGCACAAAGCCTCGAACATGCCACTTGTAGTCGTAACATAGCGGCAATCGAAGACCTGACACACAAATTAACAAACGTACATAAATTTTTCTCAAATATGCATGAATAAGCGTTTTGAAAAATATCGTTAGCATGAAGAAAAATGTTGCGATGTGAAATAGACCTGTAATTTTGACCATTGTATACGGCCGATGCATCTCACGGCGTTTCGCCAAGCTACTTTTGCACCGAACACCAATTCCGTTTCTGTTAATTGATATGTACCAGTGGAAAGCACTTCCTTCTGCACACTTTCCCAACGTGCGCGATGAGCATCGCTATTTAATCTGTATTAATCACAAAGAAAATGCGAGTTTGAAGAAAAGTACTTGTAATATATATTATAATTTAAAGAGATCCACACAACACGAATATACCTTCTGATAGAAGTGAAATATTGCTCCAGAAAATCTTTTGCGTGAATTAAGACTTCTTCTTTTGTACGTGGCTCGGTTCCATGAAGCGGTAGCTGCATTATGCTACCGAGACATTGTTGCCTCGTGCAAAGAGTATTCTATAAAAATTCACTTAACATTATTTTTTCAATTATTTGTTTCAACTATATGCTTCTTTCGTTATCACTTTTATTATTAAGATATGCGCTGAAAGTTTCAATAAAAAGAATTTTAAAGTAGCTTATTATTGATGGCACATAATTGGGAAAGTAACGATTTTATATATATAAAAAAAAAAGGAAAATAAAATTTCTTCACACAAAGCTTTGTTTTTAAGAAAATCAAGCTTGATAAAATAAGACAATATATCTTCTGTCATTTTTTTAAAATTCGACATTTAATTTTGAGATTATAATCTTTCTTCATATTGTTTCACTTGTCAAATTTTTCGAAATTATGATTTTTCGGGACATAGTTCTATTTTTCAAATGTTAGTCTTATTTTTCTCGAAAGACTTTGTATGTTTATTAACAAGTTTTAATTACATAATTCATAGATCATAACAGCGACGATCAAAGTATGAGTAAAAAGAATCAATATCCTAATTGAGCGTATAATAAAAACAAATTCTATATATATATTTAAACATAATTAAAACAAATATAAATCCGCGGCACTTATCATTGAAAATTGAGCAAGCTCAAAACAGGAAAAATATATTAATAATATTTTATTAATGTCAAGAGAGCTAGATTTTCTTTCTTATATACATAAATCTCTATAAGAAAATTTTATTCCATGTTCTTGAATCTTATAATGCTTTTTTCTGATTGTATCACCGATAATAGACTACTCTGTGTTATTTATGATAAAGAATAATCTAACATTTCTAATTATTTGTTATCAATCTTCAAGATCAAAAGATTTTTTAAAAAATACCTCGCCATTTTTTACGTGCAAAGAATCGAATGCCTCCGTCTTGTCCGCGAGATTTTTTAATTTCGTAGGTTTTTTTTGTTGAGACGTTCCGTCGTGATCCTTCATCTTGTATTCACAAGTGTTTAACTGCTTGTTGCTTAACAAACTGGAGAGAAGAATGACGATAGAGAGGAAAAGATGAGTGGATAGGACACAGAGATGACACAACGCAGCATCTCACGTGCCGTCATCTCACATGCGCCAGCATGCGCAACATTGATCCATTCCGCTTGTCCTCGGAATGTTGCGGAATCGATCAACAGGAAATATTTTTTACGTTAAAATGAAAATTTGAAACAGGAACGCGTGTGCAACACATAATGTCTTACACATTCATTAGCAATATCATTTTTTGTTATTAATAATATGATACAATCATAATAATATATAAATATATATACATATGTATATGTATATAGAATTATGATCAATAAATTGCAGTCAGTTATAAAATAGCAAGAATTAATTTGTCAAAGCTCGAAATAATTATAAAATATATTTCTGCTTTGGCTAATTCAATTCAATTTACTAATTCAATTTAGTATTAGTCGATTTTAATTCAATTTAGTATTAGTCCATTACTTTATGAATTAGTCAAATTTTATATATGGCCATAAAACACACACATATACTAAAAAAATAGGGAACACTTTTCATACACTAAAAATTGGGCACAGATATATAGAACAAAGATAAAAATTTTTTTAAAACTACTGATAGCGCGTTCAAGTTAAAACTTCAAGCTTCAAAATGCTTTTTTAATTTTTTGTCTATGATAATTTTTTGCCGAGTTTTAGCGGTTTGAAAATCTAGACCAATTTTTAGCGTATAAAAAGTGTTTCCTATTTTCTTTGAATAGTATATTATGTCTGAAACTGAATAGCCAAAGCACAAATTCTATTTTCTAAAGTCTCGAATTTTGAGTAATCAATTTTCTTTCTTTCTCTCTTCTCTTCTATATTCTTTAAAATTAATTTTAAATTAGTTTTAAATTCAAAACACTAATATCTACAGTATGTAAATAAGACACAATATATTGCAAAACTTAAGAATAGCAAATAAATATCTATATAAATATGTAACAAATATTGATGCATTTGGTAATAAATTCCAAGAAAAATATAAATTTTTGCTATATATATGTGCTTACAGAATATCTGAGGATATTGTACAAAATTTATACTCTTGAAAGATTAAATAAATTTAATAAACAAAATATATCTTTACGAAAACAGTGATTTTATGGACTTATATTAATTTAAAAAAATATACATTCTAGTAGTTTTTCTGAAGAAATAAATTAGATAAAAAATAAATCAAAATATTATATGTTTAAAAAAAAGTAATTGCTAAACACGTCTAAAGTAAAATGTCTTGTAGCAAAAATATAGCTTACGATTCTTTTTCAGCTCTCGCCACGCACGTCAGTGTGTGATATGGCTAACCAGAACACGAAGTGACCGCTTTCTACATCGAAGCTTCGTGCTTTAGCCGACAGAGTCAGTCAAAATATCCATTCGATTCGCTCTCTGGTCGTAATTGTCGAGGGAAAATCAACTTATATATAATACCATATAAATCATATATTACAATATGAACCACATATTATTATACCAATTAGTTCACCAAAAATAAAAACATCTAAATAATATTTAATTTTTAAATTTATATAAAGGAATGTTAAAAATATAATTTTTGCATCTATATAAATTTGACAAAACTATAATGGATACAAAATCATTCTTCTAGGATCATTATTTTTGGAATTCAAAATCAATGGTAATTATCTTTTTATTTCTCTAATGGAAAGAAATTAGATATTTATCTTTCATATTTTATGTATAGCCTTAGATCATTCTTGAAAGATATATTATATAGTAAATATAAAATCCACAAAAATAAATTTTAACTGTTCCAATGTACCTATTTGAGAAGAGAACATATTTTTATGATATTAAAAATAAAAAAATAATTTGTGGCAATTAATTTATAGTGATTTTTTTATTCTGTATCTTTATATTATATATATTAGTGATTTATAGTCAAAAAAGAAAGATACGGAAAAGTGGAAAAAAAGCAGGTTTTATTAAATGTAAATAACTATATAACTATCATAGGTGAAAACTTGGTTACTTGAGATACATCCACTTCATTTATATCAATTAAGTCTACACCAATGGCAGCTAAAATTGCGGCACCCAATGCTGTTGTTTCAACCATGTTTGGTCTTACTGTTCAACATATAATTATTTATATAAAACATTATCTTATTGATTATGAAAAAAAGTATCTTATCATTTTGACGATATAGAGGAATCATATATCAATATTAATATTTACTTACCGACAGTTATCCCCGTTAAATCTGCTTGTAATTGCATTAACAAATTGTTTACAGTCATACCGCCGTCAACTTGCAGCATTGACAGATTCGTTCCTGAATCTTTCACCATTGCCTCTAACATATCTCTCGTTTGAAAGCAGACTGCTTCTAATGCTGCTCGTATAATATGGTACTGCTCTGTATCCTCGGTAATACCGCAAATTACTCTATTCCATTAAATAATATAAATAGATGAAGATGTATTAGTGCTCGATTAAAGAGAAAAACTTTTTTAGAAAATAAAAAAGAATAAAAAAGAAAGCAGTAGAAAAAATAAGGGACAATACCCGCGCGCATCTTGCTGCCAATAGGGCGCGTACAGCCCTGAGAAAGCTGGCACAAAGTACACGTCGCCAGAAGATTTCACACACTCTGCCATATTCTGTATTTGCGTTATATTACTAAAAAGTTGCATATTATCTCGAAGCCAGGATAAAGCAGCTCCAGCAACAGCGACTGATCCTTCTAGTGCATAAACAGTTGGAGATTGTCCAATCTTGTAAGCAACAGTAGTTATTAAGCCTTGCCTCGAATCGACTTTCTGTAATTTTTATGAATTACTTTTGAAGAACATATTTTTATATAAAAAAGGGAAAGTATTTACCCTCTTTTTCCCCCTTTATATATATATATATATATGTTTTATATTATACATACCATATTTCCTGTATTGTAAAGTAGAAAGCATCCTGTACCATATGTAGCCTTTGCTTGACCAGGTTTCAAACATAATTGACCAAGAAGAGCTCCCTGTTGATCACCCACACACTATAGTACAAAGAAAAATGTTACAATTATTACATAATGCTGCCTACTTCAAGTACACTAGCAATTAATATTTCCAGTTACATAAGCAATTAATTATTATATTCTTAAAGACACTGAGAAAACATATTTTCCTGCAAGTTCATTAAATTTGTTAAAAAATTTCCTGTACATTGAAATAAATCTATTATTCTGCTTAGGAAAACCATAATTGAAATAATCTTAATAATAATAAAAAGTTTAAATTCAACTATCAAAATTATTACATTAGCCTGAAAATAACTTTAATTAACCTTTTTTTTTTTTTGTAATAATCATTAGTTATAGCTAATTATTCTTTCATCATTATATTACGTATCCGGTATATACTCCTTATCACGTCGTCTTAAGTGAAATTTTATCGCCTGTAACTTTCACCACATATCAGCCGTTTGCAAGCAGTTCACGTTTCTACTTGCACAATTGAAAGGATTACATGTTTTCGCACAGCTATCCGCATACAAAACGATAAGACTACTTTTCCTGCAGCGATGTAGTGACAAAGTCAACGAAAAGAATCGGAAATTTACGCTGTGGCTTTTTCAGCAACAACATTTTCTTTAATTAATCCGTAAAGCAAGTAGAAGAAACAGACATTTCTCTCTCTGTCTCTCTCTCTCTCTCTCTCTCTCTCTCTCTCACTCTCTCTCAATATTTATTTCATGTTTGGTATAAAAATATATGTATACATACGATTAATTATTTATTAAAGTTGTAGAACAATTCCATTTCATGGATCTTTCAATAGCCATTTTCCACTTGGAATATCTAAGATCTCTCTCTAAAATGAAACATTCGAATGTTATTAAATGATTTTATTTTCCTTAGCTTTAAATTATTATACAGCTATGTATTAAAAAATATATGACTACTTACCATTTTCACCAATCATAGGTGAAAACTTGGTTACTTGAGATACATCCACTTCATTTATATCAATTAAGTCTACACCAATGGCAGCTAAAATTGCGGCACCCAATGCTGTTGTTTCAACCATGTTTGGTCTTACTGTTCAACATATAATTATTTATATAAAACATTATCTTATTGATTATGAAAAAAAGTATCTTATCATTTTGACGATATAGAGGAATCATATATCAATATTAATATTTACTTACCGACAGTTATCCCCGTTAAATCTGCTTGTAATTGCATTAACAAATTGTTTACAGTCATACCGCCGTCAACTTGCAGCATTGACAGATTCGTTCCTGAATCTTTCACCATTGCCTCTAACATATCTCTCGTTTGAAAGCAGACTGCTTCTAATGCTGCTCGTATAATATGGTACTGCTCTGTATCCTCGGTAATACCGCAAATTACTCTATTCCATTAAATAATATAAATAGATGAAGATGTATTAGTGCTCGATTAAAGAGAAAAACTTTTTTAGAAAATAAAAAAGAATAAAAAAGAAAGCAGTAGAAAAAATAAGGGACAATACCCGCGCGCATCTTGCTGCCAATAGGGCGCGTACAGCCCTGAGAAAGCTGGCACAAAGTACACGTCGCCAGAAGATTTCACACACTCTGCCATATTCTGTATTTGCGTTATATTACTAAAAAGTTGCATATTATCTCGAAGCCAGGATAAAGCAGCTCCAGCAACAGCGACTGATCCTTCTAGTGCATAAACAGTTGGAGATTGTCCAATCTTGTAAGCAACAGTAGTTATTAAGCCTTGCCTCGAATCGACTTTCTGTAATTTTTATGAATTACTTTTGAAGAACATATTTTTATATAAAAAAGGGAAAGTATTTACCCTCTTTTTCCCCCTTTATATATATATATATATATGTTTTATATTATACATACCATATTTCCTGTATTGTAAAGTAGAAAGCATCCTGTACCATATGTAGCCTTTGCTTGACCAGGTTTCAAACATAATTGACCAAGAAGAGCTCCCTGTTGATCACCCACACACTATAGTACAAAGAAAAATGTTACAATTATTACATAATGCTGCCTACTTCAAGTACACAAGCAATTAATATTTCCAGTTACATAAGCAATTAATTATTATATTCTTAAAGACACTGAGAAAACATATTTTCCTGCAAGTTCATTAAATTTGTTAAATATATATGTTTTATATTATACATACTATATTTCCTGTATTGTAAAGTAGAAAGCATCCTGTACCATATGTAGCCTTTGCTTGACCAGGTTTCAAACATAATTGACCAAGAAGAGCTCCCTGTTGATCACCCACACACTATAGTACAAAGAAAAATGTTACAATTATTACATAATGCTGCCTACTTCAAGTACACTAGCAATTAATATTTCCAGTTACATAAGCAATTAATTATTATATTCTTAAAGACACTGAGAAAACATATTTTCCTGCAAGTTCATTAAATTTGTTAAAAAATTTCCTGTACATTGAAATAAATCTATTATTCTGCTTAGGAAAACCATAATTGAAATAATCTTAATAATAATAAAAAGTTTAAATTCAACTATCAAAATTATTACATTAGCCTGAAAATAACTTTTATCTGAAGTTTCTTGTATTTTTACATTAGTCTTGAAGACAAATACAAAAATTAACTTAAGTTTATAGTAAATAAAAAGAATATAAAATTTTCTTCATGCATACTTACACCTGCTATAGGTATGCCTGCAAGAGCTTCAGGATTTGAAATATAGCCATAGACTTCTGCGCTGGACCGTATTTCAGGAAGAATATGTTGTGGAATATTGAAAAAGCTGCATAATAAAGAATCCCATTTCAATGTATCGATATTCATTAGCATTGTGCGAGATGCATTTGACACATCCGTAATGTGTAATTGACCCTTTGTGAGATTCTAAACACAAGAAGTACTTGATGATAACATTTGATATATTTTATTTACTTTTATTTTAGTACTTAGTTACTTACCCAAATGAGCCATGTGTCAATTGTTCCAAAAGCACATTTTTTTGCATCCACTGCTTGCTTCACACGTGAAATGTTATCTATCAACCAGCGTATCTTGAGAGCACTAAAGTAGGGAGACATTGGTAAACCACATAGAGGTTTTAAATAATTCTTGTTTCTAGTTTTATTAGGGACGTTATCCAATATGTTTTCTAAAGTTGTTGTTGTCCTCATATCGTGCCATACTGTAAAGTTGAAAACAATTTTATTTATTAATATTTAACATGTCTATAGCGAGACAAAATTTCTTGCACAAATAGTTTCTATAATTTGCATTAAATTATTAAATGTATAAGGATTCAGCAAGAAATTTGTCATAAGTCTTATATAAAGCTAAGATATTTTATATAATATCTGTTTATACCAATTGCATTATGCAAAGGCTCTCCGGTATCCTTGTCCCAAACTACTGTTGTTTCCCTTTGATTAGTAATCCCAATAGCTTTTATATCTGAGATTGATAAGCCAATGTCTTTCATCTTTTTTACAGTCTCTTGTATACATTCTATGACAGCTTGTAATATTTCTTTTGGATCCTGCTCCACCCATCCTTCTTGAGGATATTTCTGTTTAATTTCGATCTGATGCAAAGCAATTATCTTCCTGCGTAACACATCAAACACCTAAACATATAAATATAATAAACTTTACAAATTACATCAATTTTTAATGATCCTTTTAGTTTTTATTTTACAGTTTAATCATGGACGGTTCTTATTTCTTATTATTGAATTCTTCTTTATGCTATAATAATATATATATGTAGTTGAAATTTTATTTCAAATCAATCTTACCAAAAATCTAGCGCTACTCGTTCCCTCATCAATAGCACCTATGTAAGGCCCGCTGGTCTTTTTTACAATGTTCTTAGGCATGTCGCTTTCTTGTGTAGAAAACGGTTAAAAATCACGTTCGTGCGGTTCGTGTAACGTTACTTTCCGTTAATGACATACATTGATATAAACTTAACCTTTGTGATAGCCTGTTACGTAACGCATATAAGATTAGTCATTAAAGATATTGACACATATATTTCCGATATTAATATTATCAATTTTAGAAATAATTAATTCTAAACTATAGAGGTATATGGAGCTATAAAGCACCATATATCGCACAATTATTGCAATTAATCTATCAGCCTATTGTTTTTAACATTTAAGAGAAAGATTTAACTTCCGTAACTTTTCATTTTTTCTTATCTATAGAAAAATCCATAAATTCTAGATAATGTTATACATAAAAAACTAGCAATAGTAAGATCATCCATCTTCTTTAGATCTCAGGAAAGAGATATAGATCATATATATATCATTAAATGAGATTTCAGGAATGTAAACGATTTCAGGAGCTATAACGAGTACAAGGAAAAATAGAAATAACTGCAGATAACAGATAACATATCAATGTTATATATATATATATATATATATTTATAATTAAATTTTTTATATATGTGTATATATTTGCAATTAAGAGCTTTCTTCTCAAAACTTAAAAATTCTATCAAAATAAAATCTACTTTATAAATTAATTAAAAAGAAGATTTTTATCTATTCGTATCTCTGAAGTTATTAATGTTTTCGTTTTATAACTATTTATAAGTATGCCTTTTTCGTAAATAAATTGATTCAATTCGAATAAAAAATTCGTAATAAAAAAAAAATGTTTAGTAAAAGATATTTTATATTGTTTATTTTACTATTGAATTATTCTATTATTCTATCTCTGGAAGTATTGATAAAATAAAAGTCAAATCGACGATAAATTTTGCCATCATAAAATATTGTATTAGCGGCGTATTAACAATAACGTAGAAAATTGTATTTTGACTGTTAGATATGCCAAATAGTCAAGATGACATGTGAAATGTCACATATATTTAAAATAAGAGATTTAATTATATTATTTATTTTGAATTTAAGAGAGCCTGTCCTTTTTAATTTATTATAAAATAAGAAGGTCATGTATATTTATGTTTTTTTGGAAATGTTATTTCAACGATTAATTTTCAAAAGGTTTCACCACAGAAACGCGAAAAAACGATGAAAGGCATATTTATATATGCTTTATTGTGTGTAATATAGCAATATAATCTCCACGGTTAGTCTCCAAGAAACTTCGCCGCAAAAACACGAGAAGACGATGGAGCGGCTACTTATTTGCGTTTTCACTATATTGTGCTTTGTTTCTGCAAGTATTGGTAAGATAAAATACAAATTGTCAATCGGCGTGATAGATTTTATTATCATACAATACTGAGTAGCTGATTTTGATTGTTAGATATGATAAATAAGAAAGTAAATGAATCATCCATATATCTCTATCACAACCACGAAAATTATTTCTATCTTTAATCAATTTGGCGGTTTCTAATTTACCGATTATATAGGCTATTGTTACACTCAGTTTTTTTTATCTATTAATAATGAAAATTTTTTTAATCAACAAAGGAAAAACAGGTTTCGGTCCTGGAGAACAAGACTGGGGCTACGTTCAAGTACGTCCCTATGCAAACATGTTTTGGTGGCTTTATTATACTACGGCAGACGTTAAATCATATTATGACAAACCGCTAGTCATCTGGTTACAAGGTGGACCAGGCGGATCTTCGACCGCGTATGGAAATTTCGAAGAACTAGGGCCTCTTGATACGGATTTAAATCCAAGAAATTACACTTGGGTAATTAATTATTGCGTGATATATACAAAAGTATAAAATATAGTCTCTCAAAATTAAGCATAATCTATATTTAGTCGTATGTATACTTATAAATTATTGATAACTGAAACACTATTATCAAAATGTATAAAGTGATTCGGTATTATTAATATATTTGGAAAAGGATAAGAAAGATGATAATTTGCATAAAAAATTAAAAAGAAAAATTACGCAGAATAATAAAATATAAGAAACTGCGGCTTTTGTAAATCTATTAAAATAAACTTATAGATAGTCCCTAATATATATTTGTGTCATAGGTCAAAAATTACAATGTTCTCTTCATCGATAACCCTGTTGGTACCGGCTTTAGTAACGCTGAAGATATATCGGCATTCGCGACGACAAACGCTCAAATCGCGAGCGATCTTTTAGAATGCATTCGAGGATTCTACAAACAATTACCGCAATTTAAGCCTGTTCCAACGTATATCACCACTGAATCGTATGGTGGAAAAATGGGCGTGGAATTTGCGCTTATCTGGGATCGAGTAAGAAATACAAATGTGCTAATTACAAAAAAATAAAGAATTATACGGTTCCACTAAAAAAAATATTATTTATAAATCGAAAAAAATAGTGTAACTTAAGAAAATAATAGAAATTTTCATCAACTATATAAGGTATCCTTAAAGCAAACAATTTCTTTCTGAGACGCATTTTTGTATTATAAAAAACAATGGAGATATTTAAAGTAATCATAGGACATTTTCTCTCTTTCTCTCTCTTTCGGTAAGCCATAATATTTGTAAATAGTTGTGGTAATTGTCACAAATAATGGCACATTCAATAAAGCGACGTAACGATTTATTAAATAGGAATTTGCATGTGTCTGACATAACGCAAACTTGTGTTCCTTAGGCTCAAAAAGCTGGCACTATTGAAAGTAATCTAAAGGGGATTGCACTTGGGGACGCTTGGATTTCTCCTATCGACTCTGTAATGACATGGGCGCCATATCTACTCAGCATGGTATTACATATTTAATTATTCATCGTCTGTCTGGCATCTGTTCAGCATCACGTAATGCACCGATTTTATAATAGATCATATAAAAATAATCATATATAAATAATATTACTGAAAAAGAGATAAACACACGCCTTAATAATAAAATTTAATGGCTTTCTCTGACATTTCTCTTTCACCTTCTCTTGATATCGGCTTCCATTAGTTTCACGTAAAATTTTATTCTCTATTATTTATGCATTCTTATAAAATACTTGGACTCTCACAGGGTATGATTGATACGGAAGATTTTAACGAAATTAACGCTGCGGCAAACAACACAAGAGATAAAATAGAAACAGGCCAATGGCAAGCAGCAACTCTTCATTGCATTTATACGCGAGATCTCATTTTAGAAAAAACTTATGACGTTGACATCTATAATATTTTGACAAAGAAGAAATGGAACTATTCTTATTTATCGCCGCAAGATGTATTGTCCTTTGATGAAGGTATACGTTCATTTAATATAATAGATGATAATTAGCATAATAATCATTATCATATATAATTCGTTTTTTAACAAATTGCAAACGCTATATATCGATATTTTTTTCAAGCTGGGACTCAGTTACTTGATAGTTTGATGAACGGCCCAGTAAAAAAAACGCTCGGTCTTAACGTCACTCATGGTAAACAATCTGGCACAGTTCGCGACTACTTAATAGATGATTATATGAAGCCTGTTACTAATATAGGTATCGGTCAAATACATCAGATATATAAATTATTAAAACAAAAATACGATAAAGAAAGTAGTGTAACTCAATGATGCATTGTCATTGTTTCCTCGTGAAACGAATGTAAAAGCTAAATAATTCAAAAGCTTTCGAAAAGCTGTTGAATCAATTTTCATGAGTTATATAAATTCATGAAGTAAGAACAATATAACTGGTAAACACATGTATAAATTTAAAATTCTGTCATGATATATGCATTCCGATACATTCAGAGACGTATTTGTTTGCTCTGAAACTGAATTTTTCGCGAGATGTCAAGATATATTATTTCTCGTATAATGTAACACATTGCGGTTTATATTTATAATACATTATAATCTCCTCACGAAAAATACACAAATATATTTTGTTTCAGTGGAACAATTATTAAATGAAACTAACTTGAACGTTATCGTATACAATGGACAATTGGACTTAATTACAGATACACCGGGTAAATTAATTTATTTACTTCTATGTGCTACAACACATAATGAATAATAACGCTAATAGCTAATAACGCTAATTATATAATTTGTAAGAAAATTTTATAAAATAAATTAAAACACATTATAGCAATCTTAAATATAAATAATAAAAATATGTTGAAATATGTTGAAATAAATTGAAATATTTCAAATAAAATCTATAATAATATCAAGCATCTAGATATTTCTCAAATAGCCGAGTAAATAGAAATTTTTGGATTACTGAATTATTTTTTTCGCATTTTGATAATGTCCTAACAATTTTTTTTAAAAATTATTTGTTTTAAAAAATATTATGAATCCTCTGATTTGTAAAAAATCAAACCCTACATGAGAAAATTTTATTCTACTTTTTCAGTTCTTTTTCCATATAAAATTACCATCTTTACAATAGCATCGTCAATAATGAACCATTTTATATATCCTGTGTTAGCACACTTATTGACATTATTTACTAGAAATTATTACGCATAATATTTTTTTAATGTTCTCGTATAATCCATGGTTACTTTATTATATTTTAGGCACCCTTCGTTGGGTCGAAAAACTAAAATGGCAAAATAGCTGGTGGAAATATTTGGTGAGGCTACCACTCGTCTCTCAAGAGGACTTCATCGAGGGCTTTTCGAAAGCTTATGATAAGTTCCGTATGTACTGGGTGAACAGAGCTGGACATACGGTATGCATACTCTCACTTTCTCACTTTCTCTCTTTCCATTCAATTTCCGTATTTATTGTAATATCATCGTAAGCAATTCTTAAGATTAATTTGCAACAAGTAAAATTCTAAATCGAAACATGTTCTTTATATGTTTAATGTCGCTTCGTGTTCATTCTCGTCATTTATGCAAACTGATTTCATCACAGATTTTTACGTTATACCATGTCCATTATAATGTGTAGAAAATAGTATACGTAATCTGGTGCCATTAATTGAGAGACGCATAAATTATTCATTAATAATTCGATTATTAATGATCGATTATTTTTATAATCCCTATTATTATAAAAAATTGATTTATTTAAAAAAATTATTTATACACATATAGAAAATTCTTTAACAAATATTTTGCATGCGCGAGCATTGAGTTTTATTTTATCTTTATATCTTTTGGTCTTAACAAGTGATATAAAGTTATATTATTGATAAATATGGATAAACAGACTATAAAAAATTAGAATAAAACGGGCTCATAAATGATACAAAATTATTAAAATCATTACAATACGCGTTTTTAAATAAATTAATTGAAATATGTAACAAAATATGTAAATATGTAACTGTAAAATATTTTCTGTATTGTTTTTATTTTTCTATTACATATGTCCATCAATATTTAGAAATAATAAATTTATAAAATATATTTAATTATCTACAAGATATATATTTAATTATTTATATGTATATCTCTCTAATTATGATATTTTTAGTAACACTTTTATTTTAAGTATCCAAAATTTTTTTTTAATGCGTTGATAACTATGGAATTAAATAATAAACTCAAATTTTTTCAAATAAATAATTTATAAGAATGAGTAATATAAGAATCCTTTATTGCTGTGTATTTTTGTGCGTGATCATTATAAATTTATTTATCTCGAAATAATTTATCTAAAAATAAACAATAAATATATTTTAATGTATGTATAATATTAATTGCGCAGGTTCCGAAAGACAATCCACTAGCTATGGAAGTAATACTACGGAATCTGACAAGCAACGCAAACATGTGAACAAAAGCCAAAATTAGCTTTTATATTTGCAAATATAAAAACTAAATGTGTAATTTAAATAATGTTACACTCAAATTATTAAAAGTGTTTTATCCGTTTGTCATAAAATTAAAAAAAATTTCAATACAGATTATGCAATTGTTAAAAAACAATTCTGCTTATATTATCATATGCTAAATTAAAATTGTTATATAATTTATATATTATGTATAATGTATGTATTTCAAAATATATAATCATTCGTATACATATTACCTAATTTGGATTTCTTCTAACTTTTCATCTCTTGGACAAATTATTGTTAATAAAAATGATTCACATTTGTCATATCTTGCGTTTGCGTTATATTACTGAGAAGTTGCATATTATCTCGAAGCCAGGATAAAGCAGCTCTAGCAACAGCGACTAATTCTTCTAGTGCATAAATAGTTGGAGATTGTCCAATCTTGTAAATAACAATAGTTATTAAATCTTGCATCAAATCGATCTTTTGTAATTTTTATGAATTGTTTTTGAAAAGTACATTCTTTTTATATAAAAAAGGGAAAGTATTTTCCCTCTTTTTTCCTCTTTATATATATATATATATATATAATCTAATTACAGGATATCTTTAAAAGTCATTTTTGCTAATTACTGGATTACATTTCTGACTTTTTAAAAACATGCTAAAAAAAATTGCCGTAGAAAATTTCTTAAGATTATTTTCAGAACAATCGCAATTCTAATCTGATTAAAACAGAAAAGCTTTCTCTCCTTTTTCACGGAAAAAGTTATATTATACATACTATATTTCCTAAGTATACTGGAAAAGTATACTGGTGTTTAATAAAAAACAATTCTGTACAAAATTTGCATAGTGTTCGATATCGTAAATAAAAGAATCATTTATCGTCTACTGAAAATTAAATAAAGATAAGCGTTAGCAAAAAAAAAATAAGATTATCAGCTGGATAACTTTAGTTAACAATTAATTAGAAAGAAAAAAGTCGAACAAAGTAAAACATTAAACGCAAAATGTCTCAATCGCATTTAACTGATATAGACTATATGATAGATGATTTCATATATATATATGTGTGTGTGTGTGATGCGTGTATATATAATCTATATTTATTTGCAATGTAGATAAAAAATGAAAATAAAATAGCATATAATTGTGTATTAATAATTTCAACGATTTTCGAAAGATTTCGCCGCAGAAACGCGAAAGGACGATGAAGCGTTTATTTATTTTCTATATTTTGTTTTGTTTCTGGAAGTATTGGTAAAATAAAAGTCAAATCGACGATAGATTTTGCTATCATATAATATTGTATTTGCCGCTGATTTTGGCTGTTAGATATGTCAAATAGTCGAGATGACATGTAAAATGCCACATATATTTAAAATAAGAGTCACGTATATTTATGTTTTTTTGGAAATGTTATTTCAACGATTAGTTTTCAAAAGATTTTGTCATAGAAACGCGAAAAAACGATGAAAGGCATATTTATATATGCTTTGTGTCTATAACAATATAATCTTCACGGTTAGTTTCCGAGAAATTTCGCCGCAGAAACACGAGAAGACGATGGAGCGGCTACTTATTTGCATTTTCACTATGTTGTGCTTTGTTTCTGCAAGTATTGGTAAGATAAAATACAAATTGTGTATCGGCGTGATAGATTTTGTTATCATACAATACTGAATAGCTGATTATGATTGTTAGATATGACAAATAAGAAAAATTAACTGTGAAATGTTACAAGTATATTTAAAAGAAGGAGATTAACAATACAATATGTCCCGAGAAACTAGGCAGATATATATATCCTTAAAACATTCACCATATATATATATTTTTTTTTTAATTATAATTTTTTGATAGGATATTTTAAATATTATGTATATAATATTCCTTTTTTCTTTTCATTTTTTTAATTTTTAAGATATATTGACAATTGTGTAGTTAAGCCGTTTCTTTGTACATAATATGCGTATATATTTAAATTCTTATTTATCATAATTTTGCAAATTTGATGTAATATGAATGATAAAATGCTCAATCATTGCATTCCTTAGCTTCTATTACACGATGATACGGAGCTTTGCGGGAGTTTACTTTATAATTTCTTTTAAAATTTGGCAAATTTATATTTAAAGTCTTCGCTTGGCAAACACATGCCATTTCAGCTACTCGTCTCTGCGCTATCAACTTTCAAATCATTGCTCGTAACTGAAATATTTCGATGCAGATAAATAATAATTTCTAATTTAATATGTTCAAATATCACGCACGATTTATTTTACTCATACAAAAATGCTCTCAAGAATATTAATATGTTTAAATATCACGCACGATTTATTTTACTCATAAAAAAATACTCTCAAGAATATGCTATTTTGATATTAACCATTTAGATAGATAACATTTAAATCAAATTATTGATAAAAAAAATGAGCCGTATACATATTAAACTAGAGTCCTTCCACATTCAATTTAAATCTTTCAAAATTCTTTTATAATAAAAAACAATTTACATATTCGCGTGCGTGTCATCGATAAATGATGTATCTACAAGAATTACAAGAGCAAATAAAGAAAATAAATGTAATACAAATAAAGACAGAAATTTTTAAAATTCGCAATTATATTGTATTAAGATGCAAAGTAATTTTAACAGAAATTGAAGGAGAACATTTAAGATATTTTTTCTAAATATCAATAAAAACATGACCTCAAATAATATACACATGACAAAGTAAACGAGTCATCTATATCTGTCATCACAACCACGAAGATTCTTTCTATCCTTAATCAATTTTGCGGTTTCTAATTTATCGATAATATATGCAATTGTTATACTCAGTTTTTTTTTATCTATTAATAATAAAAATTTTTCAATCAACAAAGGAAAAAAAGGGTTCGGTCCTGGAGAACAAGACTGGGGCTACGTTCAAGTACGTCCCTATGCAAACATGTTTTGGTGGCTTTATTATACTACGGCAGACGTTAAATCGTATTACGATAAACCGCTAATCATCTGGTTACAAGGTGGACCAGGCGGATCTTCGACCGCGTATGGAAATTTCGAAGAACTAGGGCCTCTTGATACGGATTTAAATCCAAGAAATCACACTTGGGTAATTAATTATTGTGTGATATATACAAAAGTATAAAATATACTCCGCCAAAATTAAGCATAATCTATATTTAGTCGTATGTATATAACTTATAAATTATTAATAATTGAAACACTATTTATTAAAATGTATAGAGTGATTTAGTGAGTATTATTAATGTATTTGGAAAAGGATAAGAAAGATGATAATTTGCATAAAAAATTAGAATGAAAAATTACGCAGAATAATAAAATATAAAAAACTGCGACTTTTATAAATCTATTAAAATAAACTTATAGTCCCTAATATATATTTGTGTCATAGGTCAAAGATTACAATGTTCTCTTCATCGATAACCCTGTTGGTGCTGGCTTTAGTTACGCTGAAAACATATCGGCATTCGCAACGACAAACGCTCAAATCGCGAGCGATCTTTTAGAATGCATTCGAGAATTCTACAAGCAATTACCGCAATTTAAGCCTGTTCCAACGTATATCGCCACTGAATCGTATGGTGGAAAAATGAGCGCGGAATTTGCGCTTGTCTGGGATCGAGTAAGAAACACAAATATGCTTATTAAAAAAAAGAAATAAAAGAATTATATGATTCCATTAAAAAAAATATTGATTATTTTGAAATCTCGAAGAAAAATAGTATAACTTAAAAATGAAATTTTTATCCACTATATAAGATATTCTTAAAGCAAACAATTTCTTTTTGAGACACATTTTTGTATTATGAAAAACAATAGAGATATTTAAGTAATCATAAGACATTTTCTCTCTTTCTCTCTCTCTTTCTGTAAGCCATAATATTTGTAAATAATTGTGAAAATTGTCACAAATAATGACACATCCAATAAAGCAATGTAATGATTTACTAAATAGGAATTTGCATGTGTCTCATATAACGCAAACTTGTGTTTCTCAGGCTCAAAAAGCTGGCACTATTAAAAGTAATCTAAAAGGGGTTGTACTTGGGGACCCTTGGATTTCTCCTATCGATTCTGTAATGACATGGGCGCCTTATCTACTCGGCATGGTATTACATATTTAATTATTCATCGTCTTTGTACGCAATGCACCGATTTTATAATAGATTAAATCTATTATTTTATAATAGATTTTATAATAGATAAAAATAATCGATAAATAATACTATTGCAAAAAGATAAACACATGCCTCGATAATAAAATTAACTGGCTTTCTCTGCCATTTCCCTTTCACCTTCTCTTCATCGACTCCCATTACTTTTACGTAAAATTTTATTCTCTATTATTTATGCATTCTTATAAAATACTTGGACTCTCACAGGGTATGATTGATACGGAAGATTTTAAGGAAATTAACACTGCGGCAAACAGCACAAAAGATAAAGTAGAAAAAGACCAATGGCTAGAAGCATTTCATTGTTGCCTTTATACGTCATCTATAATTTTTGAAAAAACTTGCGACCTTAACATCTATAATATTTTGACAAGAAAAAAATGCAACTCTTCTATTTTATCGTCGCAAAATGTATTGTCCTTTGATGGAGGTATACGAACATTTTTAATATAATAGATGATAATTAACATAATAATCATTATTACATATAAATCGTTTTTTAACAAATTGCAGACGCTATGTATCGAAATTTTTTTCAAGATGAGACACAGTCACTTGATAGTTTGATGAATGGTCCAGTAAAAAAAGCGCTCGGTCTTAACGTCACTCATGGTAACCAGTCTACCACAGTTTACGACTGCTTAAGAGAAGATTTTATGAAGCCTGTTACTAATATAGGTATCAGTCAAATATATCAGATATATAAATTATTAAAACAAAAATACGATAAAGAAAATAGTGTAACTTAATGATGCATTGTCATTATTTCCTTGTGAAACGAATGTAAAAACTAAATAATTCATGAGCTTTCGAAAAGCTGTTGAATCAATTTTCATGAGTTATATAAATTCATGAAATAAGAACGAGATAGCTGGAACACATGTATAAATTTAAAACTCTATCATGACACATGCATTCCGATACATTCAGACGCATATGTTTACTCTAAAACTGAATCTTTCACGAGATTTCAAGATATATTATTTCTCGTATAATATAATACACTGCGGCTTATATTTTATAATACATTATAATCTACTCATAAAAAATGCACAAATATATTCTGTTTCAGTGGAACAATTACTTAATGAAACTAACTTGAATGTATTCATATACAATGGACAATTGGACGTCGTTGTCGATACACCCGGTAAGTTAAATTATTTATTTCTCCTATGTGCTACAACACATAATGAATAATGCTAATAGCGTTAACACAAATAAAATAATTTGTAAGAAAATTTTATAAAATAAATTGACATTAAAGGACATTATAGCAATCTTAAATAGAAATGATAAAAATATGTTGAAATATGTTGAAATACGTTGAAATATTTCAAATAAAATCTAGAATAATATCAAGCATCTAGATATTTTTCAAAAAGCCGAGTAAACAGAAATTCTTAAATTATTGAATTATTTCTTTCGCACTTTGATAATGTCTCAACAATTTCTTTATTAAAAATTATTCAAATTTGAAAAAATATTAATCCTCTGATTTATTTAGAATCGATTTTGTAAATAACCAAACTCTACATGAAAAAATGTTATTCTACTCTATCAGCTTATTTTTCATATAGAATTATTATCTTTTCAATTGCATCGTCAATAATGAATCATTTTCTACATCTTATGTTAATACTCTTACTAACATTATTCACCAGAAATGATTACGCATAATATTTTTTTAATGTTCTCGTATAATCCGTGGTTACTTTATTATATTTTAGGCACCCTTCATTGGGTCGAAAAACTAGAATGGACACAGTGGTGGAGATGGTTGCCGAGGGAGCCGCTCCTCTCTGAAGAGGGCTTCGTCGAGGGCTTTTCGAAAACTTTAGATAAGTTCTGTATGTACTGGATAAACAGAGCTGGACATATGGTATGTATACTCTCTCTCTCTTTCTACACTTTCTCTCTTTTCATTCAACTTCCGTATTTATTATTTAATATGTTCGCAAGCAATCGTCAAGATTAATTTGCAACAAGTAAAATTCTAAACCAAAGCATGTTCTTTATATATTTAATGTCATTTCGTGTTAACTCTCGTCACTTATGTAAAGTGATTCATCACAGATTTTTATCATAGAATTATTATCATGGAGGGATAAACAAATAATTAATTTTATAAATAAATCAAGTAAAATTTTTTTATCAATTACTAACCAGTGCTCCGCCGTTGCCCGAGGCCACTTCCTCCTCCTCCTCCTCCTTCTGTCTTGTTCATCCTTTTTTGCAGCTTCATAACTCTCATTCACTCGCGAAAATACCCGCGGTTAATTAGTGTGATCGCCCGAATTCCAATCAAGAATACGGCGATCGCGAAATTTGCGCGGCACTTCCGAAATTAACTTCACTTCATTGCACTATCATTGTGATAGGAGAACAACGCAAAAACTATATATATGAATAAATAATATATACTATTAAAATCGAAGAGATAAATGTCCCAAATATCCGATAAAAATCACGCAATATTCAAAAATATGTATAATTAGGTTAGGATTGTTTACACGACGGATTTCGATCAAATAAATCTCGCGATGTTATATTTTGATGATGATATTAACTTAATGATATAACTTACGTGGAATTATGTATAACTAATCGTATGATCGACAAATATCAAAACTCTTGGTCAATAACGATTGTATTTATTTATATTTATATTTTGCCGGCTTGTCTCGTATCCGCAATGTTTGTTTATGACCGAAAAATTTTAGAGTGGCATCGCGTCGACTATCCTTTTTTCAGTCTGACATTGGCTGCGGTCGGGAAGACACCATAAATGCTTCAAAGCATTGCATTAACCAATCAGAATAAAAAAATCTTTATTCTGTGTATCCTGATTGGTCAATCAAACGCTTCGAAGCATTTCTAGCGTCTTCTCGACCGCAGCGATACGCGGTATTAAAAGTAAGTCCAGAGTGTGAACACAGCTTATTAAGCACCGTTCAAAAATATATGATTTAACTGAAATATTGCACGCGCAATTCATTTTCATCACATAAATGTTGCGAGATACTTATTAATTATTAATAAATAATCGACATATGTCTATATCACACGTTTGTATTATATATTGTTTATTAATATATTTATATATTATAGTTTGTATGAATAATTCGCTTCGGTGATTTTGATAATTGCAGGCAAATAATGTATATTAAAGTTGATGAAAAATTGTTACTGATTGTGAGATGCGAGATATATATATCCGAAAAATTTAAGCATTAAATCATAATCGATCTATATCATCATTACTTTGACATATTTGATATCAAAATGCCACCATACACATATTATTTAATGTATATCTAATGTATTTTAATGTGTATAATATTATTAATTGCGCAGGTTCCGAAAGACAATCCAGCAGCTATGAAAATAATACTACGGAACCTAACAAGCAACGCATACAACTAAACAAAAGCAAAAACTAGCTTTTATATTTGTAAATATAAAAGCTAAATGTGTAATTTTGGTGATGTTACACTCAAATTATTAAACTTATTTTATCCGTTTCTCATAAAATTAAAAAAAAGAAGCAAACAATTAAAATACTTATGCAGTTTGGATGCAGATTATGCAATTGTTAAAGAACAATTCTGATTATATTATGCTAAATTAAAATTGTTGTATAATTTATATTATATATAATTGACACGTTTTGTACTTCAATATCTAATTATTATCATATATGTAATTATAATTTACATTTCTTCTCTTTTATTGTTTGACATATTGTTAATAAAAATGATTCACATTTGATAGCGCATGTATATATGTATATATGTTACTAAATTGATTAATAAAAAACATGCTTAATCAACATAAATATAAATGATTTTTATATTAAAATATATATCTCTACATCGATCGTAAATAATATCGGTTAGGAAGGAAACAGTTTTTCCGGGAAAGCGTTCGGCTTCGATATAATTACCGCAACATTTTGAAGCGAAAATAGCGTCAAATAGAGAGCATTTACGCAAGCGCAAAGATCATATTACGGAAAGAGGCCATAGCAGCATTAAACATATCATATAGAATGTTTGTATGTCTATATGTCTATATGTCTATGGATAGAAGGCGTGACATGAGATAAAACTTATCAATTCACGGCGGATAACGACGGACGTTTGTCGAGAAGACTCAACGAACTGCTTTTAAATAGCGGTTTCAGTTTCCTCGCGTGTGGTGTGACTGTCTGTGATTGTTCTCTTGCGCCTGTTTCCCGTGAAAATTATTATCGGCAAGCGCGATGGAAACGTACGAAAGCGTCCTTCTGGTGAAATCCGAGATTTTCGTCTTCAAAATTCCGCCAAGGTCAACCAACAGGGGTTATCGGTAAACGTAAAACACGTTTTAATGTGAACGACATTTCGTAGCTGTTCAATATGTCAGAAGCAATGGATCTGTATATGTTTTCGGTTATAACAACACTAACTGTTCCATTGCTCGCGAATGAGTCTAGTAAAGTAAATTAAATTAAATTAAGTAAATTATTTTTATTTATCGAAAACGTATGAATGCATATGCGGCTTCATTCGTGATTTCATCACAGGGCGGCTGACTGGAATCTGCAGGAACCTTCGTGGACTGGTCGCATGCGATTAGTGTCACAGGGAGATAACATAACGATAAAGTTGGAGGACAAGATTACGGGTGAATTGTTCGCCAAGTGTCCTATCGAGCAGTATCCTGGAATAGCGGTAGAACCAGTTACCGACTCTTCCCGATATTTTGTTCTGAGAATTCAAGATGATAATGGACGGTCAGCTTTCATAGGTGTTGGCTTCTTAGACAGATCTGATAGTTTTGATTTGAATGTCGCTCTTCAAGATCATTTCAAATGGTTAAAGAATCGAGAACAAATTGAAAAAGACAAAGAGAACCCAAAACAGGAATTGGATCTCAGATTCAAGGAAGGTGAAACTATCAAGATTAACATGAAGATCACTGTAAGGATATATTTATCATGTATCTGTTTTCTTTTTTAATCAATTTTTAAAAACATGTTTTTCATTAAAACCTAAAAAATTATGATAAAATAAAAATATTTTTAATTTTACATGTGAAGAAAATATTTCAAGTCAGATAATCAAATATGTCAAAGTCAGATTAATATATTGTATGTTATATTTCTGATAGCTTCTAATAACTAAAAAATTTTTTTTTTCTTTTGTTTTCTATTGTCTTTTTTAGAATCGTGTAGAGTTGTATGGATTAATATGGAAAAACTCTGCCTTGATAAAATTAAATGTTTAATGTTTTGACAAACTATTTCTGCAACATCTTGAAATCATATTTCCACATATTTATTACTTAGAAAAAAGATGGCAGTGAGGTTTCATCCAAATCCAAACAACGTGCCAGTGCAGTCACAGGTTTGCCACCTCCTCCAGGTGGAGTCAAGATTGCTCCACCACCAGCAAAGACTCCTACTTCTTCACCAGCGCACAAGCCGCAACAGAGTCAGAATCAAGATGTTACAAGTGCTGAGTGGGGCGAGTTTGCCAGTGCTTCACAGCCAGCATCAGCATCAGCATCCACACCTACAATGACCAATGCAAGTTGGGTACAATTCTAACTTTAAAAATATATGTATAGATATCTTATTTTATATAGGGTAATTTGGAAACAGACGGTCAAATTTTAGAAATCCCCAATATGTTGTCAAAGTTTGTCCACCTATTTTTAAATCACCATATATATTAAAATAACTAAAATAATCGATTATACATAATAGATACACAAGAGAGCTAGAGTATTTTAAGAGTGATTGTCGAGAGAAACAATGTCTGTATGAATAGTGAAAGTCTTATATATGTATGTATGTATGAATGTATGTATGTACTATAGCATGCAATAAAAATTATAGCAGCATCTATGAAAGGAGAAACTTATCATGAAAAATTTTAGTACTTACAAATATCATTCAAACATTTACACGTCTCAATTGCTTTCGGACATCCAATGTATGTGGAGATACAACTTTTACATATGTAAATGTTGATATTAAAAAGAAGTATTTAGTGCCTTGTATAAATTAGTCCAATAAATTAGATGCATTAAGTAAATTAAAAGCAAATTTGAGCCACTCATTACAATAATTAACACTATCTGTTTAATACTTACAAGATAAAATACATGACATTTTCTCGATTTATAATAAATAATAATTATTCTTTAGTCAATATTTAATTGTTCGATTTTTATAAATTATATTAATACTATGTTAAAGTCTCTTACAGCGAAAAATCACAAGTTATAAAAAAAATAGAATAGAAAAGAGATTTTAACGTTAGAGAGAGAGATTTGTTAATATAACTTTTAAAAATCAAATAATTAGAGATACAAAATAGAGAATAATTATTTATTAATTAAATAAAAAATGCATATAAACAGATTATGAAAATTTTATAATAAAATTTCATGTATGATATTTAAATAATTTTTTTCAACATTAGCATATTGTGTTAAATATATGTAATAAGTATAATATTTGGCCTCGGCTGTTAGCTTGCAATGTTTGTCGATATTATAAAGGCCTATTGCAAAAACGGTCTAATTTTCTCATACACTGGATGTTCATAAAGTTCTTTACTAAACTTAAAAATATATTTGAGCCAAGTCAGGATTTTATTCATTAATCGAAATAGCTGCAAAGTTTCTTCATATTACTTTATATTCTTTTTTGTTCAAACTATTTCTATATTTTCCTTTTCTCAAATATGTTAATTATTACTAATAAATTGTTATAAAGAATATTCTTAATAGAAAGAATAGAATATTTAACAATATTACACATACATACACAAATATTTTATTGTTGAGTTTAAAAATATTTGTTTCTAATCGCGAAAACAATTAAAAATTGATTTTTAGATCTTATATTTTTTTGCAGAATAATAAAATTTTTCTGCCTCTCTTTAGCAAATAGCAAAAAAAAAGTTATAATATTCCTTATTTGAAATAATGTAAATAAAAAAAATGTTTGAGTAATGTTTGCTTCTTTTTGAATTGAGAAATATATGCAAGCGTAATGATATATAAAAATTCAGTGTAATGAACAACAGTTGTCTCCATGGCAAGAAATAGAATCTGTTACATTGTGTGTTTATGACTCGTTGATTATATTATAAATTGTACAATGTTATTTACATTATCCAACTAAATTTTAATGTAAAATAATCTTGTTAAACATATTGTTAGTGTGAAACTTGTTGAATGAGTGTGTAGATGAAATTTTATTATATTATTTCTTCTTATCTCTGCAAGGATTTTCCTTGTTGGAATTGTTTTAAAAAAAGTGTGAAGTGACAGTAAAAAATGACAAAGTTGTAAAAATAATAATAATCAAAGAGAGCTATATAATGTTTAAAATAACGTTAAAAATAAACTTCTACATCATCTACATAAGAAACAATGTTTGAATAATAGTAATAATTAAATAGAAAATAAATGTATAGTGTATAGTGTATGTGTGTGTGAATGTAAAAGATATTATTTTTAATGTAGAACGGCCAAGAAAAGGGAAGGACAACCTTGCTGATATTAATAAAAAAAATAGCTAGAATAAAATACTTAAAACGTGATTATATATATAATTTATTGTTGCACACAAGTATTCACTTTTAGATCTTCTATTATGGTTAGGTTCTATTATAATATAAACATATGTACATAAGAATACATTTGTCATGAAAATATTTCATACAAAATTACATATATGTAAAAATATATAATTACATAAATACAAAAAGAGATTCGATATATATTGCGAAACAGTAAATAATTTCTGCCATATAGTACTATATGTACAATATTTAAAAATTTTATGATAAACATACATCTCTTTGAAGATTAAACTTTATGCATTTCATACTATTTTTTCTTTGTAAATAATTAAATGCAGTCGTTTTCTAGGATTTGGATTTCGTGTAAATAATATATCACTGTATATCTACATGTGTTTCGTTTGACGCTACGAAAGTTTCGAATCGTTTGATTGGCCAATCAAGTAAAGGAAGTAAAGATTTTTTGCTCCGGTTGGTTAATGAAACACTTCGATCCTTCCCTCACACAAACGGACAATAAAGTTTAATTCGTACTTCTTGCAATTGGGAGCTCAAATATGATTGGTGAATGAATCGAGTGGAATGACATATCGAACATACACACGTGGAACATACTTTCTCTCTATCTTTCTTCGCTGCCGTGTTCTTATCCAAGTAACGTAGGTGGCTACGGTGGTGAAGTGGAAGTTGATGGAAATCATGGTTAACACGTAGCCGGCGTTCGACGTGTCCTAGCCTCCTAGCTTAGGCATTTGGTAGCGATTTGGTAATTTGTTTGCGCGCCGCTTGATTTTCGCAACGTGCACAGGATCGCGAGTATTTATATACACATATGGCGAACGCCACGTTGTGAGTATATTAATATAACGCGAATATATATACTTATATACGCGTATATATCTCATCTCTTTCTCACTAACGCCCGTGGAAATACGCAAAGGCGACAAAACATGCTGCCGAACAAGTCGTCACCGTCTTCGTCGTCGTCGTCGTCGTCCAGCACAGCGAACGCAAAGGTCATGTTTCCCGATAAGAGACCGACGACCAAGCAAATGAAATCGTCCACGCTGACGAATGCCGCTGGCCTCAGTTCTCTCATTACCTTCACCGTTCTCTTGCTCGCCTGGATTTCGGGTTTCGCCTCGCGGCTCTTTGCTGTCATACGTTTCGAGAGTATTATACACGAATTCGATCCGTGGTATGTATTTTATGCCAATTATTTGCCGGTATTTCCTTGTCCTTGTGATTAACGAATTCGCTATTATATCTATCATAGTGTAAAATAATGATAAACTTGTTTTTCTATTATATAATGAAAATGTCCAATAAGTTGACTTGTAATATTTTGTTCTTATCTAGAAACACGGAAGGGAATTTGCATTCTTATTTAAAATCATACATATATGAAAACTTCTTAATGATCAATAATTGAATAACATTGAATAATAATAGCCAGAATAAAATTTTCATTTTATTTCTAATTACTTATTAATTTTATTTTAATGAGCAAAAATAACTTTATTATCAATAAGATGTTCGTACAATTAATTTAGATATATCTGAAATTTAGGTTTAACTACAGAGCGACAGCATACATGGTACAACATGGATTCTACAATTTTTTAAATTGGTTTGACGAACGAGCATGGTATCCATTGGGACGGATTGTTGGTGGAACCGTTTATCCTGGACTCATGATAACATCTGGATCAATACACTACATCCTGCACTCTTTAAACATACCAGTGCATATAAGAGACATATGTGTATTCTTAGCTCCAATTTTTAGTGGCCTTACTGCCATATCTACATATTTATTAACAAAGGAAATATGGAGTGCTGGAGCTGGCTTATTCGCTGCTTGCTTCATCGCCATTGTACCTGGCTATATCTCGAGATCCGTAGCTGGCAGTTACGACAACGAGGGGATTGCAATTTTTGCATTGCAAATCACCTATTATCTCTGGGTTAAGTCTGTCAAAACTGGTTCAATCTTTTGGGCGAGCATAACTGCCCTGTCTTATTTCTACATGGTATCAGCATGGGGAGGCTATGTGTTCATTATTAATCTCATTCCACTGCATGTATTTGCCTTGCTGGTCATGAATCGCTTTAGCAATCGGTTATTCACCAGTTATACAACATTTTACGTTCTTGGACTTTTACTGAGTATGCAAGTACCATTCGTCGGTTTTCAACCGATTAGAACTTCTGAACATATGGCAGCAGGTGGTGTATTCGGTCTCCTAATCTTTATAGCAGCTCTTAGGTATGTATTATTTTAATTTATAACATTGGTTTGTTAATTATTACATTATTTGAAACTATTTATTTATTTGGGGGAAACACTCCCTACAATATATATTGTAATATACTAATGTTGATCTCTTTGATTCCAGATACTTAAGAACTGTACTTACCAAGTCCGAGATGAAATATTTTGGTGGTGTAGTAGCTGTAACAGCGACTATACTCCTGTTAATTCTGATTGCATTAACGTATGCTGGTATTGTCGCTCCTTGGAGTGGTAGATTTTATTCGCTTTGGGATACTGGTTATGCCAAAATACATATCCCTATAATAGCATCTGTATCTGAACATCAACCGACAACTTGGTTCAGCTTTTTCTTTGACTTGCACATTCTTGTCACAACATTCCCGGTTGGTCTGTGGTACTGCATTAAGCACATAAATGACGAACGTGTCTTTGGTAAGAAATTGTGATGAGAATATTATATTTTAAGAGATATAATTGAAGATAAATAATATTCAATTTTTTTACAGTCATACTATATGCCATAAGTGCCGTTTATTTCGCTGGAGTGATGGTGAGACTTATGTTGACTTTGACTCCAGTAGTATGTATGCTGGCTGGTGTTGCTATCAGCAGACTCGTAGAATTATATCTCAAAGAGGAAGACAGGGACGATCGTAATGGTACCGAAAGCAATGAGGAGAGTGAAGAGGAAAGAGAGAGAAGTCCCGGTAGAGCGTTGTACGATAAAGCCGGTAAATTACGTAGAATGAAGCATGAGAGACCGAAAGGTAGCGGCGACGGATTAGGCGCCAATCTACGTAACGGCGTTATTATCGGCATGTTAATGTTATTGATGATGTTTACTGTGCACTGCACATGGGTGACCAGCAATGCATATTCTAGTCCATCTATCGTTTTGGCTTCCTATAGTAACGATGGTGGCAGAGCCATACTCGATGATTTTCGAGAAGCTTACTACTGGTTAGCTCAAAATACGCCCAATGACGCGAGAGTTATGAGTTGGTGGGATTATGGATACCAGATTGCTGGTATGGCAAATAGGTATACAACACATTTATAAAATTATATATATTTAAATTAACATGTAAGATCAATCATTAATATAACACACATTACCATGTATAAATTTTTTTCGTAGAACTACACTCGTGGACAATAATACATGGAATAATTCGCACATAGCTCTGGTTGGTAAAGCGATGAGCTCGAATGAAAGTGCTGCTTATGAAATTATGACATCTTTAGATGTAGACTATGTGTTGATCATTTTTGGTGGTATGATTGGATACTCCGGTGATGACATTAATAAATTTTTATGGATGGTCCGAATCGCCGAAGGCGAACATCCCCAAGATATTCGCGAGAGTGATTACTTCACCGAGAAAGGAGATTTCCGCGTGGACAAAGAAGGTTCTCCTACTCTATTGAACTCGCTAATGTACAAGTTGAGTTACTATCGGTTTGGAGATGTTAAAATAGACTATCGAACGCCTACCGGTTTTGATCGTACTCGTAACGTCGAAATAGGCAATAAAAATTTCCAGTTAACATATCTGGAAGAAGCTTACACTACTGAACATTGGCTTGTCAGGGTTTACAGGTAAATAATAATATTTACAATCGCTTTGATTTATAATTTATCTTAAAGTATTATCTTACATCTTTAAAAAATTTCTACATTAATATCAATTGCAAAATATGTCTATAGGGTGAAAAAACCAGCAGAATTTAATAGACCAAGTATTCCGATTTCTAAACGGATTATTACGCGTCGCGCAAATGCGTATATTAGTAAAAAGGTTGGTATTCTTTTCTCTTATCTCGTAGCATAAGGAAAAATAGATTTTTTATATATATATATATATATATCTCAAGTTATATTATTAACTTATTAACAAAACGAAAGATTAAATGCTAAAAATAAATGCTAAACTTTATGTCAAATAATTTTTAGAATTTTTTCAACACTAACAGTTTTATATATATATATATATATATCTCAAGTTATTCAATATTATTATTAACAAAACGAAAGATTAAATGCTAAAAATAAATGCTAAACTTTATGTCAAATAATTTTTAGAATTTTTTCAACACAATCATTATAACAGTTTTAACAAATATCTGGAATTATGATATGTCAAAAGCAAAAGTTAATGCATAGCTATAGACATAAATAATACTTGCAATTTATATACATATAAGTGACACTTCAACAGAATTATTTTTTATTTTGATAAAACAATTTTCTGAAATGTGATAGAAACTTTGCCTCTATCCTTATTGTAGGAATCCTTTTTATGTGCTTAGCTTTACATTTGTTTCTGCAATCATAATCTGATATCAAAGATATCAAATATATCAAAGATATTATAAATTTTAAGAATAAGATTTTGCTGCTGTCATATCTTTTTGAAACACTTTGTAGCATCTTAACGTTCAGCTCTAATCGTATATTAATATATAAGATATCATATTACAAAGTGATATATAGATGGAAGGCACATTAAAAATATCCCTTGTATTTATTCTAATTTCATGTATATGATAATAAAAGAAATTGTTGCACTGTATATCGTATTATATATGTGATAGTAACTAAAAGATAATTATTGTAATTCTAATTTATGTATATTATGTGCATACGGGTGTGTCTAGTATTGTGTGTGTATAACATTCCATATTTTTTATTTTCTGTAAACACATTAAGAGAATAAGAATAAATATTGAATGGACGTTAAATTTATCGAGTTTATCTTTCGATAAAGGCTCGGGTAGAAAGACATGATCAGATAGCAATAAAATTCTTGTATATTCCTTCATATATTCTTTTTTCCGCACGGAAATACATAATAAATAATTAAAAAGTGCATCCCAAGAATTGTTACGAATCGTATTACAAATAATATTTTGCAGAGAAATAAATCGTGTTATGGCATGAAAAGTTATTTTATCACTTGTACAAACGACTGATTCGTCTAATAATGAGTTATCATTATCAACAACGTTTGTTGCGTGCAACGTTCAGCCGTAAACTACGCATAGCCATAGCACGACTGAAATGTCGTTGTACTGGACGCTGAAGCTGTCCACTGACTAGAGTTGAATCCTCATCGCATTCTACACTGCTCAACACAACCAAGAGCACACCGAGTACCTACAATGATAACAGGCAATCATATCAGTAATAATTTCCGCCTTGTAAATATACATGAAAAAAAAGAGGAGAAACTTTGCTTTTGTGTAAAACCGCTCAAATAACATAACTTCTGTTAAAAAGTTTAAAAAAAAATATTAGAAACTTTATTTAATAGTTGATATAGTATAGAGGCTCTCTGAATAAAATTTGTATATGCATTCGATTAATTTACATACCAAACAGATGATAATCAGCAACGTATAAATATGTATACTTGCAGCCGGCAATGACTCGACTTCTTTTAACGCGTCGGCAGCGTCAGAAAGATCTGGTTTTAACTCCAGCGCATGACGCAAATGAACAGCTGCCTCTTGAAAATGTCCATATGCCTGCAAAATGAAAAGGTAAAAATGTATCTAACAATATTAAGTTGTATATTGATATATTCTTTGAAAATTTTAGTTTGATATAATTGTCAATTCTATTTTTATATTATATTTTTTTAGCATATAATTATTTACTGGAGTAAAACATTAGAAAAATTAAATTTAAATTAATTATACTGAAATACAATTGCAAATTGTTAAATTCTATTGAATTTTGCATAGTAAAGAAAATAACCATGTAATAAAGAAAATAAACATGTAGAAAAAATAAAAACTTCCAAGAAAATAATTAGTTAATTATTAATATTAATTTATGTATATTATGTGCATACGGGTGTGTCTAGTATTGTGTGTGTATAACATTCCATATTTTTTATTTTCTGTAAACACATTAAGAGAATAAGAATAAATATTGAATGGACGTTAAATTTATCGAGTTTATCTTTCGATAAAGGCTCGGGTAGAAAGACATGATCAGATAGCAATAAAATTCTTGTATATTCCTTCATATATTCTTTTTTCCGCACGGAAATACATAATAAATAATTAAAAAGTGCATCCCAAGAATTGTTACGAATCGTATTACAAATAATATTTTGCAGAGAAATAAATCGTGTTATGGCATGAAAAGTTATTTTATCACTTGTACAAACGACTGATTCGTCTAATAATGAGTTATCATTATCAACAACGTTTGTTGCGTGCAACGTTCAGCCGTAAACTACGCATAGCCATAGCACGACTGAAATGTCGTTGTACTGGACGCTGAAGCTGTCCACTGACTAGAGTTGAATCCTCATCGCATTCTACACTGCTCAACACAACCAAGAGCACACCGAGTACCTACAATGATAACAGGCAATCATATCAGTAATAATTTCCGCCTTGTAAATATACATGAAAAAAAAGAGGAGAAACTTTGCTTTTGTGTAAAACCGCTCAAATAACATAACTTCTGTTAAAAAGTTTAAAAAAAAATATTAGAAACTTTATTTAATAGTTGATATAGTATAGAGGCTCTCTGAATAAAATTTGTATATGCATTCGATTAATTTACATACCAAACAGATGATAATCAGCAACGTATAAATATGTATACTTGCAGCCGGCAATGACTCGACTTCTTTTAACGCGTCGGCAGCGTCAGAAAGATCTGGTTTTAACTCCAGCGCATGACGCAAATGAACAGCTGCCTCTTGAAAATGTCCATATGCCTGCAAAATGAAAAGGTAAAAATGTATCTAACAATATTAAGTTGTATATTGATATATTCTTTGAAAATTTTAGTTTGATATAATTGTCAATTCTATTTTTATATTATATTTTTTTAGCATATAATTATTTACTGGAGTAAAACATTAGAAAAATTAAATTTAAATTAATTATACTGAAATACAATTGCAAATTGTTAAATTCTATTGAATTTTGCATAGTAAAGAAAATAACCATGTAATAAAGAAAATAAACATGTAGAAAAAATAAAAACTTCCAAGAAAATAATTAGTTAATTATTAATATAATTAATAATTATTTAATCATTATTTTTTATAATTTTTGTTTTATCTCAAATTTTTATCAATTATATATCAAAGATCTCAGTGTGTTGTAATTTCAATACACAAATATGAATATATTTAATTGATAATAGTTATACTGCTATTAAATTATTGTCTATGTACTTTGAATATTTGTCCAAGTGTAAGATATTGCTCCCATGCATTGCGATCTGGGGGTTGCAACTCTAAGGATCGCCTGGCTAAATACGCCGCGTCATCCAAGTAATGTTGTACCAGTAATACTCTAGCCAAGTTCAAGAGCACTTCTGCATTTTGCGGCGATACTGCAAGTGCCCTACGAAAGCACTCGATTGATCTCTGTGCATCGCCTTTAATACGCCAAAAATTTCCTATTTGATTATATAATTGGACAGATTTTGGTTTCTGAAAAGAAGAAAACTCAATTAAAGAAAAATTAGAAAAAGTCATTAAAAAAAATCATGCTATGGGTTGAACGGAATGGTTCAACCTATGGTTCGTGCCGTTTTTTCGGTCTTCATCTGTTAGCAAAAAACGGAGCGAACTTTCCGTTCACCTACTATATACATACATATATACGCACACACACACACACATACATATATATATTATTATTTCAAAGATGTATTTTAATCGCAATTATATTTCTTGTAAAAATGTTTAAAAAAAAAAATGAAAATGCTAATTAAGTGTACAGTTTCTCTGTTACTATTTACAGCTGATGTATATAATATCTGATTTAGATTTTGAAATAAATACCTCTCGCTTTGCTTTCTTCAAGCGTTTTTCTAGCAAGTCAATATCAACATCAATAGTTTTGCCACCGTTTTTCTTGAACATGAGTGCCACATTGGGTTCTGGTACCAATGGGTGCTTGTTCCTATTTGCCACACCAATCAGATTATCATAATAGGTAAAATTTACTGGCTTGCCACAATCCAATATTATATTGTCGCATTGCTGACCAGAGGTACATGTCACTTGCTCATTTGACACTTGCGAAGACAGAGGAAAGGACTCATTGATATTTTTTGTGTCCTTCAACACGTATGACGAGAGTCGTCTGCCAAGGGGACCAAAGTTAGGGCTGTTTTAACACTGAATGAACAGCAAGCCACACACAAAATGCTAACTACAGGAAAAAAAAAAAAAAAATTATGTCATACAAATAGTATTGCTTGTGTATAATAAAAATAAAAAGAAAATGCAAATTTACAATGGTACAAACAGAAAAACTAAAAAGATTTTGGCATCCTTCCTAAATCATCTCTCTCTCTCTCTCTCTCAAAATAATATCTTATCTTACCACTTAAGGCTATAAAAAGCCAGAATACAATATTTCATACATATAATTCAAAAAATAATATCATAATATAACAAAAAAAGGGAGAAAAAAAATTGAAAAAAAGTATAAAAAATGCAGCTAAAAAGAGTACAAATTCTAGGAATATAATTTTATAACCTAATAATACAATATTTGGCACAATAATTACATGGTTGACTTTACCTTTCCTGACTAGCAAAACCTTTACACTCTTGACAGTATATCTGTACTTTCTCGTGTTTCTCCAATATCGCGGTCCTACTCCAGATCTGGCCATTGCTAATAAAGAAGTTATTTGCGAGGATATCAAAAATTGGATCGTCCTCGATCACGTAATCGGTCGTCTTCACAACTTTGTCGGCGGCATTTAAGCGCCAGGATGTCCGCGAATTCGTCAATTTTATTTGCAAAATCAGCAAGCAAAGCGCGTATCTCCCTTTGGTCCACGACACTTGCATTCTTCTCAATCCTTCCACTTCCACCGATCAAATTGTTTATCTTGCAAACGACAGTGAGGGAAATAATGAAGAAGGGGGTGGGGGAGGGGACGAGAGAAGACAAATATATAAGCTGTCCATTTCTGTTATCCATAGACGTAGTAAGAATAGAGACACGGAAATTGATTGGCCCATTTCCTTATGCATTTGCTTATGAATCATGGGACGTTATTCTTAAAAAGTATAGAAAAGCATGCGTCATGATAGATTTGTAATGCCTCATGGAAATGTCACCTTAAGACGCACCTGTTACACGCACGTTTCAGGCGATCTAGTAACATCTTCGTTCATGTTTTAACCAAATAAGGCGAAGGGCGGAACAAGTATTGCGAACGTGAGTGTGTGTGTGCGAGGTGCTGTCGCGGGTGTCATACGTATTGTCGTAGCAGTTTTCCATAGGCATCAAGATTTTCTGTTCGAGATTTCGTTAAATATCAGTGGGTGCGAAGAAGATTGTGTATCGGGAAGATGTCGTATGAAACAAGTAAGTCACAGTGTGAAGATACTTTAGACGTTCGTGGACCAGCTTGCCGTATTGTACGATTTCAGAACTGTATAAAGTACATATCTCTTCTCGATTTTGTCCGGTTCACTCGTCTTCGGTCGGACCATAAAATCGTTATAATGTATCGGGCACGAAAGGAAGAATTTTTATGCGCGCAAATTTCTTTACATTACTTGTATTCACTTAAAAAACAAGTTTTAGTTTATATTTTATACTTCTTTTTATTTTTATTTAAGAATCAGAAGTATCGTCGTGCATGACATGATACGCCGGACGCGCTGCCGATGTCAATTTCTATGTATGGGGTGTTCGAAAATTATTGACATTTCTACTCTACAGATTTTTAAGACAATTTGAGAGAAATATATTGTTTGTGAAAAATGGACAAAAAGATGTTTTCTCGCGAAATAGGATTTTTCAGAATGCATTTGAGTAATAAAATTTGTTATTTTATTAATCTCAAAAAATTTTTAATTTATTGGAGTTTTAAAATATTTAAGATTTTACACACATGTTATATTAAAAAAGTTATCAAGATATTAAAAGCTAAAAAGCCACCAAAGAAAAGATCGATTAATCAGAATTTAATATATATTAAGAGATTTTTTTTTTGGACACTCTATATATAGCCACATCGGAAAAAAGGTGAATCACAACAGATATTAAATGCCAAAGATCGGATCTCAGATAATAGTTGATTACATTATCACATTACACTCTTATCAGACAAACAAAAGATATAAAAAGGGAAAATTATTTTACATTAATTATATCATAAATACTTACACTGGTAAAAATTATTTAATAATAAAGAATATATTTGAAATAGTTCCAAGAATTGTTACGAATCGTATTACAAATAATATTTTGCAGAGAAATAAATCGTGTTATGGCATGAAAAGTTATTTTATCACTTGTACAAACGACTGATTCGTCTAATAATGAGTTATCATTATCAACAACGTTTGTTGCGTGCAACGTTCAGCCGTAAACTACGCATAGCCATAGCACGACTGAAATGTCGTTGTACTGGACGCTGAAGCTGTCCACTGACTAGAGTTGAATCCTCATCGCATTCTACACTGCTCAACACAACCAAGAGCACACCGAGTACCTACAATGATAACAGGCAATCATATCAGTAATAATTTCCGCCTTGTAAATATACATGAAAAAAAAGAGGAGAAACTTTGCTTTTGTGTAAAACCGCTCAAATAACATAACTTCTGTTAAAAAGTTTAAAAAAAAATATTAGAAACTTTATTTAATAGTTGATATAGTATAGAGGCTCTCTGAATAAAATTTGTATATGCATTCGATTAATTTACATACCAAACAGATGATAATCAGCAACGTATAAATATGTATACTTGCAGCCGGCAATGACTCGACTTCTTTTAACGCGTCGGCAGCGTCAGAAAGATCTGGTTTTAACTCCAGCGCATGACGCAAATGAACAGCTGCCTCTTGAAAATGTCCATATGCCTGCAAAATGAAAAGGTAAAAATGTATCTAACAATATTAAGTTGTATATTGATATATTCTTTGAAAATTTTAGTTTGATATAATTGTCAATTCTATTTTTATATTATATTTTTTTAGCATATAATTATTTACTGGAGTAAAACATTAGAAAAATTAAATTTAAATTAATTATACTGAAATACAATTGCAAATTGTTAAATTCTATTGAATTTTGCATAGTAAAGAAAATAACCATGTAATAAAGAAAATAAACATGTAGAAAAAATAAAAACTTCCAAGAAAATAATTAGTTAATTATTAATATAATTAATAATTATTTAATCATTATTTTTTATAATTTTTGTTTTATCTCAAATTTTTATCAATTATATATCAAAGATCTCAGTGTGTTGTAATTTCAATACACAAATATGAATATATTTAATTGATAATAGTTATACTGCTATTAAATTATTGTCTATGTACTTTGAATATTTGTCCAAGTGTAAGATATTGCTCCCATGCATTGCGATCTGGGGGTTGCAACTCTAAGGATCGCCTGGCTAAATACGCCGCGTCATCCAAGTAATGTTGTACCAGTAATACTCTAGCCAAGTTCAAGAGCACTTCTGCATTTTGCGGCGATACTGCAAGTGCCCTACGAAAGCACTCGATTGATCTCTGTGCATCGCCTTTAATACGCCAAAAATTTCCTATTTGATTATATAATTGGACAGATTTTGGTTTCTGAAAAGAAGAAAACTCAATTAAAGAAAAATTAGAAAAAGTCATTAAAAAAAATCATGCTATGGGTTGAACGGAATGGTTCAACCTATGGTTCGTGCCGTTTTTTCGGTCTTCATCTGTTAGCAAAAAACGGAGCGAACTTTCCGTTCACCTACTATATACATACATATATACGCACACACACACACACACATACATATATATATTATTATTTCAAAGATGTATTTTAATCGCAATTATATTTCTTGTAAAAATGTTTAAAAAAAAAAATGAAAATGCTAATTAAGTGTACAGTTTCTCTGTTACTATTTACAGCTGATGTATATAATATCTGATTTAGATTTTGAAATAAATACCTCTCGCTTTGCTTTCTTCAAGCGTTTTTCTAGCAAGTCAATATCAACATCAATAGTTTTGCCACCGTTTTTCTTGAACATGAGTGCCACATTGGGTTCTGGTACCAATGGGTGCTTGTTCCTATTTGCCACACCAATCAGATTATCATAATAGGTAAAATTTACTGGCTTGCCACAATCCAATATTATATTGTCGCATTGCTGACCAGAGGTACATGTCACTTGCTCATTTGACACTTGCGAGGACAGAGGAAAGGACTCATTGATATTTTTTGTGTCCTTCAACACGTATGACGAGAGTCGTCTGCCAAGGGGACCAAAGTTAGGGCTGTTTTAACACTGAATGAACAGCAAGCCACACACAAAATGCTAACTACAGGAAAAAAAAAAAAAATTATGTCATACAAATAGTATTGCTTGTGTATAATAAAAATAAAAAGAAAATGCAAATTTACAATGGTACAAACAGAAAAACTAAAAAGATTTTGGCTTCCTTCCTAAATCATCTCTCTCTCTCTCTCTCTCAAAATAATATCTTATCTTACCACTTAAGGCTATAAAAAGCCAGAATACAATATTTCATACATATAATTCAAAAAATAATATCATAATATAACAAAAAAAGGGAGAAAAAAAATTGAAAAAAAGTATAAAAAATGCAGCTAAAAAGAGTACAAATTCTAGGAATATAATTTTATAACCTAATAATACAATATTTGGCACAATAATTACATGGTTGACTTTACCTTTCCTGACTAGCAAAACCTTTACACTCTTGACAGTATATCTGTACTTTCTCGTGTTTCTCCAATATCGCGGTCCTACTCCAGATCTGGCCATTGCTAATAAAGAAGTTATTTGCGAGGATATCAAAAATTGGATCGTCCTCGATCACGTAATCGGTCGTCTTCACAACTTTGTCGGCGGCATTTAAGCGCCAGGATGTCCGCGAATTCGTCAATTTTATTTGCAAAATCAGCAAGCAAAGCGCGTATCTCCCTTTGGTCCACGACACTTGCATTCTTCTCAATCCTTCCACTTCCACCGATCAAATTGTTTATCTTGCAAACGACAGTGAGGGAAATAATGAAGAAGGGGGTGGGGGAGGGGACGAGAGAAGACAAATATATAAGCTGTCCATTTCTGTTATCCATAGACGTAGTAAGAATAGAGACACGGAAATTGATTGGCCCATTTCCTTATGCATTTGCTTATGAATCATGGGACGTTATTCTTAAAAAGTATAGAAAAGCATGCGTCATGATAGATTTGTAATGCCTCATGGAAATGTCACCTTAAGACGCACCTGTTACACGCACGTTTCAGGCGATCTAGTAACATCTTCGTTCATGTTTTAACCAAATAAGGCGAAGGGCGGAACAAGTATTGCGAACGTGAATGTGTGTGTGCGAGGTGCTGTCGCGGGTGTCATACGTATTGTCGTAGCAGTTTTCCATAGGCATCAAGATTTTCTGTTCGAGATTTCGTTAAATATCAGTGGGTGCGAAGAAGACTGTGTATCGGGAAGATGTCGTATGAAACAAGTAAGTCACAGTGTGAAGATACTTTAGACGTTCGTGGACCAGCTTGCCGTATTGTACGATTTCAGAACTGTATAAAGTACATATCTCTTCTCGATTTTGTCCGGTTCACTCGTCTTCGGTCGGACCATAAAATCGTTATAATGTATCGGGCACGAAAGGAAGAATTTTTATGCGCGCAAATTTCTTTACATTACTTGTATTCACTTAAAAAACAAGTTTTAGTTTATATTTTATACTTCTTTTTATTTTTATTTAAGAATCAGAAGTATCGTCGTGCATGACATGATACGCCGGACGCGCTGCCGATGTCAATTTCTATGTATGGGGTGTTCGAAAATTATTGACATTTCTACTCTACAGATTTTTAAGACAATTTGAGAGAAATATATTGTTTGTGAAAAATGGACAAAAAGATGTTTTCTCGCGAAATAGGATTTTTCAGAATGCATTTGAGTAATAAAATTTGTTATTTTATTAATCTCAAAAAATTTTTAATTTATTGGAGTTTTAAAATATTTAAGATTTTACACACATGTTATATTAAAAAAGTTATCAAGATATTAAAAGCTAAAAAGCCACCAAAGAAAAGATCGATTAATCAGAATTTAATATATATTAAGAGATTTTTTTTTTGGACACTCTATATATAGCCACATCGGAAAAAAGGTGAATCACAACAGATATTAAATGCCAAAGATCGGATCTCAGATAATAGTTGATTACATTATCACATTACACTCTTATCAGACAAACAAAAGATATAAAAAGGGAAAATTATTTTACATTAATTATATCATAAATACTTACACTGGTAAAAATTATTTAATAATAAAGAATATATTTGAAATAGTTTTTTTTATTATTATATAGAGAGAGAAGAGAAGAAAGAAACTATTATTAACACTACACATAACAGTTAATGTATATCATTCGAAATGTAAAAAATTCTTTCAATAATATTACAATACTTTCAGAGAAGAAACTATAGCATGATGCAGGATATGCTGTAGCTTGTTAGTCTCAAAATAATTTGAAATATTAGGAACTGGATCTATGCCAATGTATCAAGGAAGAGTATTTTAGTTCCAGTAACTGGATGTATTATGTATTGTTTCCATATTATTTGATCACTTCTGTTTATATGACAATATCTTTTTTGTAAATTTATTATTGATTTTTCACTTGTTATGTACTCTATGTAATCAAAATAATATTGTACTTAAATAAATAGTAAAAAATAATAAAATTTTTATGCCCATTATAAATTATTGTTTATTGCATTAAACGAATAATATTAATAAAAAATAAAACAACTTGATATTAAAACTAAAAATATTCAAATGTTTTTTACAGATATTTATAATCTCGATTTATCTAATATACACCTATTTATTATTGAAGATATTGTATCTTTGTATTGTATTCCTTATTATTTTCTTGTCTAATTGTTTCCATTTTTTTGTATTACAGAATATATATTTGCTGCATTACCGAGGACTCAAAGAGGGCAGCCTCTCGTGCTAGGTGGTGATCCCAAAGGAAAAAACTTTTTATACACCAATGGCAACAGTGTTATCATTAGAAATATTGATGTAAATTTTTATATTATAACAAATGTTTTTTCCTTTGTTTAAAATAATATAGACAGAAATATATTAATTTATATATTTCTCTGAATATATATACATTACAGAATCCAGCAATAGCAGATGTCTATACAGAACATTCTTGCCCTGTGAACGTTGCCAAATATTCTCCTAGTGGTTTCTACATAGCCTCAGGAGGTATATTATTAATAATATTTAGATGTTATATTAATACACCATACATACAGAGATTTAAATTATCCGAGAATCAAACATAATAACTACAAATTATTCATAATATAGTGCATGATATTTATTATTTATAATCTTTGACAATTATGTTTAATTATCTATTTGTTCAAAATTGTATAGCATAGGATGTTGTATATTTCTTTTGATCTATCAATTTGTTTCAATTTTGATATACAGGAGAACTAAAGTAGAAATTAAACATCTACGTAATATGTTTTTATTTCAGATCAATCGGGTAAAGTACGTATCTGGGATACAGTTAACAAAGAGCATATTTTAAAAAATGAATTCCACCCTATCGGCGGGCCCATTAAGGATATTGCTTGGTCACCAGATAGTCAGCGTATGGTCGTAGTTGGGGAAGGAAGAGAAAGGTACTTAAATATCATTACAATGAATGAAATATCATTAGGGAAATAGTGTTAACATATCAATAATTATTTTTAGATTTGGACATGTATTTATGGCAGAAACAGGAACATCAGTGGGTGAGATCTCTGGTCAGAGTAAGCCTATCAACTCGTGCGATTTCAGACCGACAAGACCGTTTCGATTAATAACAGGAAGCGAAGATAATACTATCGCCGTGTTCGAAGGACCTCCATTCAAATTCAAGTATATATAATAAACCATGTTTATTCTATGTTTTATTAAGGATTTTAAATCTTTGCATAATTTATTGTATGCTATTTATTTTAGAATGACGAAGCAAGAGCATACTCGTTTCGTCCAAACTGTACGTTATTCGCCTGACGGAAATTTATTTGCTTCCGGTGGATTTGATGGAAAAGTATTTATATATAATGCAACAACTTCTGATCTCGTCGGAGAAATAGGTTCTCCTGCGCACCAAGGTGGAGTTTATGGGGTGTGTAATATATATCTAACTAGTTTAATGCAGAAAGATGATTGACAAATTATTTCAAATTAATTTTAATAACTTGTAAAAATACAATGAATAATTTATTTATTTTTTGTATTATAGGTTGCATGGAAACCTGATAGTAAACAATTATTAACTGCCTCTGGAGATAAAACTTGTAAACTGTGGGATGTAGAAACGCGTTCTTTAATTACCGAGTTCAATATGGGAACAACAGTTGATGATCAACAAGTTTGTAACTTATATAATCAATTTATAAAGTCTCTCAGAAAAGGTAAATATGCAATATGTGTTAAATCTGTGCTTTTAGGTAAGCTGTTTATGGCAAGGGAAGCATTTATTATCCGTATCACTTAGCGGCTTCATCAATTATCTTGATGTCGACAATCCTCAGAAGCCTATAAGGATAATAAAAGTAATTCTTGCTTTTTCTCCTTATTTATATCTTTCGAAATTTTAATTCAACTCTTTTCTATGATTTTTTTTGTACTGTTTTCTAATTTGATATTTTTCAGGGTCATAACAAACCAATAACGGTACTAACATTAAGTCCTGATAGAGGTACGATTTATACTGGGTCTCATGATGGTTACATTACCAATTGGAATGCGGAAACAGGGGAGAATGATCGTGTACAAGGACATGGTCATGGTAATCAAATTAACGGAATGAAGGCCGCGGATAATTTACTTTATACTGCCGGCATCGATGATACTTTAAGGTCAATCGATATCGCAACAAATGCATACGCGGAGACATCAGTAGTAAAATTGGATTCGCAGCCACGAGGTCTAGATATATATAACGATATAGCTGTAGTGGCCTCAGTCCGACAAGTAAGTTAAATACAGTGTCCACAAAGATAGTTTTGGATTTCTCGAATTTATTTAGCAATTCTAAGAAAAGAGAGAATAGTGTTTATTAATTGTATTAGTGTTTATTGCATTAGTTATTAATGTTTCTAGTTGTAAAAATATAACATATGCAATTTTTATTACAGAACTTGCTATATATAAATAAATTCAGAAAAGCGCAAATTACCTTTATGGACACCTTACATATGTAATAAATTTATCACTCATGTAAAACACAATGGCATCATTCTTTACAGATCGCAGTTACGCAAAACGGTAATAAGCTGTCAAATTTATCAATTGGTTATGAGCCATCATGCGTGTCAATTAATCAAGAAACTGGAGATGTAGCTGTTGGCTCTACATCTGACAATAAGGTTCGTTCTTTATATATATAGTATATGAGAAATATGTAAAAAAAATTAATATTTATGCTGTTTTTAATATGTATAATTTATTTTATATAGGTTTATATTTATGAATTGTTAGACACTATACTAACTCAAAAGACTGAATTAGAACATCTGGGTCCAGTTACGGATGCTTCATATAGCCCTGATAATAAATATTTAGTTGCTTGTGATGCAAATAGAAAAGTTATATTGTATGCTGTACCAGAATATAAGGTAAAGTATATTTTATAGAGAATATAATTTATAAAATTGTTTAAATTTTCAATTATATCAAAAATATAGTTATAGGTTTTGCATGGTTGAACTTATATTTGTTGCCATATATAAAAAAAGCACAACAACAATAACAAAATAATTAAATTCTTTAAAACTCCTGATACACTGCCAAAAAAATCATATAATTTTTTGCTTTTAATTAACAAATTATTAATTTTATAGAACTTATATAAAATATAATTATAATATTAATATATAAAATTATTATGCTTTCTAGTATCTATGTTTTCTTTAACGAATTAACTGTTATTAATGATTTGTTATGTGCTTATTGGATTACTAGAGGGTGAGTGACATAAATAATTAAGAGTCTATATTATATGAATCACAAATGCATAAAAATATTAATTGTGAAGATATAGTCTGTAAAATATGTTTATTTAATTTACAGCTGGCGCATAACAGAGAATGGGGTTTCCATAATGCAAGAGTAAACTCTGTTGCATGGTCTCCAAATTCTGACATGGTTGCAAGCGGTAGTCTCGACACGACTATTATTATCTGGAGTGTAACAAATCCTGCAAAACATACTATCATCAAAAGTAAGCAAATACAACAAATTTTCTTCTGCAAACGAATTATAATTAATAAAAACAAAAAATTTTCGTTTTTAGATGCACATCCTCAGAGCCAAATAACACGCTTAGTCTGGCTGGATGAAGAAACATTAATCTCTGTTGGACAGGACTGCAATACTAAAATATGGCGTATAGAAAAAATATAATTAACTTTTGCAAGAATTTATTGTCACTTTTAAGGAAAAACTCAATTTTGGAAGCATTTTATTTATTTCGTAGTCTATGAATATTGTATATTATTTTTTAATACAATCCTTAATATATGATTAAAAAGATTATATTGCAATCCTAGCATCTCTTTTTATTAATTTTATAAGTAATTTACATTCCATATAACTATTTAAAGCCTCCTGATGCTTTAGCTTTCATCACTTCTAGATATATTGTATATTTGCACTAAAAGTCACGCAACTTATCTAACTTGTCTTTATTAAAACAGTGTAACAATAACAAGAAAGCGATAACAATTCGAACACTAAAGGTCTTCAGGAACATGATCATACTTTACTTTGTTGTTTGTACACTTAATGAAATAAGATGTTATGGCTTGTCTTATTATTAATCAGTCCAGTGCTGCTCTTACTAATATAAGGTACCATGAATTCTGTCACTAAATTATTCTCTATTGCAATATGTCTAGAACAAATTTTTTAAAACGGGTGTATTTTTAATATATTTAATAAAATATTTTTATCTCTTTCAAACTTTCTCTCCCTCTGCAATTGCACCAAAAATTTTTTGATAGGTATTCTAGCAAAGGTTAAAATGTCTATATATATATAATAACACAGCAGTGACTCTTCACCATCACAGTAATGGTGGTTTTGACGTGTATCGTGGACGTTTCTGCGAAGAAGCCACCGGATGTCTATACGATACGTGTTTCCTTAACGCATCTCGTGATCGCGATACGTGCGAGCACGATGTGCAGCTATATGAACTATTGCTATGCGTCTCCATGTGTACGCGTAGGTTGTACTGATTGCTCAACTGTTTACCACAAATAAAACAAGTAACACTAGATTTGTTGTATGTCTGAGAAGTTTTGCCGGGTGCGGATGCCGCAAGCAACTTGAAATTTCCGTCCCACGCGGCCGATGGCGGTTTTACATCTTCTAGAGCAATTTGATCCTCCGTGATTGATGCGGTTTCGTCCGCTATACCTTCCGAGTATCCTTTGTCGAGATACTTATTAACAGATACGTTAACAGGAACAGACGTTTTCTCCCTTTGATTTAGCTTTGCATTTATGGAATAGTAAGGCTTTGTCTTCACGCAATATGGTATACTTTCTTGATCGTTGCTAGGCTCTTCATCGTCTAAATTATCTATTACCTCATGTAGGGATGCAGATACTGATTCTGTTTCAGCAGTCGTTGTGTTATCTTTTGATTCTGTCATTATCATGTCTTCGTTCGACAGTTTTTCCTGAGGAATTATTGGTGGCTGTGCATATAAGCCGTTATCGTGTCTTGAATTTTTCTGAAATAAAAACACATAAATTATATTAAACAATTATATTTCTTCGTTTAAGACAAACATTTCGCAAACAAAAAATGATTTAAAAAGTATATTATGGTCATATGCTTAATTCTAAAAATATTTGAGTTTGATATTTCTCATAATATATTAAGAGATATGTAATATTATTACAAAGATTTAAACAAGAATATAAATCGCTTTTATCTTTCAATATTTATGGTATAAACGTAATCTAACTTCTAAGTAAAATACATATGTAGATATTAATGACATACAACAAGTAAAAAATGTATCTTTTTTTAAAAGTATTTAACCATTAATTCTAATTTAAATTAATATTTAAGAAATATTACTTAAGGATATTTAGCATGATAATTTTTAAAACATTATTTTTCTGATTTATATTCATTGTCTCAAATATATTTGTTAAACAATGATAAAGTTTTCCTAACATATGTCTGCTCTTCTGGAAAAAAAAGTGATCAATTATACTAAATAATATGCTGCATGTATAACAGTTTAGCACATAAAAGTGCACAATTATTGACTTATATCGCAGAAAATTATTTACAAAAATTATTTTGTCTAAAGATCTTTAGATTTGACAAATTAACAGTATATGTTTGTTATCACCACACTTGACTAAAATGTTAAGTATTATTGTTCTGCAAAAAACAAAATGTATTGTATAAAATCGCCGTTCTATAACTTTGCTAAACAGTTTTAGTAATTTAGAGATCCGTGGAAGAAGCTATATTTTAGATATACCTGTAAAGTCATTCTATGGGGTAAGGTTCCATGGGATGCATCCACTTGCATTTAGTTGCAACACACACAACGATCTTGATCTCGTGGGTATCGTTTTTATTCATTATCGTTCCTTCTCGGTGCATGTACGAACATAATATGTGTAGCGGTATAATATCCTTCGTGAGGTACTTCTTGAGGAACGACAGTGAATGTGTTTAAGTGACCTGAACAAAACAACACGATCATAGGATAATATAAAAGGATTAAGAAAGGAATAAAAGCGAACGCGTATATTTTGTTCTTTGTTCTGCTAAATAAGTACAAAATTAATTTAAAAAATTAATCATCTCTGGGATCTTTCTAAAAAAATATTTGCGACAGTATAGTGACAACTCTGTAATTTGTAAAGTATATGGTATCAAGCATGCATGTTACAAGGATATGCATTTACAATGTAAGTTGCGATACATCGAGTTTGATTGATGATGAGACACAGATAAGATATACTCTCTATAACAGATATAATGCTTACAATATTTACTATTATCAAATGAATATTCGATTATAGATATCATGATCTATAAATGCGCAATCTTAGAAAGTTTTAAAGAAATTATAAAGTAATATATTGGTATATTTCATAAAAAACGATATTGTTTTTAAAAACATATCAATTTCTGAGTAGAGATATTTAAAGATACAAATACTATGAATCAAATATTACAATGCATAAATAGAGTTGTATACTATTAATTAAAAGGAAAAGAATGCATTGCAACTTAAAATGATGCAATTTATTAATAAAAAGTATTACATAAAATTTGTTTAGATATACATTATATGCCAGCTATGTTGTTGAGCACATCTACTATTATTTTATACGAATTTGCATAAATATATATAGAGAGCAGTGTTGTACATAGAACAATCGCGTTTACAGTGGACGGCAATTTTAACAAGGTAAGGAACAAAATATACATGTAAATTCGTCTCCTCGCCGTAATTCATCTCCTCGCGATTTTATTATTTCGAATGGCTGGCGCTTTAATTGCCACGAACTGTCTGATCCATAAATCACACAATGGCTGTCCTTTTCCTCCAGCCATACCTGAGTACAATAATAGATTTGGCTGGAACCTGCAGCCTGATTAAATAAATAGTATTGTGTCTCTCTGTATATCTCCCTCTTGAACTGGTTTCACCAGTGGCACTTTTTACATCGCGTCCGACGGATTTCTCTTTGATGTAACCGAATGTTTCTTCACTGTGATTTCATAGCTTGCATCACATAATTTTTCAAATTCTTATGTGCAATATTTGTACATTTTTATATGCAACAATATACACAAAATACGTTTTATTTTGTTAAGTTCGTGTAAGGAAATACAGTAACTAATCATATATTGTGCAAAAAGAATCTATAATTATATTTATCTATAATAGAGCGACTTTTATATTCCTCCAAGAATAGTCTTGCATTTAATTTTCGCATTTTTGTTAATACAAGTTTAATTGTATATGATAGAAATCGATTTTCTGTTTTTTTTTCTTTTTTGCAGTTTTATCGAAACTTAAAAACAATGTCTTTTTCTGAAATATGAGATTTCTCAATGCGGTGTTTTCTTTCTACAGCAAGAATAGATATGGAGAGTCAACAGTTTTGTTTACGATGGCACAATTTCCAAAATACATTATTGAGCTCTCTTCCAAAACTGCTCGATGGTGGCCATCTAACAGATGTTACACTGAGCGCTGGTGGTAGACACATTCATGCTCACAGAATCATACTCTCAGCTTGTAGTTATTATTTTAAAGAACTGTTTAAGGTATTAATTTAAGATATCTTATCTAGTTTTTGTGCAAATGCAATATAATATATTAGTTCATTAATATATATAATATAGACACAATTTTTAAATATTTTCAATAAAATTTTATTCTTAATATATGATGTTACAATTTTTGCGTTGTGTTCTTCTGCTTATTTTTATATTGTTACAAGATTTAATATAATACAAATTTGATATTGTTAATTTTATTATTTGAGTAAGATAAATATAATTATTTCTATAATTACTTTTTAATTTTTCTATTATTAATTAGAGTTAATATAGTATTGCTTATATTGTCAATCAAATCATATTTGGTTTAAACCTAACAGTGTAAGATATGATATATATGGAATTTTATAAATAAATTTTTAGGACTTAAGCTCTTTGCAACATCCAGTCATTGTACTGCCTGGCATGGAATATGCAAATTTATGCGCTCTAGTCAAATTTATGTACAATGGCGAAGTGAATATTTATCAAGAACAATTACCTGCACTTTTAGCTATGGCTGATACATTACATATTTGTGGATTAGCTGATATGGCTGGGGTAAGTATTTTTTATTATTATTCAAAATATATAAAAAAAATAAGAATACTATTATTTGTTTAAATATTAAGAAATGTATTGCCTACCCAAAAAGAATTATGCAATACATCTCTCTATATTGTACTTTCTGAATATATTGTATTTATATTTCTATCATTTTTTTATTATTTTCATAATTTTCTATCTTTCTCTCTCAGCACTTCTAGCGTCATACATAATGGTTTATGAAAGTTCATATAAAAAAATATTGATATATTTATTAACTATAAATTTCCATTACATACTAATTTTAGTTTTTAGTATTAATTTGCAAAATATATAATATAATGACCTATATTTGAGAAACACATTAATCATAGAAATATGAGATAATTTGTTATTATTATTATTGAGTTTCAAATTTAGGTCAAATATATTTAAAAGCTTGCTAATTATATATGCAAAAAAATACATAATATATTGCTAGATAAATATGTGTGCATAATATAATTATATTACATTATAATATACTCAGAAAAATAAAAATTATGATATTAATTGCGTGCTATTTAGTACTTAAGGTAATTAGCATGAATAATACTTAATCTTTTTGATATGCTTGCTCTCTCGAATAAAAGTTTCAGATTGCTTATAACAAAGCATGTACTTTTTTAAGCGCCGTCATAGTATAATATGATTATCCCTAACAGAGTTCTTATTCTATCACAATTATACTAAATATTTTACCCTCTTTGTTCAAATATATATATATATATATATATATATATATATATATATATATATATATATATATATATATTTGAACAAAGAGGGTAAAATAATTGTGATAGTTGTGATAGAATAAGAACTCTGTTAGGGATAATCATATTATACTATGACGGCGCTTAAAAAAGTACATGCTTTGTTATAAAACTTTTATTTATATATATATTTGAACAAAGAGGGTAAAATATTTAGTATAATTGTGATAGAATAAGAACTCTGTTAGGGATAATCATATTATACTATGACGGCGCTTAAAAAAGTACATGCTTTGTTATAAGCAATCTGAAACTTTTATTCGAGAGAGCAAGCATATCAAAAAGATTAAGTATTATTCATGCTAATTACCTTAAGTACTAAATAGCACGCAATTAATATCATAATTTTTATTTTTCTGAGTATATTATAATGTAATATAATTATATTATGCACACATATTTATCTAGCAATATATTATGTATTTTTTTGCATATATAATTAGCAAGCTTTTAAATATATTTGACCTAAATTTGAAACTCAATAATAATAATAACAAATTATCTCATATTTCTATGATTAATGTGTTTCTCAAATATAGGTCATTATATTATATATTTTGCAAATTAATACTAAAAACTAAAATTAGTATGTAATGGAAATTTATAGTTAATAAATATATCAATATTTTTTTATATGAACTTTCATAAACCATTATGTATGACGCTAGAAGTGCTGAGAGAGAAAGATAGAAAATTATGAAAATAATAAAAAAATGATAGAAATATAAATACAATATATTCAGAAAGTACAATATAGAGAGATGTATTGCATAATTCTTTTTGGGTAGGCAATACATTTCTTAATATTTAAACAAATAATAGTATTCTTATTTTTTTTATATATTTTGAATAATAATAAAAAATACTTACCCCAGCCATATCAGCTAATCCACAAATATGTAATGTATCAGCCATAGCTAAAAGTGCAGGTAATTGTTCTTGATAAATATTCACTTCGCCATTGTACATAAATTTGACTAGAGCGCATAAATTTGCATATTCCATGCCAGGCAGTACAATGACTGGATGTTGCAAAGAGCTTAAGTCCTAAAAATTTATTTATAAAATTCCATATATATCATATCTTACACTGTTAGGTTTAAACCAAATATGATTTGATTGACAATATAAGCAATACTATATTAACTCTAATTAATAATAGAAAAATTAAAAAGTAATTATAGAAATAATTATATTTATCTTACTCAAATAATAAAATTAACAATATCAAATTTGTATTATATTAAATCTTGTAACAATATAAAAATAAGCAGAAGAACACAACGCAAAAATTGTAACATCATATATTAAGAATAAAATTTTATTGAAAATATTTAAAAATTGTGTCTATATTATATATATTAATGAACTAATATATTATATTGCATTTGCACAAAAACTAGATAAGATATCTTAAATTAATACCTTAAACAGTTCTTTAAAATAATAACTACAAGCTGAGAGTATGATTCTGTGAGCATGAATGTGTCTACCACCAGCGCTCAGTGTAACATCTGTTAGATGGCCACCATCGAGCAGTTTTGGAAGAGAGCTCAATAATGTATTTTGGAAATTGTGCCATCGTAAACAAAACTGTTGACTCTCCATATCTATTCTTGCTGTAGAAAGAAAACACCGCATTGAGAAATCTCATATTTCAGAAAAAGACATTGTTTTTAAGTTTCGATAAAACTGCAAAAAAGAAAAAAAAACAGAAAATCGATTTCTATCATATACAATTAAACTTGTATTAACAAAAATGCGAAAATTAAATGCAAGACTATTCTTGGAGGAATATAAAAGTCGCTCTATTATAGATAAATATAATTATAGATTCTTTTTGCACAATATATGATTAGTTACTGTATTTCCTTACACGAACTTAACAAAATAAAACGTATTTTGTGTATATTGTTGCATATAAAAATGTACAAATATTGCACATAAGAATTTGAAAAATTATGTGATGCAAGCTATGAAATCACAGTGAAGAAACATTCGGTTACATCAAAGAGAAATCCGTCGGACGCGATGTAAAAAGTGCCACTGGTGAAACCAGTTCAAGAGGGAGATATACAGAGAGACACAATACTATTTATTTAATCAGGCTGCAGGTTCCAGCCAAATCTATTATTGTACTCAGGTATGGCTGGAGGAAAAGGACAGCCATTGTGTGATTTATGGATCAGACAGTTCGTGGCAATTAAAGCGCCAGCCATTCGAAATAATAAAATCGCGAGGAGATGAATTACGGCGAGGAGACGAATTTACATGTATATTTTGTTCCTTACCTTGTTAAAATTGCCGTCCACTGTAAACGCGATTGTTCTATGTACAACACTGCTCTCTTTCATCTGGCAATCGCCATAATCACGAGTGACACGAATCACGCAATTGTAGTAGATAGAATATAGAATGCGCCAAGTTGCACGACCAATAATCGACATTGTTGCCTGTCGATGTTATATCGAAACAATTGTCGCGATTTGACGCGATTTTCAAGCGGGCTTCAGAATCACTTCGACCAAATTTCGATTAATTTAATCGTTTATTAATTAATAGAATGACCAACAGCTACATTTCAAAATTTTAATATTATATATAATTGTATTATTAGAAATTTTATGTGATATGGTCATCCTGTAAGTTAATCAACGATTAAGTTAATCAGAGTTTGGTCGAAATGGTCTTAAAGTTCATTCGTTTACACACACATATATATAATCAGTTTTAAAGAGATTCGTAGATTACATTACTCTTTTTCATATTAATTACATGAAATTTCAAAAACTTTTACATGATAAAAATGTCTATGCAAAATATAAAATGATTTTATATAATTAAAATATTACAAAGCATGCTTTTATATGCGCGCTATTTGTCTTTCATTCCATAAATGATTTAACAAACAGCAAATTAAAAAATCTTACATTAAAAAAGAAGTCTTTGTCTCGAAACATAAAAGTACAGTTATATACTGATGAATATAAATATAGACACATGTCCATACATTTATCTATGGATTTGTATAATTTAAAGAAATTATAGAAATGATTAATATGTAGTTTGCGGATTTGTCATAGGAAACCATTCGTCTTTACCATTATTATTATTATTATCATTATCGATTTTATTATTTGTATATATATACATGTAGCCATACAGAAAAATTATGTTTATAACTGCAAAATCACTTAACACGCTCAAGCTCGATTGGGTCAGACTTTCTTTGATAATAATGCGATTTTAAACGTGCCATGATCGATCGCGTTTTTACATCAAAACCATCACCATTCTGATACACAAGTTTCAAACGATTTCTCAATTATATCACAGAAATACAGACTTTTTGAATTCGAGTGTTAATTTGAAGACATACAATTATAAAACCGTGTTCTTAATGAGTGATCGAAAAATTTGTAGAAATCACATACAAACCTGTGTATATATGCTATTAATTAGAAACAATCGACGATTTTAAAGAAAATCACTACGGTGCTAATCTCTCGAAAAAAATTAATTGACGATTTATACTCGTTTGACCGTATAAATATACATGGTCTTGTCGCTTCTGTTACAATTTTATATATAGTTTCTTTTGTTTATAATGCTTAAGATTAATGTAAGAATTAATACCGTGTGATCATAAAATGATTATACGTTTATATTGCCTATCGAGGAAGTGTATAACAAAATCTATAGTATTCACAATTAATAATAATGAACAACTTTGTATATCAATAATTGTCATCGATAACAATTTATACGTTAAGAAAGAGAGAAAGAGAACATTTTCTTCGTTAAATATTTTAAAAAATGTAACGAATAAATAAAATACTAATTAATGTTTGTGACTAAAAATAACATACTATTTTATCACACGCAAGCTATATATGTTTTAATATTTCTACGTGCGAATTCTATATAAAGTGACATAAATATTCGATAAAATGTATAATAAAATGTAATGCCGTAAAAAATTGATATCTCAAGAAGTATTCCTCGTCGTTAATTACATTAGGCACAGAATATTTATATATTATCAGTTATTCATTCTAAAACGCCTTTTATAACGTTTAAAATTTTCATTAATTACTAAATCGAAAATTTGTTTTTCAGCCGTTCTCATTTACTTAAGTCTCAATATCGTAATATAAAGAATTGCAACTTTGCAGTTGAAATAATCTTAGGAATTATTTAGCATCTAAAGAAATTATCTAAAGAAACTAAAGAAATCTCTTATTTCTTTGACCCTAAATAATGCTAAATTTTTTTACTGCAAAAGTTAACCCTGTCAATGCAATCTTAGACTCGAAATTAGCTCTACTACTTAATATTGATATCGAAAATTCTTTACAGAAACTTGTAAACTCTTTGTCCTGTGTGACATTTCTGCATCTTTTTCGATTCTTCGAATCTTCGAAAAAACGCGAGTTATTTTAGTTATAAAAAGTCTGCAATATAGGAGAGATTAGTAAAACAGAGTGACAAAAACACATGTCACATTCGCAAGATGTGTGCGACTCAATTGCAAGATTTATAAATCCTGTTTTATGCCTAGAACTAATATATAAAATCCATGCATTCTCACGATATGTCTATCTACATATACGTACGTGTATATGTACGTTCGCTTATTGATCTGTAATATCCGATATTTAGACCAGCGCTTCTCCGCTATTCATAATCTCGAAGATTGTCCATAAATTTTCGTAAACTTGTACTTGTTGCTTTGCATCAGGTATCTGGATTTTGTTACATATATGTATAGTACACGCGCTCATATATCATCGAATATTCGGGAATCTTTCAACAATATTCATTTGTGGACATTGTTTCACAATATCGAAGATCGAAGTCATTTAATAGCGGCTTTTAGATATATACCGCTTCTAGGCAAAGTTAATAATGTTCATTACTTATTAGCATACAAAATGTATTCTTATCTCTAATGATTCCACAATTTCAAAACACTTTGAATTAAATATTACATTCCGAGAATACAAGATCTCCAGGGTAAAATTGAAGGATTATAATTTATGTATTTGTCCTTAGGTATCTTGTGGTGGTAATTTTTAATTATATGACATCACCACAAAGTCCTTTATATTTTTATATAAATTGGTCCGCCACTGCCGATCGCGAAGTTCGAATTCTTTCCGATTCTTATAAGGAGAGTGAATGTTATTGCGTTGAATGTTAAAACCGCCGAATAGGTATAATAATAATTTACCACAGAATAAAATTGCTTATCATGTATAATAAATTGCCGACATGTGCACACGTATAATATTCTCTTTTTTTTCTCTCATAGGTGCGATTATTATTGTGGTCCTTCGCCATGGAGTAAAGTGAGTATAGCATTTCTGAGAGCGAAGTTCGGAGTGAAGGAAGTGTCGTGCAATGATTCATTCGTCATTGGACTGGTGTATTTTCCGCACAGAAACCATTCGTTTATAGCTGCTCTCTCATAAGTAAATCCATCTAGAAATTAATGATCAATTAGATTTATTAAAATAAATATGTGTGTAACACGTAGATATTCTAAAATATTTTTCTAAAAAAGAAAAAACTTATGATATTTTCACCTGAGCACTGCACAGGTTCTTTCATTATCTCGTGTGTTATAGGACATAAGAACTCATGAGGAATCTCAGATTCATCTATATTCTCCGTAACATTGCAATCTTCACGCTTCAGCCAATATAATTGCTTCTTTAGTATTTCGACCGCCTACAAATATACATATAATTTAAATATAATCAGTTCAATATAAAATTAGTTGAATAAGATCATTATAATATGAAATGCACCTCTTCGTCGTCTTCTATTTGCAACCGGGATATGAGCTCGTTCTCTGACATGGACAACAAATGTCGTCCGGTCAATCCCAGAGGAAGCACTTGCTTAGAAAGTCTAGATAATTCAATATCATTTAACCATTTCAAAGTATCGTGCATCTTCCAATCTGCAACCTGACAAAATTAATAATATTAATAATAATTAATAATATATATAATTGAATGATATTTAATGAATATCATGCACTCATATTTTAAAATATTACTGACCCTCTTTTTTTTGTTTCTCAAACTGTCCATTAAATTACTTTGTGATACTAATTGCTGAGGCATCTTCCAAACCAAAACAGTTTTATCCAGCGCACCTAAGAAAAATATTTATTATTACAATAAAATATTTTTATATAATTTTGTTTATGAGTCCTCTATATAAAAAAACGTGTGTTCAAAAAAATTTTATTTAAATTGAAAATTAGGCAAAAATGAAAAAGTTTAAAACTTGATCATTGATTTACATATGTACATTAATAGTTAGAACAAATTATGACGAAAATCTCGAGACCTGTAGCGAAGAGTGACGTATCCTCAGAAAATGCGCAGGATGTGACGAGACTGTCGTGATCTTCCAGGACGTATAGACAGCTTCCAGAAAACTGAAAACGTATTGATTCTCGTGAATATATTCTTTTCGTGTTTTTTATTAAAACTTATTAAATTGTCTCGATTACTTACTACACTCCATATGCGAGCTGTTCTATCCGTTGCGACGCTACCTAAGACTTCTCCATGGATAGGCGAAAAACGGACACACATTACATTTCCACCATGTCCGGTTAAGGATTTTTTTTCCTTATAACGCGTTCCGGTATTGCTTGAGCTGGTACTGTCCGGATTAGATGATGACTCGTTCGATATGATTATATGCCATAATTTAACCAACGAATCGTTACCACACGTTGCCAGTAAATATATTTGCTCATCGAGGTTCATGTCTGTGTCTCTTGCTGCAAACAATTGACATTTATCGCTGATTTTTGCGTTAGTTAATCTCTATTAAATAATGAAAAAAAAATTATATTACTCGATATTGATCGATACTATGATTTGAATAGGATTGAAGCATATAATTTAGAGAGATAATAATTAAGATATTTTTTTCAGTACGCACTGCATATGGCGGAACCTGAAGTAGTAGGACTGAAATCGCATCCTTGAACACCCAGATCGTGACTTGCATCGCAAACCATCAATGCTTCGGAACCGTTCTTCTCATCCAGAGTATCGAAAAGACGCCAAGTACCCTCGTTGCACGCGGTCACCAAATAACGGGAATCATGCGTAAATGCGATGGCCGATATCGCGTCGGCGTGACCCTCGAAAACTCTATAATATTCCCTAACGATTATTGTTAATTATCTACATTTACAAATAGTAATTTAATTTATCGAGTTACTACAAAAGATGACTAAATTTTGTATATAGACAAAATTATCGCACGAGAAACGATTCTGAATTATACTTTTCGCTTACAAAATTCTTGACTACAATGTATTTTCGAAGTATCTTTTCCTCACATCTATCAAAATTTATTTGTTACGGATTAATAATATTTTAATGTATATATTTATGCTTTCTGTATTATTATCTGTACATACTGTAACTGATCCATAGTCTCCACGTCCCATAATGTTGTCTTCTCGTCATCACCAGCAGTAGCAATTTTTGTACCATCTGGTGACCATCGGCATACACGGATACCTGTCCCGGAATTGACAAACGAGGATCTTGCTTGGCTTCCGTTCTATCGAAAAAAGTTGTTATAAATAAAGAGCTAGAAATAACCTATAATATTATATTCGCCATAAAGCAACAGTTACTTCTGTATTCCAAACTATAGCCGTTCCATCGAGAGAACAAGAGGCGAGCATGGAACCACATGGACTAAATTCCACGTAATTGACGCTATAAGTATGCGCGTCGAGTGGACTGAAAGGCTTCTCTTGTATTTTAATTACTTCCTCTCCGTCTTCCTCTTCAGTTTCTACACTCCACATACGCACCAGTTTATCGCTAAAAACAAAGAAAGATTACCTTATTGTTTTGCTACTTTTACAATTTCGAAAACTCACCTGGATGCTGAGGCTAAAAGATTATTTCCATAGAAGGCAACGCTGTTCACCGCTCCATTGTGCTCCTCCAGTCTTTGAATCAATCGCACTTCGTTAGCATACGTTTCGACGTTTTTCATCACATTGTGTTCATGCATAGTATCCTAAAATAAAGAATTTTATTAACTATCGTCATGTGTAAATTATTACTTACGATCAGTTTACCTTTTCAGGATCATTCATGAACCATTTCGTTCCAACGTTTCTTGAAAGTTCCGAATCGACAGTTAAATTTCCTGTCGAGTCCCAAACAATTACCGACTTATCATTAGAGCCTGCAATTATATTAAGGATTAATTGTCTTGAATGGAATTATAAATCTTTCCGGAAATATAAAAAAGATATTATACCTGTAGCTAATAAGTTTCCATCGCGCGAAAAAGCGCAGCAAGCGATATATCTGTTATGACCGGAGAGTATCGTCATTACCTTTCCTGAGCTCTATGAAAAAATTAGATTAAAGATTAGTAAAAAATTAACTGTCAAATTTTGATTTCTCTCAAATACACGTGTCTTACCGTCTCCCAAATTACTGCCGTTTTATCGAGGCCACAGCTAGCAATGTATAATCCGTTATTGCTGAAACGGACGCAAGTTAAGGCACTGCTGTGCTTTTCCATCACTCTGCAAAGCTGTATAATGGCAGTAGAGGGTTGGGCCTCGCATTTATTTTGGCTCACTATGATTTCCCACAATTTCACATCGTGATCATTGCCGCACGAGACCAGTTGATAAAGTTTAGTGTATGGCTCGTTACCTGCGCAATAATAATATTATATCACTTATTAAGTACGACAAATCTTATGTAATTCATTTTTTTTTAGATTCGTTCAAATAGTATGTGTGGCATGCTTGCGTACATGTGACTTCTTGAAAAGTGGAGAAGTCGCAAGAAACCACTCCCATGTCATGAGCATCGTCAATTGAGACGAGTTCGGTGGCATCCTCATTGCTGGACGTACAAGTATCAATCAGCTCGGCAGTGGAAAACAGCTTTAGAACGCCTAATGTGCACGAGGTGATCAGCCAGCTGGAATCTGGCGAAAAGGACACGCTTTGCACGGCACCCTCGTGTTTTTGAAAGCACCTAAAAACCGTCATAATATAGTATATGATATTTAATTGGAATGCAAATTTTTATAACAGTTATAAAAAAAGGACTGATATGATTTTGCAAGTAAACTCTTATAAAAGGTCTTGCCTGATTAAATTGCGATGAACCAGATCCCAGATACAGACTTGTCCATTATCTCCAGCGGTCGCGAGTAACGTTGAATCCGGCGAAAATCTGCAAACTCTCACCGTTTCGCCGCCTATCTGCACCATGGTATATATCTTTGCCCCCGTCTTTGAGATACAGTAAATTTATATCAATACAAGAAATAATAATTGCAAAAACATAATTTACAGTTTTAGACTTTTTACTTTTTTAAACGATCTTACATTTCTTTATCATTACTTTTGTAATAAGAAGATTGCATTAACATGCGCTATAGCGGCAACTTCTAGACGTATACGTATTAAAAATTTACTCGACTGTGTAACTTTAAAATCACAAAAAAGCTTAATGACTACTCATTATTTTTACAAATTGTACCTTTTTATTTATATTTTGTTTTATTTATATTCATATTTTGCTACCTAAGTCTTCTCCATGGATAGGCGAAAAATGGACACACATTACATTTCCACCATGTCCGGTTAAGGATTTTTTTTCCTTATAACGCGTTCCGGTATTGCTTGAGCTGGTACTGTCCGGATTAGATGATGACTCGTTCGATATGATTATATGCCATAATTTAACCAACGAATCGTTACCACACGTTGCCAGTAAATATATTTGCTCATCGAGGTTCATGTCTGTGTCTCTTGCTGCAAACAATTGACATTTATCGCTGATTTTTGCGTTAGTTAATCTCTATTAAATAATGAAAAAAAAATTATATTACTCGATATTGATCGATACTATGATTTGAATAGGATTGAAGCATATAATTTAGAGAGATAATAATTAAGATATTTTTTTCAGTACGCACTGCATATGGCGGAACCTGAAGTAGTAGGACTGAAATCGCATCCTTGAACACCCAGATCGTGACTTGCATCGCAAACCATCAATGCTTCGGAACCGTTCTTCTCATCCAGAGTATCGAAAAGACGCCAAGTACCCTCGTTGCACGCGGTCACCAAATAACGGGAATCATGCGTAAATGCGATGGCCGATATCGCGTCGGCGTGACCCTCGAAAACTCTATAATATTCCCTAACGATTATTGTTAATTATCTACATTTACAAATAGTAATTTAATTTATCGAGTTACTACAAAAGATGACTAAATTTTGTATATAGACAAAATTATCGCACGAGAAACGATTCTGAATTATACTTTTCGCTTACAAAATTCTTGACTACAATGTATTTTCGAAGTATCTTTTCCTCACATCTATCAAAATTTATTTGTTACGGATTAATAATATTTTAATGTATATATTTATGCTTTCTGTATTATTATCTGTACATACTGTAACTGATCCATAGTCTCCACGTCCCATAATGTTGTCTTCTCGTCATCACCAGCAGTAGCAATTTTTGTACCATCTGGTGACCATCGGCATACACGGATACCTGTCCCGGAATTGACAAACGAGGATCTTGCTTGGCTTCCGTTCTATCGAAAAAAGTTGTTATAAATAAAGAGCTAGAAATAACCTATAATATTATATTCGCCATAAAGCAACAGTTACTTCTGTATTCCAAACTATAGCCGTTCCATCGAGAGAACAAGAGGCGAGCATGGAACCACATGGACTAAATTCCACGTAATTGACGCTATAAGTATGCGCGTCGAGTGGACTGAAAGGCTTCTCTTGTATTTTAATTACTTCCTCTCCGTCTTCCTCTTCAGTTTCTACACTCCACATACGCACCAGTTTATCGCTAAAAACAAAGAAAGATTACCTTATTGTTTTGCTACTTTTACAATTTCGAAAACTCACCTGGATGCTGAGGCTAAAAGATTATTTCCATAGAAGGCAACGCTGTTCACCGCTCCATTGTGCTCCTCCAGTCTTTGAATCAATCGCACTTCGTTAGCATACGTTTCGACGTTTTTCATCACATTGTGTTCATGCATAGTATCCTAAAATAAAGAATTTTATTAACTATCGTCATGTGTAAATTATTACTTACGATCAGTTTACCTTTTCAGGATCATTCATGAACCATTTCGTTCCAACGTTTCTTGAAAGTTCCGAATCGACAGTTAAATTTCCTGTCGAGTCCCAAACAATTACCGACTTATCATTAGAGCCTGCAATTATATTAAGGATTAATTGTCTTGAATGGAATTATAAATCTTTCCGGAAATATAAAAAAGATATTATACCTGTAGCTAATAAGTTTCCATCGCGCGAAAAAGCGCAGCAAGCGATATATCTGTTATGACCGGAGAGTATCGTCATTACCTTTCCTGAGCTCTATGAAAAAATTAGATTAAAGATTAGTAAAAAATTAACTGTCAAATTTTGATTTCTCTCAAATACACGTGTCTTACCGTCTCCCAAATTACTGCCGTTTTATCGAGGCCACAGCTAGCAATGTATAATCCGTTATTGCTGAAACGGACGCAAGTTAAGGCACTGCTGTGCTTTTCCATCACTCTGCAAAGCTGTATAATGGCAGTAGAGGGTTGGGCCTCGCATTTATTTTGGCTCACTATGATTTCCCACAATTTCACATCGTGATCATTGCCGCACGAGACCAGTTGATAAAGTTTAGTGTATGGCTCGTTACCTGCGCAATAATAATATTATATCACTTATTAAGTACGACAAATCTTATGTAATTCATTTTTTTTTAGATTCGTTCAAATAGTATGTGTGGCATGCTTGCGTACATGTGACTTCTTGAAAAGTGGAGAAGTCGCAAGAAACCACTCCCATGTCATGAGCATCGTCAATTGAGACGAGTTCGGTGGCATCCTCATTGCTGGACGTACAAGTATCAATCAGCTCGGCAGTGGAAAACAGCTTTAGAACGCCTAATGTGCACGAGGTGATCAGCCAGCTGGAATCTGGCGAAAAGGACACGCTTTGCACGGCACCCTCGTGTTTTTGAAAGCACCTAAAAACCGTCATAATATAGTATATGATATTTAATTGGAATGCAAATTTTTATAACAGTTATAAAAAAAGGACTGATATGATTTTGCAAGTAAACTCTTATAAAAGGTCTTGCCTGATTAAATTGCGATGAACCAGATCCCAGATACAGACTTGTCCATTATCTCCAGCGGTCGCGAGTAACGTTGAATCCGGCGAAAATCTGCAAACTCTCACCGTTTCGCCGCCTATCTGCACCATGGTATATATCTTTGCCCCCGTCTTTGAGATACAGTAAATTTATATCAATACAAGAAATAATAATTGCAAAAACATAATTTACAGTTTTAGACTTTTTACTTTTTTAAACGATCTTACATTTCTTTATCATTACTTTTGTAATAAGAAGATTGCATTAACATGCGCTATAGCGGCAACTTCTAGACGTATACGTATTAAAAATTTACTCGACTGTGTAACTTTAAAATCACAAAAAAGCTTAATGACTACTCATTATTTTTACAAATTGTACCTTTTTATTTATATTTTGTTTTATTTATATTCATATTTTTAAACTTACACGCAAGTTCCAAAGCAGCGTGGTACCATCTATGCTAGAAGTAGCTAACATGGTGGATTGGGGGCTGGCTTTGACCGAGGTCACGCCGTACTTGTGCCCCATCAGGGGTGAAAAATAAGCTTCCACATAGCCAGTGCCGGGCTGCCATTCCCAAACTCGAACGCGTTTATCCCTGTGTATTAAAAAGATTTGTAATTACAAGCGCCCTGAACCGTGTGCGTGCATTATTGATAACCGATATTTACCCGGATCCCGTTATCAGCACGCAATCACCAGCGAAGTCAACGCTATTTACATCGCTGGTGTAAACTGTGAGAGTCTGCAAAGCTTGCACGTTGCCTATGGCAGTCATGTTTTTTTTCAGATTAACGGGTTACTTAGCTGTAAAGATGTATGTAATATATTAATCAGCTGTGTGCGTCACTTGTCAAAGTCAAGCCGATGTCATTTGATGAAAGAGCACCTACTACATGAATGACGATGATCATCAATCTTTTAACGGGAGTGGATATTATCTATGTATACTACACATAGTCCGCATTACATTTTGTCTTTCTATATCTACATATTAAGAATTATAAATGTTGAATTCATATTGGAACAGTCTATCGATTAAAAAATAAAATCGTCGTTAAGTTGTCATAGTTCGACGATATCAAATTATTATGATCCGCGTTGTAGGTATCTTTTTAAAGTTGATATATTCTTTCGCGTTGGATATATATATATATATATATTCTGTCCATAACTGTTATATAGTAATGTTGAAAGGGTAACGAAACACGAAGAGAGAAACACCTTTAACCTTCGCTTTTCAAATGCTTGCAAACGTGTGCTTACGCGTTTTTCAATAATAGATACATTCCGAATCGACTAACTGTTCTACAGGTGGGTATACATAAGACACCAGATTTGAAGTTTCTGAAAGTCAGATTGCCTTGGCATTGACCGTACACGGGTCGTTAAAAGGCATTCTATCGCTATTGATCTGCAAAGTATATTAATTTTATTTTTAACTGATGATGAGATACAGTATGAAATAAATCATCGATATTCTACATAAATTAAATATATCTGTTGTATATATAATATATCTGTTATAATATCTGTTGTCATTATACCGTGAGATTAGAATTGTTTGATTTTTTTAAGATGAAAACGAAGAAATGCTAAAGGTGCGAATCTATATCACGTTAATAATTTTTATAATGTATAATCGCGTTAATAATTTTTATAGTGTTTTTGAAAGTACTTTAAAGTCTATACGTGATATATGTACGAACAAAGTTTCTGCAATATAGAAAGAAAAGTGTCGGACTTAGACAGTCACATATAAGAGTTTAACGCTGACGTGTATATAAAAGTTATTGATTGTATTTATCCATTCTATCTCTATAAATGTGCACAAACAATGTTACATTATTACAGTCACCATTAGTATAGCGAATAAAATAGAAAACTCCTCCGCTATCTATAAAACATTTGTCGTTATATATAATTAATGACAATAAGATAAGCAGGTTTTATCGGAGCAAATGATGTACTTAAGATGAAACTGTAATGTCGAGCGATGAATAAAAATATATTACTTGTACATATAAGGCCGATAATGTGCGATGTTATCTATTTCGCGCTGAAAATTTTATAATGCGATTATCGATATATCACAGTTATTTTGAAGAAATTAACAAATTATTACACGTGACTAAAATATCGTCCTACATTGTTATGTGAGACGCAATTTTTAATTTATGATATTATGATGTTAAATGTAATATAAATCGTATAAAGTATTGTTATCGATCCAAGTATTTTGATTCTGAAATATACAAAATTACATTAGCCATGAACAATATTATATGCAATAAAAATATATGAATAATGAAAAATATGAAGGGAATTAGAAATTTTACGGATACATTATCGAGTGTTAATCGATATTTGTTAAATTAGAATTGATTTTATTTTTTACGTTAGAAAATACAGTGTGCACCAAAAAGTTGAACGACTCTGAAATATGTTAATATATATGTCTAGTATTAATTACCTTTCTAACATAAAAATAGCTATTCAATAATAATTGATCCGTAATAACTTGCGTGGGATGCTGCTGTTTTTATTATCACGCCAATAAATCTCTCATTAAATTATTGACTAACAAAATAAATCGGGATTTATAATCAAGCGCAGACACAAGTCGGTACTCTCGAATATTACTTCTATTAAGTTGATACATACGTTTAAAAAAATTAGCATCAAATTATTTCTTTTACATCTCTAACACGATTTGTGCAGAATATTATATGTTTGTATGATTCTTCAATTTTCTTGTATTTTTATTTTACGAACAATTATCATTCCTCTCGTACTCACTCGTAACGATGAAGGCACATGTTTCAAATATTAGTCGACGCTGTCTCGCCTCGGTGCTTCGTTGTTCCATCAACAAACACGTACGGGATATATGATTTTCATGATTCTGAGCTACGCGTTGTGAAGCGATGTCACATATTATTTATCACGATCATCATAGTGCTCCTGCCGACGAGATACTTCGAACAGGATACCCCGGACAGGGCACCTGTCACAATGAAGTTAAACGCGCTAAACGCATGTCCACTGGCGTCCAGATCAATATTACGGAGGCGTAACGTGAGATATAAACTGTGTGCGGTGTTTATTGTCAAATACGATATTAATGTATATAAAATGTTTTTCTTTTCGCGCGCAGTTACCGTGCGAATGAAAATATTTTCATAATTAAACACCTGCATTTATCACAACTTGTATAGATGTCATAAATTTGATTATCTCGTCAGAGAAAGTATACAGTAAGATGTGCTATAATTTGCTATATTTTCGCAATATATATATACAGAAAAATATATTTAATAATAATAGAAAATTATTACAATTTTATTCATTGATTCAGCTTGTTTTATTCATTTATTTATTGCTTTGAATTTGCAGTCAATGTCAAGACCCGCCTGACACTTACTGTCAGAATCCGCGAAAAGAATCTCTTGAAATTAATTTTTCGGTAAATATCGCCGGTAATGTGCAGTAATACACGTCTCGAAAAATCGTCAGTTATTAAGAGAATATATTTCAGCAAAAGATATAAATTATATAAGGCAAGAGGTAAACTGAAGCAAGTTTAAATCATAGATGTAGGAAATATAGACTGCGCGTATCGAACAAATATTGCGCCAAAATTAGAAAAAAAAACGCAAAATGTTTTACAATTAGAAGTCAGATGTTTAGGAAGTACATATATATTATAGACTGCGCATATCTTTTATATCTATTTTAGCAATTCGTGCGCCAAAATTAGAAAAAGAACGCAATGTCTCGAAAGTATTATATTTTTATCTCTTTTTAACTAGAGAGATATTGTTGTTCTTATGGTAACTATATATAGTCTTGTGTTTGAGAGAGAAAAACCAGAATTCCGAGACATTGCGTTCTTTTTCTAATTTTGACGCAATATTATTTTTAATACGTGCAGTCTATATTATATATTTTCTACGTCTATGTCAGAGGTCTGATTCCCGTTCTTTTTCTAATTTTGACGCAATATTATTTTTAATACGTGCAGTCTATATTATATATTTTCTACGTCTATGTCAGAAGTCTGATTCCCCCATAGACATAGTATATCTAGACCGAGTGTTGAGGAGTGGGGGCCGATGCCCACGTAGAAAAGGACATACTCTGTTTCGTGCCCCTTGCGTTCTCTCTCGCTCGCACAGAGCATAGCGCTCTCTTTCGTCATGCTACGTGCGAGCGAGAGAGAACGCAAGGGGCACGAAACAGAGTATGTCCTTTTCTACGTGGGCATCGGCCCCCACTCCTTAAATAAAGGCAAACGCTCGGTCTAGATATACTATGTCTATGGATTCCCCTCTCTCTCTCTCTCTCTCTCTCTTAAAACAAGATAAACATGGTTCCAAGACATTGCATTCTTTTCCTAATTTTGGCACACGAATTGCTAGATAACAAGATATGCGCAGTCTATACTTTCTACGTCTATGGTTTAAATTCATGATTATATATTCACGATATTACGACAGTACGAATTAAAAGAGATTATAAGAGTTTCTCCTGTAATTTCTTTTCTCGAATCGTATTTTCCTAATATCGCAAACTTAATCGCAAGCTTCGAATTCCGTGGCTATCTCTCCATGATAAATGTTACAATCAGCTCAGCTGTTGTGGTATCGTGACGAGTTTCCGGTGGAAATCAACACATGATAAAAGAAGAGAATCAGCTGTTTGTTCTATCCAAACGCATGCGCAAACTGGCCGGCACTAAAAGCACGTGAACGCATATATAAACAGAAAATGACAGCCAAGATCGGTGGATAATTTGTGGAGAGAACGCTATTGTTGTTTATGAATTATTAATCGATAGTAGATCGGATTGAAGAATTGCGTATTCGATGCCGCTTGGTAGCAAGCCAGAATGCGCAAAATGTGGGACTCGCGAGACCCCATTGTGGCATTCGACCGATGCCGGAAACTTGTGCAACGATGCCGAGGCGAATTCGTCCTCCAAGGCAGACGAGGAGGATAAGAATGGCTCGCTAAGACCTAGAAGAAGCACGAGGATCACGAGATATTGCAATGCGAAGGCAACAGGACCGCATAAAGTTATACCTAAAGGCAAGGGTCGCAGGAACTTGTTTAAGAAAACGGTGCGTGAAAGTTTTTGTATTACATCTTCAATTTGCTAAGAAAATTAATGTATTTAATTTACGATACTGTATATGAGAGAGGTCGCTTTCATATATTTTCTGTTATTGAGAGAATGAAGATTGAAAGAAATGTCTTAGAATTGATATTGATAGTTTGTTATAGAAATTGTGAAATAATTATATAATTGTCGAATATATTTATGAATGTGTATTTGTTTAAATTGTATGTCTATACAGCCAGTCAAAGGACCCACTGCTACTGCAACTCCAGTCACTAGTAACTTTGTATTTTATAAAGGCACATATTTTCAAGTTGGAGATATAGTTTCTATGCAAGACATAGATGGTGGTATTTATTATGCTCAAATACGTGGTTTATTAACGGATCAGTATTGTGAAAAGAGCGCTGCTGTTACCTGGCTATTACCCACTACAGCAAGGTAAATCTTTATTCCATTAGTTTTATATCCAATTGTACACCATGAATTTATTTAGTAATAATAATCTATATTAATTTAATAATACTATATTTTAGTCCACCACCAGAAGAAGGTTTCATTCCTGAAACTTACATAATAGGACCCGAGGAAGATTTACCACGCAAATTAGAGTGTATGGAGTTTGTTATGCATGCTCCATCGGATTATTTTAAGTTAAAGAACACACCCTATCCACCCATGCTTACAGAAAAAGGAATCGGTTACATATGGACAACTCTTAGAAATGAAATAGCTATGTCTAAAAAATGATAAATATACTTTGGAACATAATTGTCAATGATTCAACTGCATAAAAAAATAGTATCGTTTTTATCATTTTATATATGTAAATTATTTATTATAGATAGTTTTTTTTAAAAGATGTATTATATTTTTTAGTCAAAAATGCTATTCAACAGTGAAAGTACGTAAAGAGTGTTGCAAAACTTGTATTAGTAGAACAGAAATATGCATGGAAAATAATACATGCTGTGCTAGCTTATTTATTAAATATACTTCGTTACAATATATAATACATTAATATTTTTTATATTTCTGGTGAATAATTGTGGGGAGAGGGGGGGACGCATGCTTCTCTCTCACGAAACGCAGGCCTAGGTTATTTAGGACAATCAAAAGTTGCCCATATCATAGTTGAATTCATGGACCTGATATTATTTTAATAAACTTTCTAACATACATATATAAAAATCTATAAAGAACATCCTTATGTTACTTAATTTTTTTTTATGTAAAGACTTTCGAGACTCCACTCTATTCTTCTCCAAAGTACTTGCCGGCAAAACTTGTAGTTCCAAAATAGATAGTAGTAGTAGTCAAATAATGGTTCATCCATGGTCTTAATTCTGATATCGTTGAGACGGGATATATGCAGATGCTGTAGGCAACATTGGTGCATTCTCGCTTGCCTGAAGAGAGGAGAAAAGTGCCCTCGGTGCGGTAGTAGTGTCGGTTACGTTCGGGATGACAGAAGAGACCAGTCAGCTAGGTGCCAACGAAGTGACGGCTGGTCAGAATTTGAGATCTTTTATAGCTTGCGGCAAGTCAGGCAGCTTCATATCCTTTATTTGTTGTGGTATATTCATGTTCTTCACGGCCGAGACAGCACGCGCGGGCGCTGCTGCGATTCCCGCCTGCACACACCATACAGGATGGAAGAAGTATGGAGAATGGACAATTTCAGAAGGATTCAGTAAATGACTAGGCTGAAATTTTAGCGGGAAGCGAAAGCAAATGACAGCAGATGACTACACGACAATGACGATATTTATTATTCTTACGGAGCATTGCGATGTATACATTATATCAAGGCACTTGAAGCAATTATGAAATAAATTGGATTGTCATGCGTGTTACGCAAACGCTCACGCTGCATAACAGCTATAAAAAACTTTATGCTTTCAACAATTTTAATTATAGAAAAAAAAAAGAAAAATAAATCAGATATATACACTATATGTGGGAGTGAGATTGTACAAAGTAGCCTGATTTGCTACTACCGATTATTAAGGAGGAGGCCCCAGAAGGACAAATGGACGGGGTGAGCTAGACCGTCCAGATTTGTAAGTTCCCTAAAATTGATGTTATGTCAATCAGTCCTATCTATCGCTACATTAGGTTTGCTCTACAGATCATACCACATATGGATGCATAACTAGAGCGTTCAATGGATTGCAATAACATATTAACATTTTCAAGCTCAGTGAAAGAAAATAAACACATTTGCAAAACATATTTGCAAAATCGGCCATACTAAAACGCATATTACTATACGATAGCATTTTATATGATGAGAAATAAGTTTGGGCATAAAAAATTGAAGTTTATGCATCGCGAGCATGGGTCAATGTTCCTGACTGTGATCTATTATTCTTACTATACCTTTACTATATTGTAATAATAAATATATATTTAGTAGATCTATATATAAATTAGGGATAAATTTTTAAAAGATCACAGTTGAGACATCAAAATTATAATAGCAAATTGGCAACTTACTTCTTGTTTTTCCAACTTGTTTTGATCCTCGATCCTTGTAAGAATTTCAGTCATGTTGGTCTCAAGAACCATACCACCCATCACCAATTCATTGAGTATATAATGAACTTTGTCTACATGAAAAATGAGATCAAGTTCACACACATTCTCAAAGCACTTATCCAAGGTTTCAACAAAGACTTGTATTAAGTCTAAGATTCCAAGCTCCGATTCTGAACTATCAACACAGAACACGAAATAAAGCGTAGCATAGTGTCGATAGATCAATTTATAATCGGATCCACCAATCAGGCTACCACCTTCCAAGAAATTACATACATTGTCGTCTCTCTTGGAAACAAGCTGGAATGTCTCTTTTATTATCTGCTGTTGCATATCTTCGTTCTGAAGCAGAAAATGTGTCTCATATTGTAACAATCCATATGGATATGTTTTTCTAATTCATTCTCGTTATAATCTCAATTTATTCATGAATTATATTTTGGTATTTCGAATTTACTCTTTACACATTATAACTTTACATGTTGCGTAATGTAACTTCTATATTTTTTAGTAAAGTTAGATACAATTAAATAATTTAATACGTCAATTATAGAATTCATGAATATCAAACGGAAAAATAAATGCGAGAGTAATATCAACATATACTTACAAAGTACTGATAAAACTTGGAAAGACGAGGTTTCCCATGGTTATTGAAAACTAAAATTGCCTTAATCATATCTGTATTCGGAATCAATTAGCGTTTCTCGATCTTATGATAATCCTATTGCTATCCTCGAAACATACGGTCGCGTGAGTACACGAGAGGTTATATTCTATGACACACTTCTAAAAGATTAATCCTCATTATTTCTTTTTGATATGTAAACAAATAAGACTTTTAATTCTCTCCTGTAATATTCTCAATCCTGACGAGGTTAGTTCGTCAGCTGTTAATGACGTATCTGTTTTTTTCTTTTTATACAAGTCTACTTTCTTTTAAAAAAGCGTGCTTCCAGCTCGAGAAAGTTTTATCTAACACATAAAATATCACAACGTTTATCAAGTATATACGTGAAAGATTTTATTTTCCTTCTTACACACACACACACAACTCTTCCTTTTTCACTCTCTTGCACTTATGTTAAAATGAAACTGATATACGTCCAGTAGTGTAACATAAAAAGAGATAAGACAAAAAAAGAAAAAAATATAGAATGTCATAGAATGACACAGTTTCTTCATATTTTTATATATAGAAATCTTTGTATATATTTAAAGATTGTTTATTATACTATCTATATTTCTATATTAGCTAATACTATGATTAAAAAGAAAGAAAAAAAGTAAAAGCTTGCTGAGAGTTAAAATCAACGCTATATGGGATATTAGTCCATATACTTTTTATTGTATGTTTCAGCTATATTTTATATATTATATTTTCGTTGATTCATAGTTATAACGTTTTGATTTCAACGTTATAAATGTAAAAATAATTCCTATCATTTCTTCATGTCTGATAATAAACTATTACTTAAAAATAGTAATAAACATATATCTCAAAATATATATAATGATGAAAAAATGATCAACAATAAAACGCGATAACTTTTCAATTACTATATCCTTAGAAATTGAATTCACCAAAGCTATACGATGTATTTTTCACGGTTTGTACGGTGGTGCAAAATCATAAAAAAAAAAAAAATCGTGGAGTCGCGCAGCAAAATACGCAAGCGCGCGGTATTACATGCACTTGGTTTTCTCGGCATGTGACAGCATCAAAATGATAGAGAGAGAGAGAGAGAGGAGAGAGAGAGAGAGAGAGAAAGTAAGAAAGAGGATGAATGAGAGGAGAGAGAGCGAGATAATATCGGATTAAATGGGATTCTTTTTTCTTCTCCTTACCGCATGTACATACATACGTGTACACTTTCCGCAGTGCGTGATGTTTCGGTGAGCCGAGTTTTCGTTCTACGAGGGCGAGGTAAATGGAGAAATGTCAAATGCGGCGTGATCACGCAGTCATTGCGGCCGAAAGGTGAGCGTATAATTTCGTTTACGCGTTATCGCGTGTGAATTACATTATAATCCTGCGAGAAAATTACCGCGCACTGCACACAACGAACCGCGAGCTTCGAGTTCCACGTTCGCTTCGGACGAGATTACATCCGATTGCACTGTGCAATTGTGCTTGGAACACGCATATATTTTTAGCGTCCTGAGATACACTCAAAATCCATATAACTATTATTAGATCACGTTTATCTGATTTGATTGATGGTGCAGTTCCCGCGCATTAAGGCTAAACTTTGTTATTCCTAAATGCAGAGTAGATAAGATATAAGATACAATAAATCATGACATGTAGAAAGTAACATGCGATATCGTTATAACTTTTCATAAATATGCGAATATAGATAATTATTCAAATGTTAAGAGTAAATAAGGATGTTTATACTTACAATAAAAACAAGGTGGGTATATATACAGGAAAGAGATTTTTATTCCCTGATACATAGTACCATTAAACACACAGATATTTTCAAATATTGAAACTGGCATGATTATGTTTGTTTATCTTTGTTATTAACGTATTGTCGATAAAACCAGTTGTAAGGAATTATAAATCAATGTCATTCACATTAACACAAAACAGTATAGTTTTTTAAACAATCTTTGTTATAGGAATTATATCAGCTAGTCCACGTAATATTGTTGCAGTAAAATATGTTAAATCTTATGTACAGAAAGGTTTCATGTAATTTGTAAATTACTCACTAAAATTGTAGCACATTTTCTAATCTTTAGTTTGCATATTAACATAATTATTTTCTTCTATATAAATTAATATTACTATCTATTTTCTTTATATAGATGGACAGATTGCGACTACTGCCCATGGATTTACCAACAATCACTGTCAATAATAATGGCAGCGTTAAAGGCAAGGCATCTTTTGTTCGACGATTGGCAATAGGATTTGTGATTCTGGCCATACTAGGCCTTTTATATGTGCCAGCATACCATTCTGCTCAGAGTCCATTCTTAGGCTTAGGTGAGACTCAGTCTCCTACAGATTCTCTTGGCAGTTCTCATTTGGTAGCATCTATGGGTATGCATTCAATGCTTTACACTCTCTTTATTTATGATAATACTGATAATGCTGATTGAAAGAGATATGGATACAAAAACATTTATTTATAATATATAAAATAATTAATTTTTAGCGCAATTACCTGGATGGTCATATAATATGTCAAGAAATCTCTGTGTTTATATTCATCCAGAGAATACCACATCAATTCTCAGTCCTACGAGCCTCTGTTCACTACCACCATACTTATTAATAATTATATGCTCGGCAGTCGCAAATCAGGAGGCCCGTGCCGCTATTAGGAGCACCTGGGCTAATAAATATAACTTAGATAATTTGTACAATTCTACAGTCAAAATAGTATTCTTATTAGGACAAAGTGACAATGATACGCTCAATGTAAGTATTCTCTTTGTAGTTTTATGTTTGCATAGAAATTTCTGCATATCTTTACATCTTCTTCATTCATTTTATAGAATTTGATTGTTGAGGAAAATTCTCAGTACAATGATATTGTACAAGAACGTTTCTTTGATACATATAACAATTTGACATTGAAATCAGTTATGATGTTGAAGTGGGTGACATCGAACTGCGATAAAGCTAAATACCTCATGAAAACAGACGACGACATGTTTGTAAACATTCCATTACTCCTGCAAACATTGCACTCGAGAATACAGCCAGAAACTCTACTAGGTTCCCTCATTTGTAATGCTAGACCAATATTGGACCCCAAAAATAAGTGGCAAGTATTTTCCTTCATTTCTTTTATTTATCAAGATATGCTATATGTAAAAATAATGTAAAATAATTTTAATTATGCAGGTATACACCAAAGTATATGTATTCGGAGAAAACATATCCAAATTATTTGTCAGGCACAGGATATGTTATGAGCATGAGTGTGGTGTCAAAATTATATCAAGCAGCATTGATAACGCCATTGCTACACTTGGAAGACGTTTACATTACGGGTTTATGCGCGAGGCGCGCGAAGATCCGACCCGTCAATCATCCTGGATTCAGTTATATACCTCGCAAGATAGATCCCTGTGTNGAATGCCATAACTACGCACAAGGTTAATGCGTCTAATATGTATGTGATTTGGGTGAAAGTAAACGACACGAATATTTTCTGCAGCAATCGTACTCGTAGTGATAGAAAAACGATCACTTTGAGCAGAAG